CAGTAGAAACATTAGAATGAAACTGATTCAAGCCTTGCATCCCGATAAAATTCAGCAAATTAATTGAGATCTATACACTGAAATAAAAACTATTCGTTGAAATCCTTATCGCACTATAAAAATAAACTGAGGGCGCTCCGGAGCATAGAGAAAACCTTTTTAAAAAAGCAATTCAAGCATCTTATTCTACCAAAAAATGCTTGTAAACAACGTATGATGCAAATTTCGACCCCATCAAATGATAATTACGCGTTTCCGGACGCTCCTTGGCGGCCAGAAGCTGAAAAAACGACCGCGGTCTAGGTGGCGCGCGCAAGCATTAGAAGCAAGATGATATTTGGAGTTCTCTGCGTGAGTTCCATTTATGGGCGCCGTGAATGATCCGATAAGGATAAGCTCAGCGTTTTCTGCCCATAGAAAATAACATGAAGCAGTTTATGATAAATATTGCAAGTCAAAGCATGTTGGCCTAAATAAAAAAATGGCTCGGTTTAGAAAATTAGGCCAAAATTGGTTTATTCCGGGGTGGGACTTCCTGCTGCGTGTATTTACGGGACCCAGTTTTTTCGGATAAAACTGGAAGTTCAGGTGAAAAATGGCATGAGAGTGAGAAAAAAATGATAAAATGAAAAATCAAGAACATCAAATGAGTTTCGAAAAGAGTTCCTAAATTAAAAGCCAGTCTGAAGTTGTCATTCCTGTTAAAATAAACGAGAAAAACCCCTTGTTGTCCGTGAAATTTCTTTAACGCATGATGGCGCCTGCCCGTCTTCTTGGCCTTTGCGGCTGTCTTAAAAACCACAAAGCATACTGTTTAGTAATTATACATAATTGGCATGAACCACAGGTTGAGTACGTCCATTTGGCGCGCCTTGTTCCCTCGAGTTTTGAATTTTCAAACTTGTTTCCATTTGTTCAAGATTTAAATTTCAAAACTGATTTTTTAGAAGAAAAAAAAAACAGGAAATAAAACTTTGATGGCCACTTGATGTCGCCCCGATATGAAAAAACGGCTCTTTCTATTGCTGGTTGAATATTTTAGTGTTTGACGAGGCCGTGTCTACGAGAGTGATCAATTTCCTAAACGACACGACGGGTCGGGGGATCAAGCGCACACATCGCGCGCCCCAAGTCCCCGGTCTAGTAAAATTGCTGAATAGGGTGCGCCACGCTTCTTCAGTGTTTTCGGACAGGATTCTAACTGTTGTATTTACTGTATTCCTAGAAAAGAATTCAATTCTTCAGAAAATTTAAAATTCAAAAGAAAATTGACAATTTTGACTTTTGACATGCAAATTATTTGCCTGATTGGACACCCTAAAAACGGATTGAGAATGCTCCCTATATACGTATCGATCTTATTAGCAAAAATTCTATTAGGACATTAATTTTGAAATATTCATTAAAATTTTTGAATAACACGTTTCAATATATTAATTCACAATATAGTTTAGCCAATATTTAATCCAAAATTTGATCAATAAAAAAGAAGAAATTTTGAGATTTCTGCACACCCTAACGCAGAATGTAGTCGTCTTTTGAAAATAAGAATTATTTGAGGCGCTGAGTGTGGTGCATGAGCTTTTTTCGCGTTTTGGTTTTCGCTGGTGAATGGTTTAATTTGCGCTGTACGAAATCACTCGACAGCGCCACCACTCAAGAGCTTTTGCCTCGCTTGACACTTTTTTGACGACTTCTATCGCTGCAAAAACGCGTCAAAATAAACTCCAGATGGCACTCCGCAAATTATATTCTCTTTCTTGCATCCAAAGCAGCTGAGCAAATACTTTCATCCTCAATATTCTTTTCGACCAACTTTTATTTATTTCCTGCTAAAAAGAGCAGCGGACGGATGCTGCCGAGTGCTGGTATAAATTACAACTGACAGGACTTGTCTCGCGTCGCTCTATCTCAGCGACACTCGATTTCTTGGGACAAAGAAGCTTTTAGCATGAAAAAAACAAGAATAAATTCCAGTAATGATTTCATATTAATAAAATCTGTCACTAAGTTACACGTTTAGTTTCGGTAAATTATACAAAAAAGGCGGACGAAAACGAAGATGGATGAGTTACAGTGAGATCTGTAGCTGATATAAAGCTGATTGTGATTCTACTGTCACTTTAATTCGACGAAATGAAGCTAAAAAGATAAGTTGAAATGTTGAAATCAACGAATTGATACCTTTCAAAATAATTTAAAATTAAAGTTGTTTCTGATGATTTTAATGTTGGCGGAAATTGCTTTTAATTCCAAGCTTTATCTTACTGGCTACGGCAATTAGAATATCCGAAGAGATCGTAATTTTTTTTTGATTGTCGTTGAAAGGACCTATCATTTCTTCCATATCACTTAATTTATTAACAGGCGACTTCTTCAAGCAAAATGATACGCTAGAAACAAGACAGTTGATGATCCTTCCGGCTCCGATGAAAGACCTGGTTGTCCTCGTTGATTTCAGTTGATTTCAATCGATAGCTCCTTGCTCGAAGCCCTTAGAGCTTCGCCTACGCCCACTTTAGTAAATCCGCTCGTCCAGAAAAACAGCACGCGCCTGGTTCCTCGCCGCAGCTCGACAGCGCCATCTGACGGGTTGATTTGGTTCGTTCTTCTGCCGAGTGGGCAGAATTGGAAACACGAGTGCGGTAGCGCGCGCTTCGGCTCAAGCTACCACACTCTGTCCGGGCGTGATCCTCGTCCGCGATAAAATAACAAAAAAGACAAATTGGGAACGGCGCCAAACGCCAACGATTCCACCAATCAGCGCTGCGTTTTAACGCCACTAACACCACCGCCACCACCCGTAGTAGTACCCGCATGAAATTGCACCGCCGGGAACAGCTGATACGGGCGGATTAGAAATCAGATGCCCTGATTTATTGCGACTCCTTGAAGATTTATTTATTGCTTTCAATAGCGCTTAAATTTGAGCGCTTCGAATTTGGGCCCGTTTTTGTTGATTCTTATCAAAACTCAATAAATTTTGGTGTTTGTACAGCGCCATCATTGATAAAGTATAAAAGGAATGAGTCTTGAAATTCGATTACCAAAAGTAAAATGAACCAAATAACAGTCTATTACCAAAATTCGGCATGAAACCTTTGACGGAGAAAATTAATGGAGAAAAAAGAAAATGATATCGAAAAGAATAGACCTTATATTCTAAAATTAACTATGTGAAAATAAAATGATAAAGCTCATGCTGAAGTTAGAATCAAATCGAATAGCAAATTATTTGAACTTATAAAATGGAAATCTTCATTACTATTGATTTTTGGGTATAAGCTAAAAGCTTCATGGCTTTTCTAAAAAATTAGTCTACCTGTTATCATGTAAACTCAATAAAATAAACTTGATGAAATAAACTTGATACAAAATGAAACCTCGAACGTGTATTGAATGTCTAAAGGTGGCAAGGCGCTACTGCTGCTGCATGGGAAAGTCATTTGCGGGCGGCGAACCACGTCGCGGCATTTTCGGAATTTGTCTTGTTCCCGTCCCTAACCTTATCCAGGAATATGGTTAAAATTTTGCGGCGAGATCGAAGCGCAGCCTATTTTGGCTTCGGCAAATCGGATTATCTAGTAAACCCAGTACTATTCTAAAAAGGCAAAAGAAGAATTGTCAGAAAAGAGCGTTTAAAAGGCCACGGAGACCTTCAAAATAAGACCATCCCGAAGGATAAATTAGACGATTCTTGAATCAGAGATGTCCTTATTTTAGAAATAAGCCCATCCTCAAGGCATCAAGCTCCTCAATTTTCCAAGAGATTTGCCTTTCGCCCCACCCATTCGCTGCAAAATCACCATAATCCAATTTCGCGCTCACTTCGCTATTTAGTAGGTCATGAGAAGCCACACATGCTGTTGATATTTACATTCTCCTCCGCTTCAAGTTACTTCTGCTTCCTTTTGCTTTTGAAAGGCGCTGGCTATCTGGGTAATGGAAGACTTGGGCGTCAAGACTTTATGTAAATATTTAAAAGGGGCTATTTTGGCGGCGGCGCGCTTTCATCCTTGAGCACCTGTAATGATGCGTGGCTTGGGATGCGGTTGAAGTTTCAAACGGGCTGAAAATATACAGATTTCGTTCTTGGCCCACTTTATGCTTTAGATCGATCCATTTGAGGCCTCTTGCTTCTTTGAATGCGAATTTTATGCTGATCATAATCTGAAAGAAGGCAGTATAAAAGCCCGATTTCAATGATTTGATGGAGGAATATTTTACATTTTTTACGAGTGATGAAATGAATCCGAAGAAGCCTCAATGTGTAGTGTTAAAGTTTAACTAACTTTTAGAGACAACGAAATTTACCATTTTCCTTCTCCAGTTATGAAATGAATCTGAAGCTCTTGTTTTTATTCTAATTAGTGTTCCGCGAAAACGCTGACAACACCTCAATAAACACATGACCGTTTAAACTGGGAAAATGATTGGGTTGTGGTTGAACTTCAACTTGAAGTTTCAAACACGCTAAAAATTCAGATGTCGTGGTTGCTTCAGCTTATGTTTTGGATCGATCCATTTTTAGGCATTTTGGTATGACATCCTCGGTATAAAAGTTCAGCATTGACAGAGTACCTGCCCAAAAGTTAAGATAAACTTGCTTTTTTACTCGTTCAAAATGCGATTTTATTGACAAAATGAGTCTAAAACATCTTCATGATCTGTTTTCTCATCTGAATCTTAGAATCTGATCTGTAAATCATGTTAAAAATTATTTTTTTGATGAAACAAAAACATTAGTATAGAAACTTTCATGCCAATGCCGCTGTGAAATAAACATCACCCTGCCGAATCATTATTTTTTTTTGATATTTTTTAATTCTCCCATTGAAATTAAATTGTCTTAAATAAACATTAAATTTTACACTTGCACTGGAACTGACTTGAATGTCGAACCCAATAGTCAAGTTTTTCATAATATTTTCATGTATTTTTTCGCGAAGTAATTGTTGCAAGTTATAATAAATATTCGTCAGCGCGGCGGGCTTAAGAAATTACCAGCACCACTTGGCAGATCCTCTAGACATGGTGGAGGGCTGTCGGCTGAGCCAGATCTTTTCCCAGTCGCCGGCTGGTGGGACCATGGATTCGATGAGCTCATTGGGAACGTAGTCGGGGTCGATGGGGGATTTGCCGGCAGCAGCGGCTTCTCGGATGCGCAGAATTGCTTCCCGTCGGGAATGTTCACTTTGGTTTCCAAGGTAATCTAGGGCGAATTATGTTAGGAGCCTTCGTAAAGCAAAACTACCGGTCATAAAAGGAAAGAGGCCAAGAGCAAAGCCAATTGAAATGGTCCAGAATCGGTCATTCCAGGCCCAGTATCGTCGTTCTTCGAGAGTAAAATCAGCAGCGGGGAGATGAGCATGTTCAGCATCCCAACCGAGTTCTTTGGAGATCCGGGCAAGCTCGGTTTCGTATGTTGTGTTCGACTAAAAACACGATGAGGTTGGGGATAGAAGCGGGTCTTACCTCAGCGGGGAACCAACCACGCTCGGAGAAGAAGTGCATGTAAAGCCAGTTGTTCTGGGCTCCTCGCATCTGTTCAGGGGTTGGTGCGTGCCACTCGCCACCGCGACGAAGCGAATTTCGAAGCGAAGCGATGGGGCGACTGAGAACCGACCGCATTCTTGAATTGAAAAGGTTGAAAGGCGACAAGTTCGTGAATAATACTTTGATTTAATGAAGAGGGAATAGAGAGAAGGTCAATATCAGTTATTTTTGTTCAAAGCAGGAAATCATCAGTTTCAAGAAAAAGCTTCAGAATAAAGTTTGGAACTATTTATTTCTTCGGTGGAAGCGGGCATGAAACACCAGTACCCTTGAGGCCACAATAACCCCATGGGTTCTTGCTCAAATATTGTTGATGGTAGTCTTCGGCGTAGTAGAACTCGTCCAGCATTTTAATTTCAGTAGTGATTACGGAGTTGATGTTCTTTTTCTTCAATTCGTTTTGGTAAAAGTCGCGAGAGGAGCGGGCAAGAGCGAGATCTTCTTCACTGTTGGTGTAAATAGCGCTGCGGTACTGGGGCCCTCGGTCATTTCCTTGTCGGTCGCCCTGAGTTGGATCGTGAGCTTCCCAGAAGACTTGGATGAGGCTCTCGAGCTTTGGGAGAGAAATTAAGTTATTGAAAGGGAGGAATGAGCATTACCGGCACTTCTGATGGATCATAAACGACTCGGACAACCTCAGCATGTTGATTCTTCATCGCATGTCCTTTGCAAGTCTCCTCATAGGTCGGATTCGGGTACCCGCCGCCTGCATAGCCAGCTTGAGTGGACCAAACTCCCTTTTGCTCCCAGAATCGTCGTTCCGCGCCCCAGAAGCAGCCCAGTCCGAAAGTAATGGACTGGGTGTTATCCGGGAATTCAAACAGCGAGTTGCCATTCACATGATGTTCTTCGGCCACAGGACCGACTTTGGGAAGAGTTCGCATGGTCAAGTGGCGCTGCCCGTGAAGCAAGTTTCTGAGAAAGTTCATTCTTTGAATATCTTACTTGAGCGAATTATGGTTGAAAGAATCAGGCACTTTATTCAATGGACATGTAGTAATATAGGATGTATAGTATTTTCTTGATAAGATATTGAATATTTGAAGTCACCAATATAAAGAGTAAAAGAAAGTGTAAAGCGTGAAAATTGATGATTGGTTAAAAAAAACAGATTGGCATTAAATTGGGAGTAGAGCTTGTAATTTTGCATTCTTGCCTTGAAGTGTTAGAGTCTTGAATTGGTCTAAATTTGAAATTTGACATGGCTAGGAGAAACGGGTTGGTTTGAATTCATGCAACAATTGAAAATCATTTGATCTTTGTGGAACATCAACAATTAGGTTAAAAGTAAAGAAGATAAGTAAATAAACAAAAGAACATGTGTTAGTGCAGTAAAAATTCGCTGGAGATATTGATCTTGAAAATTTTTTCTCCAGCGTTTGTTTGAGTTGAAATGTGAACATTCTGTGCGCAAGTAAAAATGTAGTAAAATTGATAAAGAATCTCTCAATAAAGAAAGGATCAAAGAAAAGAAGAAGTTTATTCAAGTTGAAATGGAATTGTTGTTTCAGGGTTTGTTCATTTTGCATTTATCCGCAGATTTCGACGGGTGTCGTGACCATTTGCTTCTTGACGGGATCCCAGACGGTCTTGAACTGCTCGACAACGGCTTTCTCGGTGTAGTCGTCTCCTTCGGGGATCATGATGTTGATCTGAAGAGAGTTAACATCTGATCATCTTTGTTTGACCTTACCTCAGAAACTTTAGCAGTAATGATTTCACAGTCGATCGATTCCTTGCTCAGATACATTTGGAAGCCATCAGTCTTATCGACTAAAGCACAGTGAAAAATGACGAAAACGATCAAAGATACCATTAATGATTGGGCATTTTCCAGTGACTTGCGCCTGGATTCGCTGACTGTTGATAACTTCGATACCGGCGACGGAATCGTTGAAGACAAGTGCGCACTTTTTGCAGGTGTCAAGGATGATGCTATTCACCTACAACAGGGTTAATTTATGGAGAGCAAGAGGTTGATAAAGCCGACCTTTCCATTGACAGTAATTGTTGAGTCCTGGCATTTGAAGACATAGACAGTTTGTTTCATGTTTCCATCGATTGTGAGACCTTTGTTTCCTCGTTGATACTCGATCTAAAAGAAGGGTTTTAGATTTTGGAAGGAGAAAGGTCAGTTTATTACCATCCATTTCTTGCTGTCGAGCTCGAAGACGGGATCCTTGACAACTTCAGTTTTGACGACGCTTTTTGGCTTAGGCGCGCTGTAGGGCTTTGCAGATGAGTTGACCTGGCTGGTTTTCCTCAGGGCAGTGTTCTTGTGTGTTTGCATATCACTCGTTACTTTTTTCAAGCCTAAAGAAAAATGAGAGCTTTTCCTCGCGAAGGAGAGTGTTAGAAAATAGCCACGCAGATGAGTTAATACATTCAAATTCAGAAAACCCGATTAGAAGTCGATCTTTATTACCCAAAAGCGATCTGACATATTCCGTTAAGTCCCAGAGTAATTCTAATAGCCAGAACTTTAAGCTTTGTTCTTTCGCTCTTTTAGCTCGATTTGCGTACCTGCAGTAATATCAGATCCCTTATTGAGCGCGGCGAAGAGTGCCGATCTGTCGATTTCCTCGTTGCCGCCAGCAGAGGCCGCTGGGAGACCCTCTGCTGGTGGTGGAGGTGGTGGAGGTCCTCCGGGCGCTGATGGAGGTGGTGGTGGCGGAGCACCTCCAGCTGCTGCGCGAGGTTTAGGCGCCACTTTTGGCTTTTCGGATCCGGCAGCGCCTGGCTTCGCAGGTGAACCCTAAGTAGGTTAGTTTCAAAACAATGTCACACAAAACCAAAAAACACATGCTCTTTTCACACTTTTTTCAGATGGGGTCAAATGATTTGACTCAAATCAAAACTCAATCATCTTTACCCTGTGAGATGCCAAGTCCTTTCGAGTTGATTTCATTGAATAACGCGAGCGTATTTTCATCACTCGTGGGAGGAGCGGGCTTGGCGGATGCTGGTGGTGGAGGAGGAGGTCCCATGGGCGGTGGAGGAGGGATAAAATTGGGGACAGGGGGTGGGGGAGGGCTAGAAGGAGGTGGAGGGGAGGCAATGAAGACCGAGGAGGAGGGGTGGGGGATTTTCGGTTGGGCTTTGGGGAAAGAACAGGGCGCATAATGTGCTTTGGCTCTAGCCGTGATCCCTGAAGGGATGATAAATTACATGGGGCTTGAGTTGAAGTACCTGTGGATTCCAAGTCAGTCCAGTAGTATGGTGCTGCTTGATGTAAGCCTGGAGCTCCCTAAGCGCCCCTAAGAGCAATTTAGTCCACGCAACATGCTCGGGCGATGTCTCTCTGTATTCCTTGAGAACTCGGTTCGTGTAAAACATCGCAGCGTCGCTCATTTCCTTGACATAAGGGCCAGGTGTTGGGGAAACGCAGATCCAGGACACAGCTGAATTTTGTGTAAACAACGGGTTAATGAGAAGGGTTCAGAAACGTATCGTTGAAGTTTATTAACAATTGCTATTTTGGTATTTTTTAGTATTGGAGCTCTATTGTTGCATAAACAACAAAATTCATGCATAAAAAGCGCCCGATAATTACATACCCGGAATGGCTTCGGAGACGGCCGACAAGTGGTTGAAGTATTTCGAGCGGCGGGATGCCTCGCGGAACTCCGTTACGCCAGTAATTGCTTTGACCTGCGGTTCGAGGATCTTTTGGAGGTCACTGTCGGCGGGTTTGGAATGTTTTGCGGCGAGGAGGATGAAGGTCTTCTGCGCGTCGAAGACTTTTTGGACGAGAGCGCCCATTTTTGCGATGTCGTCGCCGAGGGCAGTGGACGCGTCGACAAAGGGCTTGATGGAGGAGTCGAGCCACGCTGAGTAATCAAGGAAGGATGGACTTGAAAAGCTTGAGAGAGTTGGAGAAGAACATCTTTTTACCTGGTTGAAGCAGCATCAGCGCTAGAATCACCACCAGCAGCGGGGGCAGCAGCTCCTCCGGCGCGCCCTTCCAACTTGGCGACCGCAGTCTCCAATCTAACCAGCAAACTTTCTAGCTTTGCCGTGTCCATCTTAACCCCTTTTTATGACAAGCGAATTGAAAGAAATAATTACAAAGAATAAAATTAAATTGAACTTTGATCGCACAGTCGTCAAATTATACAGAATCAGAGAAGATTTTGAGATTGAAAGATTTGAAAAGATTGAGGAAGAAAAAATTGTGAGGTCTTGAAGCGGGAATTTACGAAGGCACTCGGTAGTCATTGATTAGAAAAACAGTGAAGCGTATGCTTATAAAGAAGCATCTCTCTATCCTCCGATAGACGTCATGGCACGGTTTTGGTCACGTGTTTTCTCTAGAAACTCCATTCCGCCGTGAGAAGCCTTCTTGTGTTGAAGATGATCTTGTACGATGGTGAGTAATTCGTCATCGCTGCGGAAATAGATGTTACAATAAATCAACTTCGCAATAAAATAAAAGATAGACTGATACGCTAGACAAAAAATTATTCCCTCGTAATCGTGAAAATTACGGTCACGAACGCTAAAAAATGAGGGACGGTAATCAAGCCTCAATTATGCGATAAAGCATCGTAATTGAGCTCGGGTTAGAGAGATAAACTCAAGGGCTGATTGTGACTCACCTAATGCTTGAATCCCGGAGGTACTTTCTCAAATCTAAGTCGTCTGTTTCGTTCGAAAAGAGGCAATTTTTAATCATCCCATCAGCAGTGAGCCGAATTCGATTGCAGCCAGAGCAAAAAGGTTGACTCATCGAGCCAATAATCCCAAAGTTGCCAGCAAAGCCCGGAACACGGTAGTTTTTCGCGACATCTGATCTCTCGCCTCGTTGATGCTCTATTTCGCCGAACTCGGCTGTTACAATTCGAAGGATTTCACGTAGCGAAATGAAGCGTTTGCCTTTTGCCCATTCATTTCCATTGAAAGGCATGAATTCGATGAATCGGACGGTGATTGGGAGGTCCTTTGACAACTTTACGAAGTCGATGATTTCGTCGTCGTTCAGCCCACGCTGGAGTACGCAGTTGATCTGAATTAATCGATGATTACTAATCATTACTGACTGTCAAAAGTAAACACCAGAAGTTTGATCTTAATTGGATAAGTTAAGACCCAGGAAGGGCAACCAAAATCAAAAAATGAGTAATAACTACTCATTATAATGACTTACGATGATTCAAATTCATGATGAATCATTATTGTTCATCTTGACTCATATTGATTCATCAGTTCTCATCGATGTGTCATCAATATGACGAATTCAAAAGGGAAAACAAAAGTGGTGGCGCCACAGCGCGCGATGAGTCATGATGACTCACCGATCCATCCTGATGAAAAAGGGAAAGTTTTCCCTTTTCACCGGGTATATAAAGGCGCGCGAAAATGGAAATCTCACACACCAGTGCCAAAAATAAAAACTATCAAACCAACCACCACAACCAAAAAAATGTTATTTTTTCAAAAAGAAAAAGAGATTACTAAAGGCTCAGACGAGGGCTTTGAGGAAGAATGCGAAGCGATTCATAATCATGACGATTATATAATCGAAAAGCTTCTTGAGAATGATAGAGAGGATGATATTGATATCTTTAAAAAACCTCCGCATCCAATTCATATACTTGACGATATCAAGGAATATTACGATGCTAGAGGCATCTATTGGTATCAGAATAAACACGCAAATGTACTTGTTCGGGCAGAAACATGCCGAGGAACTGAATACGTTTTTTACGTAAATTGGGTACCCTGTACCACGGTGAGATTTTATACCTCTTCCGAGAAAAGTTGGGTGCAACCCTTTGAAAAATGGACTTGGGACCAAATTCCTGTATCTGATATTCTACGATGGCAAGAACGAAATGGACTGAATGGTACGAAGAAAATGGAAGAATGATAAAGAAAAAATGACTGTAGTTTGACTGTGCAAACTGTGCGCCGAAGGCAACAGTATTACTGAAAGAATGAAAAAAATAAAACAAAAAAAAAACAAAATCTACGTTTACCTTTGTCGTTATTCCAGCATCAATCGAATTCTCAATCGCTTTCATGACCGAAAAATGCATCTCCTTCGGCCTCCTCGTGATAAACTCCGCTTTCATCGGCTCCAACGTATCCAAGCTGATATTCGCCGTGTCGAGTCCCGCTTCCTTCAGTCGTTTAGCCTTTCTTCTTGAAAGAGAAACGCCATTCGTAGTTATTCCTATTTGCTTGACTCCATCTTCTCTGAGCGAATTCAAGTCAGAAATAATCTCTTGAATTTCTTTTCTGACGAGTGGCTCTCTTTGCAAAATGTAAAATTAGCTTTTCAAGCGTTTGCAAGTGGCTTACCCACCAGTGAGACGTATTTTGGAGACGCCGGCGTTTTTCACAAGCAAGGAGCTGAAAACAGGGTTAGACAAAAGGGAGGACAAAGGAAAGAGACCTGAAACGGTAGAGCTCTTGAGCAGATAACAGCTGATCCGAGGGGGTGAGCTTCACGCCCTCAATTGGCATGCAGTACCTAAACAAAGAAAATTAAGGGTCTACCAAACGATATGTTGGTGAGTTGACTAAGGAAAATGAATAGATAAGAGACCACGAACTCATACAACAGGTCATTTTGATTGGCTCTAGAATTCTTCAATCTGAAAGTGGCCCCCTTAGTCCGAAAATTCAGGGGATATCCTTAAAATTTGAGCATTTTTTCAATAATTCTAGAGCCAAGCAAAATGAGCGGTTACACCAGCTTCTTTCACTTGTTCGACTTGTAAAACAACTCCAATTTTGACCCTGAACTTCCGGTTAGTACCTGCATCGCAAGTTGCATTTTTCCGTGAGGGAAATTCTCAAATAATCATGCGGTCGACCGTGACTGTCCACCAGCGTCCCAAGACGTCTGCCAAACGTCCGAGACATTGATTCTAAACACAACCTTCCCAAAAAATTGTCAAAACAAACAGATGTTGAAATCTCAAAAATTTTCAAAAAGAAAAATAATTCAAAAAGTGGTGTTAGTCTAGTATTTGGTCAAAACTTGAAATATAAATTCAGAAAGTCTAAGAAACGAAAACGAAACTGGTTATCGATGTAGTGAAAGTTGAATAGTGACAGATAAAGGCAGTGAAGATAAAAGAACAAAAAAGGTGATATAGGTCTTGTGAGGTGATTATGAAGAAGAAAAACGATGGTCGTCTCTGTTTTAGGGATCGTTGAGGATTTCTTTGATTGAGCGGTATTTCCAAGCAGTTTTCTGAAGAAAAATTTCAATGATTGATGAGATGAATTACTATCAAGACTCTCGGGAACTTCACAAAGTGACACCCTTAGTTTTCTGCTAATTTAAGTCCTGTATGATCTCCAAATTTAACGGATTTACCTCGATATGATAATCAGCTTCTTCGGCAATCTCCGCTAATCTTGCTGCTCTTGACGGTCCAGAACCAACTTTATTCTCTGAATTATATAATCGGTAAACTTCACATCTTCAGTACTAGAATCCTCACCTTTATCGATTTCAAACGTGCTCTGATCACTAACATGCGTCGTATCTTCCGTTTTGTTAAACAAGCTCGATTCATCGCTTTCGCTGAAATTCAATGGGGGAGGACGTCTACTTTCATCGGGCTCTGGAATTTCAATTTCCTCGATTTCACTTGAGGTTTGTTCCGCTTCGGACATTTTTTCAAAATGAAATTATTTGAAATTTGCCTAGCTCAAACTTTGGGTCAATTTTGACCAGCTGACGTAAAAAGGTGTTTATCTTGTTTCTCGAAAGATCCAACAAACATTTTAGATGACCGGAGATTCAAGAAAAAGGTCGATTTTATTGAGGAAAACTCAAGATTTATGTCGCTATAAAACTATTTCTACAGAGTCTTTCGAAAATCAATGCCAGTAAAAACTTTTAATGAAACTTCGTACACATATTCAATTAAGAAAATTTTAACCCATCAGAGCACCGACGGTCAGAAAATTCAATTATTATCCACCAGACTAAATTCTTGCCATCTCTTCAAGTTTTTCTGTAGATAAGTAATAATTAAGTGTCGAATAACCGCTTTTACGCACTTTTGTAACACAAAATTTTAACCCATCAGCGTACCGACGGTCAAAAAATAACGTTTTTCAGACTCAACTTCGCTAGTTTTTCTTGTCGAGAGCCCGTGCATATCATTTTCCGGATCATTTGCACTCATTTCTCTATCCTTCGTTCGTTCCTTTCTTCTTCAACTCCCTTCTCTGAGTAAAAATTCTAGAGCTGAACACCACAATTGCGATTCTTTTTGATTCTTCTGAGCGGCGAGAATTTCAGGCGCAGCGCGGCGGTGGCGATTGGCCGCTGCTCTTTGCCCAATCAATTTCAACAAAGAACTCAAAAACTCAAAGATTTTCTTCTGTACCCAAACGTGAGAACTGATAAGCCCTTGAGTGATACGACTGTATTTTACGATGAAGAAAGAGATTAGCCTGAAATTCTGTTTTGTAGATGGGCTCGGGTCCGTCCAGGACAGTCGAATGGGACGAATTAGAGAAACATCCGCTGTTAATTAGGCAATGGGATTGCTACCTGACTGTGACTAGATAATTAATTTATCATTCAATCATTTTAGTTGGAATTTTAATTCGGGGAAAGTGACTTTTTGTGATTTTGACCGTTTTTTTCTAATAAAAGCCTGTAAGTTTTCTTGTTGAAAATTCCTCTTGAAAGACTTTTAAATGAGAAAGTAACATCTGCCGACCCTCTCTGGAACCAGTTCCTGTCATTCAAATCCCCTCAATATGAAAAACCCTCTCCAGCTTCCGACAAAGGTATAAAATTTTCCTCTTCGTTCTCCTTTTTTATCATCAATTCTAGTCGTCCGGAATATTTGTCGAAACTTCCTGGCGAATTCCCGCTCAAATGGCAACTTGAAATCTCTGATCGATCAATTTACAGTTCGGCATCAAGAAATACTGACAGCGGTCGAGTATGGTGACAACATCTTCCCCTGGCATTGTACAAACTCTTTGTATGTCATCAGACGACTAGTCCTTCATCTCGTTGAGAATTTCGACGAAAAGACTTTCCTCGCGATTTTGAATGAAAACGAAGAAACGACGGTGGAGAATCTCCTCAAATGTCTGGTAGACGTTCTTTGCGATTTAGCTTCGCTCACGGAAGAACTCTTTTCTGCCGTTTATTTTTTCACCGAAGAAGCTCTTCAACTGCTCCTGATCTTTCAATCTGTGACGATGTTTCAATCAAGCGAAAACTACCAATCCGAAGTTTCGAAAATCTTCGACAAAATATCGGCCGAAAATTCGAAAAATTTGCCAAGAGCGCTGATTGCTTTTATGGAAGCGAAAAGGTACGAATGGTGCGTAAGCTTGATTTTTGATTCTTGATTCATTGAAATTCTCTGTTCAGTGAAGATCCAAGGACGGAAGCGATCAACTCTTCAAGCGGGTTCGTTTTTGGAATCTTGTCGATGCTTGGTTCGAGTTCCCCAGAAGTTCCAAATCAGAGAAAACACAGGTACAGTCCTAGGTACGCCCTTTAAGGTATCTGATGAAAATTTGTAGCATATCAAAATTATCCGAAACGCTTCTACTATCTTTCACAATGACTCCACTGCCAGAAAAATACCAGGAAAAAAATTCCTTGAAACAATCGATCCTCACTTCAGTCCCGAACGGAATATTAGAAGAAGATCGAGTTCAACTCCCCTTTGGAAAAATTTATGAAGCGATGATTGGTAAGTCCCCTTTTTCTTTTTTTTTCTTATTCATTTTAATAATCAGAATCGATCAGTACGGAGCCAGGAGTGTTGCTTCTGTACATTTTGATCCACGAAAACGAGTCGTTCAAAAACTACGTGCTGAGCAAAACCGATATCGACCGACTCATCCTTCCCATTTTGAAGATTCTTTCTCGCCCTGAAAAGAACTCTTCGCATCATCTTTACATGACATTGGTTGTGCTTCTGATTCTCACTGAAGATGATACGTTTTGCGCGCAAATTAATGAAGTTGTGTTGAAAAAGGCTGACTTGGATTTTTACAATGAAGATCAAGCAACGGCAAATATCATCGAAATCATCAATTTATCAAGCCTTGTTCAGGTAACTTTCTTTGTTTAGTTCACGACTTTCAATGTAAAATTACTAGTTGGTGCTAATGAGAGTCATTCAATTCAATTTGTCGCGAGTGAAGGACCAGTATCTTCACACAAACTGCCTGGCCGCTCTTTCCAACGTCGGGATACGACTGAAGGGTATCCATAGACGCGTGAGCCAGCGATTTCTCAACCTTATTACCATCATTTCCAAGCGCCTCGATATTTCCAACGATGGTAAGCTCTAAGCTCAATTTTCTGCTCGTCTTTTTCATTCAACTTTTCAGAGGCAAATCACGTGGCAATTTTGAAGACGTTGCTGGACATCATAAACGCATGTTTGAGTCAATCTCTCGAGCAGAACTTAGAGCTTGTCTATCATCTCCTTCATCAACGAGCTTCGATCAACAAGCTCAGGTCCATTCCTGGATTTGCAGAGCTAGTTGACAACATCGAGCTTGTCATTGGCTTCTTTTCCGGGCATTTGAAGCTTGGGCAAGAAGAAACTCCTGTATTGAATACATCCGAGATCCAGGCGATTATCAGCCAAGTCGTCCGACAATTGCCCAGATCAAAATTAAAGTATGCTTTTTTCGATTATTTGAAGCTTCAAAAACGTTTTTCAGACAATTCCCGCCGCTAAAGTTCCATTACGAGGAAGACGAGTCTCCTGAAAAATTCTTCGTGCCTTACACTTGGTCAGTGATTTACCGCAGTTTTTCGCAAATCGGCTGGGACGTTGCTAAAGTCCAGTTGTTCGAAGTCGACGCATTTTTATAACAGTTTCCTTTACCTATTCTATGCTAATTTATGTTTATGTAACATAACAAAGTTAATCTATGAAAACTTATCAATCTTCCTTTTATCCTCCTTACCATATGCATACAGGTGCAATACTATTTCTGTACTCAGATCGCTGAAGAGCTTTATTATTAATTAAAAATAACTCAACTCTTTATTTTGAAGATGGAGTGAAATCACGGCTTTTGGGGTTTTTCGAGAACCCTAAATGAACTTTCTTTGTCGTGAAATCGAAATGTTTCTTCGATTGTAACAGTAGTCCATGTCTCTGATTGCACCAGAAGCTAAATCTTCTTCCCAAGGTACGACCTTATGTCACTGTAATATCCAAAGGTCTCTTTAGATGCGAGTAGCCAAATCCGCCGAGCATACAAGGTCGCCCTCGACGCTGCTCGCCGGATCAAGGCCGGAAATGACAAGACCGACATTTTCACCGTTTCGCAAAAGCAGATGCGCCAAAAGCTTCGCGACAACAGTAAGATTCCTTTCGATATCCTGTGCCTAACAAATCGTAGTGCGAAGATGTATACTTGCATCTCCGGAAGAATACGGCCCCATGAAATTGGAAGAGACGGCCTGGAAGTACACCGTTCATGGAGTCGTTCAAAGGCTCAAGAGAGACTACAAAGGCTCCAAGTCAGAAGCGACTCAACTCAATAGTAGGGTCATCTTTGGGAGTATAATATTTATCATCGTTTTCAGTGCGAATGTTTTTGGACTGTTCGTACGGATGGTACAAGAGTTTCATGTTTCAATGTAAGTTGGGAGACTTCAAATATGTTTTAATGAGTGTTCTAGTGCTGGACAAGCTGAATGAAAATGGAGGAGCGGAGAACATTTATTTCGATTGGTGGAGTGCCGACAACTACGATGACGACGACAAGAAAGTCGACGAAAATGAGGACCAAACTGCTGACAAAAACAAAGTGAATACAATTCTGCTTAATTTATGTTATAAGGTGAGCAGACCCGGTTTTTTCCTAATTCATAATTGAATCGATTATTCTAGTGTCTTATGTATCTTGGTGATATTTGCCGTTACGCTTGTGACCTGCTTCCTGGGATTTATAGTTCAAAATTGCCTTACAGGTACTATTAATAACATCAGCGGCCAAATTTCAATAAACGTAACTTCAGATATTACATGCAAGCCCTGCATCTGTTCCCAAATCTGGGAATGCCCTGGAATCAAGTGGGAACCCTCATGTCCAACAAATATCACGGTGTCTTTTCTCTATTTTTCTATCGCCGCTGCCTTCAATCCGAGAACCCGTATTCTGATTCCTTCCAAAATCTGAAGCGAATGACCGACCGCGCTAAAAAGAGCTACCAAATGTACCCGAGAAATCAAATGGACAATCTATCACTAGGTAAGCTAAATACTCCATTGTTCACGTGACCAACAACCCAGATGCGTCAACGAGTGAGCGAAAACAAGCTGTTTACTGGTTTTGCATCGTCTTCCTTCATCTCAACGGAATGTTCCATCCCGCTACTTACTGTACCGAGCGCGAGCTCAATACAGGCTGCCGTCGAATGCTCGACCTTCTCGATCTCTGTATGTACTTCGATCCTGCCGATTCTGACGGAGAAGCTGATCTTGACCCGAACGCAGACAACAAACCAGGCTTTATCAAAAGAGCAGCAGTAAATATCGAAGGCCCTGATAGCTTGCAATCGAACTTTTTGGTGGTTGTTTTTGCGACGCTGATTCAAAATTTTGACGACCTGAGGAAACAAAAATCGAATCGACTCAAAGGTGAAAGATTCTTTTTGAGAAGTCTACTTACTCGTATTTCTAGCTGCGAATGCTCTGTTCGTCGCTGCAGCTGATCACGTCGTCAATCACGCGATTCAGCAAATTCTTGAGTGCGTTCGTCTTGAGCCTGTCACTGCATCGCGCTCTTCCGCATGTGCTACTCCTGATTTCCCGGATGGACCTGACTTTGGCGACTCTGACAATGACGCCGCTCTAGAAGAAGAGCCTCCTCCAGAACCTGTGGTAAACCGGCCAAAAAAGCCGGTTTCTAAAAGAGTATCGCCACCAAAATCGGCTATGTCGAGATTTCGCCGTGGAGGACTAGAAGCGGATCTATCCGAAGGTGAATCAGACCTATCAGAAGTCTCTGAAGAGGAAGAAGACGAGATTTGTTATTCAACTGATTCCGCGGACGACTCGACTTTTTCGCAAGAAATGGACTCTGACGACGAGCCAAGACCAACCCAAACTGCGCCACTGTTTGCTAGTAGCTCTAGGAATACGAATAACAACACAAATGGACCAAAAGATGGGCCAGAAACAATCATGGAGGAAGAAGAGTCGGAATCGGCGGAGGCACAATCTTCTGCAAGCATTTCTCGGGCTGATGCGCCAAGAAAATTGGCTTGCAGCTTCGGGATTAAAATCAATGGAGGTGGCGACACTAGTGGGAACGATGAACGAAAGAGTGATTCGGAAGATAGTAACTCCGAGGATGACGCAAATGACGACGAAATGATCTTTGAGTTTGATGATGGGGTGGAAAATGAGACTCATGAAGTAGCGGAAGAGAAAGAAGACCTGAGTGAGACAGAGGAAAACATCGAGGATCAGGACGAAGAAGCGGAAGTTGAAACTCTCGACTACGCCCTCATCGTTGAGCTTTTCAATAAGTTTCACGGTCTTTCATCGCTCAAGATAATTTGCGACTGGCTTCTTGGGAATGGCGACATTATTGAAGAATGTGAAGGTTCTCCTCTTTGGTCGAGGCTTGTCAAGCTTTTCAACTCCTTCGACCTTGAACTGCTTCTTGAGGAGAAGAAGAATGTGAGTGAGACTGCCCTAAAAATAGCCACTGGCGATGAGACCTGGATTCAACCATTTTCACTTTGGGAAGATAGATTTCTCAACGGGATTCCAATAATGTCTGATTGCCACGAACACGTCGATTTTAAAACGAATCCGAAGCTGTCTCACTGGGAAGAAAATCTACTCAGATTTTGTTCGATAAAGAAATTGCTCAAGAGCTGCGTAGAAAAGTACCCGAAAACGGGGGTGACTTTAGGCGAGGATGGCCAGTTCGCTGGAAAAGAGGTGAAAGAGGTTGATGACGAGTTCAACATCAAGGGAACGTTCTATGGCGAGAGAGCTGGTTTAGATCAGAAGATGCCAGGGACTTATGTTATTCCAACTCCAGCAGCTTTATGCGGTGGCATTGATAGTATCAAAAAGATAAACCGAAACGATGATGTCCACATGATTATCACGAACATAATTATTGATGGTCTCGACATGATGAAGAAAGACTCGAAGGTGAGTCTTCCATGTTTTCAGCACTTTTGATTTCAATTTTTTTCAAGGAAGCGCGTGAGGTAACAAGATGGTTAGACATCGCCTTCAGTCGATGCGAAGGAAACTTGAAGAGCATCCAACAACACGAGCAAAAGAATCTTCAACGACTTCGTCGATTTGACTTCACTGGATGGCTGCTACATCACCTTGTGAATCAAGGAATACGATTACAACGGCAACGAAAACATGTGGTGCTACTAATTGATTCTGCTAACTCACAGGTTCTCATCCAAAGTATAATAACGTTGTCCTTAATCATTGTTTCAGACAACGCCGGAAGTGAAGAAAGCACTTCAAATGGCATCAGCGAACAATCTGCAAATCCAAACCGTAGAAGAATTCGTTCGGTTTCTCGATAGAAATGATTGAAATAAAGAGCTTTTATTTAACGAAAATGAAATTCTGAAGGTGCTTAATTTAGACTGGGTGTCGTTGTAAGGAAGAACTAGACAGATATGGAGGCCACTCAGCCGAACTTGTGCAAGATACAGCCCACAGTTCTCTTCCAGATCATTGATTACCACGAACGAAAGGGGGCAAATATTTCAGAGAAGGAAAAGGCTCCCAAGTAAGTTTTTTTATTAGAAATGAGTATTGATGTTGCTAAGCCGGGTTATCGGTACACTCTGTGGCTCGATTGATGGCGGAGTCGTGACTGTTGGAAGCTGTTACAAAGTCCCACACAAAGAAGATGACAACGAGGTCGCTATTAACATGCAGTTTAATGAAGATCTCTTCAAGCTCCAGAAGAAAGTAGCTCCCAATGATATGATCATCGGCTGGTTTACTACCTCAAAGCGTAAGTGCCTCGGAAGATGGAAAGATTTAACCGCAGCCTTCAGAAATCGACAATAATGATATGACATTTATGGATTACTACGCACGGCTGATGAGCACTGCTCGACAGGGTAAGGGCGGTGTTCACCCAATCGTCCTGATGGTCGACACCGCTCCTACCAATGGCAAAATCGACATCAAAGTCTACACTCTTTTGAAGACTAAGATCGGAAAGGTCGGCGGAAATTCCCTCTTCTTCGCTAAAATCTAAATCCATTTTAGCGTCAAATTGAGGGTTCGATGCCTCTTTGGCTTCAGACAGAGATTATGTACTCGGACGCCGATCGAACCATCCTCGACGAGCTTAGAAAATGTTCCGCCAGCAGCAGTCGGAAACTCACGCTGCCCACTGGAATCGACCCCCTCAAGAGCTCCGTCGACAGTATCATCGATAACTTGAAAGTCATTCAGGAATATGTTAACGTATGATATCCACCTTGATTTCATTCAATCAATCTTTCAGGATATTTTGGAAGGAAAGAGAAAGCCAAACTCGATCGCGGGCCGCCTGCTGACCGACTTCTTCCACTCGATCCCCCACGCTGACGCCGAGGTCTTCGAGAAGATGCTCAATAGCAACGTGAACGACTACTTGATGGTGCTGTACCTATCCCAGCTTGCGAACGTAGAGTTAGCCCTGAACGAGAAGCTTATCATGGCGCAGTAAGAAGCTCAAGCTCACCCCACTCAACAAACACCCACCGAAGAACATCTTATTCTCTCTTTCTCATTTTGAGCCTTGCTTTCTGTACCAATCAAAAACGCAACAACTCTAGTCTCAAATTGATCTCCATACCCTCCATATGAGCACCATTCTTTCGTGCGCGCCGCATCTAGCATCAATTTTTGCTAGATGCGGCGTAAATAGCTCACCACCTCCACTCCACAACACTACCAGCCATGAAACGTTAATAAAACAACCTGAAAATGGCAAAATGGTGTCTTGACTGTTAGGTTAATATCTCAATTTACTCTTGAAGTTCATCTAGTCTAAAAGAAACCCTACTTCGAATCCTGGCAGCTCCGCTAAAATTAGACATTGCTAAGAAACGCGTCGAGTTCTGTTTTCGAAATCAATATAAGCTAAATCATCTTAATTCTAAGTCTTTAAGTCAATCGTAAACTCCAAAAAACAAGAAAAAAACTTATATAAATTTCGTCGTCTTGTAATTGCTCAGGAAGTTCAGACTGATTTTCAACTACTTCGCAGGTGAATTTCTTGCGTCCGGAAAGAGGTGGTATTTGGCTACTGTAGACAATTCGTGTGCCGATTCTCCTGAAAGTGAAATCAACAAGGAAGACGATCGCTTTAATTTCGACTTACATAGGATCTGACATCGTCAGATCGCTCCTGGAAGAGGCTTCTTCTTCAATCGCTGAAATTTCTCCCGTAAAGTCAGTTTTTCCTTCTGAAGATATTTCGTGTTCCATACTGCTCTTTTCTAAATTGTGCTTGCAGACTGTTCCATCATCCACCGGAGCATCAAGCCTTTTGTTTGCCATAATTGCCCACGTGACAGATAGCGCCACCAATATTATTGAAATTGTTATCACGAGACTGTCAATTGAGTTCAATACTGTGCTTCCATGATGAGAATAACGATAATATATAATTATATTCTATCTGTCTATTTCTGAATAACAGACCGCTTTTATTGAACTCTAACTCCAAGCAACAGAATTAAAAACAGCTATTGATTCTAGGAAGCATTCATTCTGCTGGATAACTTTGCCAGTGTAAGGGTTACTAAAGGAGCCGCAGTAGATGCCTGAATCATCAGACGAAGCATTTATTTTCTCAAGGCTTTTCTTTAGGGTCTCTATAAATAGTTCTGAATAATTGAGCGGGAGCGGTTAATACATTTGTTATACATTTTCCGACCATATTCCAGACCCTGGTTCCTTTTTCCGCAGTCTGTCGATTCCCACCCTTCTGCCAGAAAAGTCACCCTCGGACTCTTGTCTCTATCCTTGTACTCTATGTTTCTCAATGATTTATTCAGTCATTGATGAAGTAGTACCTGTTTTACAAATGATCTTTGTGTCATTTATTTCCACCCCTGTCTCAATCAGACTTGATTGATCGTCCCTGCACGCATCAGTATCCAAAAAGTCGCTTCGAAAAGATGTTCGAATTCTTGGCAATCGGCGAACAATGAATATCAACCCTTCAGGAATTGATCTGGGTCTTATTTTTGCTGAGAATATTTTCCGTCAAAAGACATGTTTAAAATGTAGAGGTTCGAATGTTAATTATCGGAGACTCAATGGCGATTGAAGGATTAAATTGAAGGTCGAAAAATGATTCTTTACATTCAGTAAACTGATGATGAAACCATATTTCTGTGACCTTAGGTCCTTGACCTACAGTAAAAACGGGTAATAATAGGTCAAAAATTGATGGAATCTAAAGCTCGGACCGTACAAATATGAATAATTCAATGCGATCGACAAATAGATTTTTTCAAAAAACTACGGGAACGAGTGCCCTTGAAATAAACTTTTTTGAGAATTCTCAACTGACCTTGAGCACTTCGACGAACTTATCGTAAATATCTGATTCAGCGGTACTCCTCTATTTTGTGCCCTAAAGTCCATCGGGCTTCTAAAGCTCGGAAAGTCAAAAAAAGTGCCGGCGGCGAGTGACGATTCCAGCGAGTTTATTCCGCGCTTGCTCTTTTCCTCTTTTGTGAAAAATTGATAGGGCGACTCTTACAGTACACTTCGTCCTGTTCACTTCAAGTAACTGTTCTGTTATTTGGCAGGGCAAATCTTTAATCCGACCAATTCGCATTTTTCGCTAATTAACATGACAATTCGGCTAGATGGAGCAAAGAGCATTGAGCTCATTTTTATTCAGTTTTAAATTTTCACCGCGAAAATACTGAAACTGCAAATTGTTGATGGTTTGAATTTAGAAAAAGGCCCCAACCGAAGTTTTTTCATTAAGATCAGATGGTCGAATCGAAAGATAAAATCCGTAGTGGTCGTTCAGGTTCCACCAGTTCTTCAAAAGACGGTAAAGAGCTTATTTTACCGCTTTGTAAAGCTTTTTCCTTCAGACAAGAAAGAAGTAGCAAAGAGAAAATTGTCTGACTCTGGAAGTGCGACGGATAAAAAGATGAAGATTGAGAGGTCGAATAGTAAAAGTGAAAAAAGTTCTTCGGAAAAACCTGTTATCGGAAAACTAGCCCGTCAAAAAGCAGCAGAATCGAAAGGTAGGGACTTCATATCACTTACTGTTGCTTTATTTGTCCTTTCGAAGCTGCGGAAGAAAAATCAAAAACAACGAAAAAGTCAACTAAGAAGGAAAAAGACACGAAGTTCCCGAAGTTCCATGAGACCAAACTTCTGGCAGATGAAAAACTGTCGCTAGAAAAGATCTCCGAGAGCTACAGCGCCATTGTCAAAACTATTAAAGATCACATGATGGATATTTCCGACCTCAAAAATGCAAAAACGGAGGATAAAGACGCTCTTTACCAGGTTTTTTCTTCATTCTAAAGCCAAGAAAATGACCAGAGGACAACTTTTCAGACGCGAACAGAGGCCGTTTTGGCCATTTCCACGCTGAAGCAGTTGAATCGCTTCGCCCAAATGCTCACTAGAGAATCGAGAGATGAGACGAAAACCCTCCTGGGCCGTTCAGATGCAGTCAATTTGAAACTACAGAACTTACAGTATCAGACGCACCATCTTAAAACCGAAATCGACGCCTGTCTCGGCTTCAACTCCCTGCATAAGACGATCGAAATGGTTCCAGAAGAAAGCTTCAAGGAATCAGCGCCTCAGGACATTGTCGAAAAAGCAGAATCATCCGATCACGAGATGGTAAAGGCCAGACTTGGCTGGGAACTGGCGCAGCGCGAGGAACTAAAATCGGCGATCGAACAAATCAAAACGAAACGGAGCAAGCTGGAAAACGACGCCAGTCGCGTGAGATCGAATCTCAATGATCTCCGACCGCAACTGAGCACGATGCTTGAAGGTAACATGCTTCTACGACCGCATTGATGTAGCCAAGGAGCCCATTATAGATGTCTTGGGATTAAAAATTAACTAAAGAGATCATTTACTCGTGTCGTAGATTCACGGATGTCCGATTTGTCCTGAGCTGGGACTTCATGAATACTTATACGGGTTTTACTCGCTAAATGGAACTCTCTAATATCGTAGAATAGAAAATAGTGCTAATTAGATGTTTGGCCTCTGATTCACTGCTCTGGTCACAGTACCACTACTTCAACAACTATTTAGCCGCAAATGGAGTCAGATCCATTCTCGGACTCGATGGAACTGTTGGTGCGATGGGTACAGCGACGGAAGTACTGACAGATCCGCTGTTGAAGATTTATAAAGCTGGTAGAGCGCTTTCCCAGACAAGGTCGGATGTAAAAGTGCTGATGGAGGGTGATCATAAAGAAGCGATAGAGCTCAAAGGTAGACTATTCTTTAGGACTTTTCTAACAGTTGTCAAAGGTAAAGGATTCGAAGATGGTGAGATGGAGCAAGAGGAGGAAGAAGAAGAAAACCAAAAGCGCAGTCGAAAGAAAAGTTCAAAGGACAAGAAAGATAAAGCCTCAAAAGGATGGTTCCCGGTGTTTATCACGTGGAAGATCGGATCGAAACCAGTCAAGTTCAAGCAAAATATCTACAACAAGCTCATCTACGGTAATTTATATTTCATCGCGCGAGACTTGTGTATTTCCTTGTTGGCAAATGGCGCGTTTGCAGCGATTTGCTTGTAGGAAATAACTTGAAATAAGTGGACTAATAAGTTTCAAGCTTTCGCGATTCAAGTACGGTATTTTCGGTTCTCAGAAGGCTTTAAATATATAATTATAAATAGTGGGCTCTGATTTATTGATGAAGTTCTTTGAACGCAATTAATTTTTAGCCGAGTCGTCAGAGTCGTCCGCAACTCCAGAACTTAGTTGTTTGTTCAACAATGACACAGGTCGTCAAACATCAAATGACGGTGGCAAGACACTTTCCTTTGGAAGATGTTACGAGTGGGCCGGACAAATCGCAACTGGGCAAGCTCCTTCAGGCGATGAGACCTATTCCGATTATCTTGGAAGAGTTGTCGAGGCGATTCAGGATCGATTCAAGGTAAAAAAAGGGCAACCGGGAGAATAATTCTGTGCACAGAACTATTCTGTGAAAAACAGAATTATTCTCACGATAAGACCCCCCCCTTTCCGGGAGAATAATTCTGTGAAAAAAAAATTTTTCTTGGCGAAAACAACTATTATACTGCGAATGAAGAAGTTGTTTGCTGCTAAAAATGAGTCCCAGCGGTAGAAAAAGACTGCTCCTGCCAACCCAATGAGTTCTCTATCAGAAAATGCGCGCAAGGGCCGTAGGCCCGTAGCGTGCTTCATAGCCTCTTCGGTTCAGCTTCTATTAACAAACTATCATTGATATAGATTGTTTTTGGCTGCAAGATTCGAAGACCAACTAAAGTCAATCCTTTTCCACTCTTAGACATGAGTTCAAAAGTATTATAAGCTATCTACGACATAATCAAAGTGAATTTTGCTAAGCTCGACACAGAATAGTTCTGTTTCAAACAGAATGGTTCTGTTTCAAACAGAATAGTTCTGTTTTTTCACAGAATAGTTCTGTTTCCACAGAATAGTTCTGTTCACAGAATTATTCTCCCGCCCAGCCGTAAAAAAATGTTTGAACCATCAGCTTTTATTACAACTTGCAAATAGCACTCTGAGCTTGTCCAGACGCATGTGAATACGTTGAAGGATAAAAAACTGCCGCTCGATCTGTCCAATGAGCTCATGATGACCGGCGTCATCACGAAGTTCGAAGAGTCAGACACTTACGAGTCTCCACGTGGTCTTAAGGTTTGTCTCCTTCCTCTTAGTCCCTTCAAAAAGCCGACCTTTAGCCATACGAAGATGGAAAACTCTTCAAAGTGTCGATCCAACATATTGATGAGAAAAAGATGTTCGCGTACATTTCTTTCTCGCCAAATTATCCGCTCAATCCGCCACGAATTTCAGTTTTCACGGAAGACAACAAAAACGCTGCTAATGATGTCCAGCTTCAATACATCGAGGAACATGTAAGTAACCCACGATTTATCTGTCTTTGAAGATATTCTAGTGTAATCTCCGACTGCCAATACGACTTAGAGCAAAGGATCGAATGATAGAAGCGATTTCCCGACAAATAGGAACTTTAATGATGCAGCCGATTTCCGCAAAAGTCACCACGCGAAATCGTATCCATCCTGTCCAGTTATTGTAAAACCACTGCCTGTCGAATCTTAAAAAAGTTCAACACTTTCATCCCTAAATCATGCTCGCGCTAGAATGAGCTCGAAAAAGGTAGAGAGAAAGAAAGTCCTTTTGATGGGCAAATCTGGTGCGGGAAAGACCTCGATGAGATCGATCATTTTTGCATCTTACGTCGCAGATGATGTATACAGACTTGGAATGACGATGGATATTGAGCACGCTCACGTTAGGATGCTCGGCAACCTGGTTGTGAATTTGTGGGATTGTGGAGGACAGGATTCCTTCATGGACAGTTATTTTATGTTCCAAAAAGAACAGATCTTCAAGTAAGTTGTGTTTCGTGAACTTGAGATTATTTTTACCTTCAGAGGATGCGAGGTTCTCATCTATGTCATCGACGTAAAATCAGAGCGACCAGAAGCAGATCTTCAAGGATACAGAGACTGCCTTGCCGTAAGTATATTTCAATAAAATAGATCAATGAGCTAAAATTCCGCAAAGTACTTGAGCTTAAATCACGCTGTTTAAAATCTTTATCAGATTAGATAATCATAATCGCGTTGGTTCGATCCACTGATAAATAGTCCCCCCGGCGTGTCGATCTCGAGACCGCCCTCTTTTGGTTTCTTTTTTTCATAAACGTTCGGGTAAATGAATGTTCCCATTCACAATTTTATGAATTTGAAATAAATCAAAAGACTCTTCCTCACTGATGACGATGGGTTCTTCTATTTTGGGATCTTTTGTTAGCCATAGTTCTTGATCTACTGTTAATTAAAATAAACGTACAACTGTAGGATAGTACCGCGATTATCATTTATGACTGACGGAATTTCCAGTCAGTCAAATTATGTCACATTTTCAATGTTAAAAACATAGGGCGAACGCGTCAGTCAGAAATGAGAATCATGGTATAATACTATACAACAACTTCTCCGTGCAAATTTGACGTGTATTTTTCAGGCGATCGCAGATTACTCGGCAGGAGCAAAGATATTCGTCCTCGTTCATAAAATGGATTTACTCCATGACCACGAGAAGAACACTGTCTTTGAGGCGAAGAAAAAAGAGCTTGAAGAGATTGCGCATACGAATAGATTAACCGTGGACATTGCAAAAACGTCGATTTGGGACAAGACTTTATACAGCGCGTGGTCAAAGATTGTGACTCAGTTGATCCCGAAAAAAGAGAAGTTCCAAACGGAGCTGCAGAATTTGGCCGAACAATCTGGTGCGAACGAAGGTGAGAGTATTTTCTTTGAATTTTTTTAAAGTACTGTAGTGCTGTTGTTCGAAAAAGCTACGATGTTGAACATTTGCTACATCAAAAACGATGCTAATGGTCACAAAACTGAGGACGACGAAGATATCATTGCGGAGCGCATGGAAGGTGAGTCCTCCATGTCTCCAGTTGATATTGAGTTTTTAGGTTTGAGCCATTATTTGAAGAATTTCAAGCTGATATGTTGGCGAAAGGCGACAAATTTCGAGTCTCTTGAAATAAGAACGAGCACGTTCTCGGCTATCATGCAGATTTTTACCGACTACACTTGTATAATGCTAGTTTCGTTCAATCCTGATATCCGTAAGACATCTCCCTTTTGCTCGAAGCTAACAGAATTCTAGCAATGTGGAACTGGCGAAAGGCGATCGACCGAATTCGTCCGAAATTTCAAAAGCTCGACCAAAAGAACAGAAGAGCGCAGCAGTATTGAACTGTCTTTTTCAGTTTTAGAATTTATCCATTTATATTTGAACAATTCTGTCTCTTTTCTCACCTCCACATCCTTCCAGCGTGACCACCGTTGTTCACTAATTCTGCGTTTCACTATTTTTCGTTTATGTCAATTCTTCAAAAGGCTAATCAATCATGGAACGGTTTCGATAGTGGATGTTCTTTAGATTCATCAAATCGGTCAAAAGGGATTATTTAAACGATGAATGCGACAAGATACGAGTTTCAAGTGAATGTTTTCCCTGAACAGCTGGAGGAATCTGCCCTGTGTCTTCTGCATACGATCTTATTTCATCGGACAACTGGCAAATTCAAGTATCAGGTAAGAAATTCATATATTTTGTGCAGTGGACGTAGTAGATAGTTTTCAGTTATAGCAAAATATTTTTTCTATGTGATAGCAGAAAATAAAGGCAGTAGTGTGTCTCATTCATGAAGTTGACTTCTTCGCAAGCTCTTCAACCCTCAGATCTGATAGGTCCCACGTTCCGAACTTCTTTTCAACTGAGCGGTACTTCGCGTCTGTTGATTTTCTTCGCAGAAGTCCTTAAGCAACTGCTGAATAAATATTCTAAAATTATTTTTCATACCATTTGCTTTGAATATAGTTAATCCGAAAAGAGGAATTCTTTCGCTTCCGAGCATCCATGATGAACAGCATATATTTCCACTTTCGTCCTCTTCAAAGTTTACACTGTGCTGGTCAAGATATTTTTTCGCATGCGCTAGATAAGAAAATAATAAAGTCGTAAATTTTTTTACCGATAAATGAAAAAGGGTTGGTAACTTCGTGATCGCTACCAAATGTTTTCTGGTCCAACAGGTCCCTCATCGGATTCGCTATTCTTCTTACCGGAAAGGTGCTCGGAATTTTCTTGTTATCACTTGACATCTGAAAATTTATTTGTAACTAACTACTTAAATTTAAAATCATGGAAGCAGCTAAAATGTACTTAGTTCTGTAAATATTTGCGGGCTAGGAATCTCGGACAATGTCTCTCGAGAGACAGCTGCCACACGAGGGCGATGTTCCATAATAGTTTTCCTATTGTTATCAATCAAAGTCATAAAATCGGTAGATTCGCGTGTTTCTACTGAAGTACATCGTTTCGTGTCATCAAAGAAAATAATTAATCTCTATTTTTAGAAAAAAGGCGAGTTCCTGATAGGAACGCTGGGATATCAAGATGTGCATTGCCAAACTATCAACCTTACCTACGTGAAGACGGAATCAGCAGAGCTCCATACTTGCCTACTGGAGAATGTTCGACAATTTGTCCAGCAATACAATAGTGGAAATAAAACACTTACACTTGAGGTGCAAAATTTTCTAAAACTACTATATTGAAAATCATCTTTCAGTTCTTCCAAAAGAAAAGAGGTCGATGGCCTTTTTCAAGTGAGGAGCCAGTGCCATGGGAGGTTTGGGCGATCACATTCGTCGAACCCTCGCAAAACTCCAAGGAAACTCCTGCCGAGTCAGTCGTGACAAACATGGTCTCCATTGCTGAGAAGATCAACAACTCAAACAGTTTCCTTCCAAAAGTATGCTTTCACTCATCAGCTCTTTAGTAAGTTGTATTTCAGACTCCGAATCAATCAGATCTTGGTCTTGTTTACGAATGTAATTTCTGTGACGTTCAACCTTACCTCTTCCGCTGTCAATATCAAGGTCAAATGTCGACGCTCAAAAAGCTTTTCAAAGACGTTTCTCTGTAAAAATCAAGTCTCTACTCGCAGCCCTGCTAACCCCGTTCCTACTGGCCATACCTATTGAGTCTAATTCAACTACTATCCAAGCTTGTACATAATTCTGCTACTTTCATATTTCATGGAAAACAAAACCCGCTGAAAAGGTGTATTCAAATTGGAAAATCGAGATGAAAGTTCAGATCTTTGAAAATGTTCCGAAAACTCGCTACTACCGGCCGACGAGCTCTCAACCTTCAGGAATTCGCTTCCAAGCAGCTTATGGAAAAGCACGGCCTCAGGTTAGTAGAAAGTCAATTATGAAAAAGCGTAAACACTTCATGTCCGGAGGTTCGGGTTAGAGTGATTCAAATCGAGCTCCGCATAAGCCTGTCAAAAAGTTTGATGGATTGTTTTCGCCTCCGATTAGCGTAAACTTATCACACCAATACACCGACAATTTTTTTCGAAAATAGATTTCGTATTTTCTTTGAAACTCCGATTAATAGAATATCAAAGATTTCTCTTGATTGATGATTACGGAAAATTGACTCAAGTAAAACCAATTTATCCTAGTGTCCAGCGATTCCGAATGGCAGAAAACGAAGCCGAAGCTGTTGAAGGTGGAAAATATCTGTTGGAAACTGGTGCTCCCGAGCTCGTCATCAAAGCTCAGATCCTTGCTGGTGGCCGAGGAAAGGGAACTTTCGATACCGGATTCAAGGTAACCTGTCCAACTAAACGGATTCACCTCAATCGTGACTAGGGAGGAGTCCACTTCGCCACTGACCCCGTCAAGTGCGGCGAGTACGTCAAGCAAATGATCGGTAACCGTCTCACTACCAAGCAGACTTTGCCCGAAGGTGTCCCCGTCCAGAAGGTTATGGTCGCCCATGCCCTCGACATCTCTCGAGAAACCTACCTCGCCGTCCTTATGGACCGAGAATTCAACGGACCAGTCATTGTCGGATCTCCAGATGGTGGTATGGACATTGAAGAAGTCGCTGAGAAGACTCCTGAGCGCATTTTCACCATGCCAATTGATATCAATGATGGAATCAACATGAACCAGGTACTTAGTACTTCTTCAATCATTTCTTATCAATTTTAGGCCCTCGAAATGGCCAAGAACCTCCAGTTCACTGGCGAGAAAGCCAACACCGCCGCCGAGCAAATCATCAAGCTTTACAACATGTTCATTGCTGTCGATGCTACCCAGGTACGCATTGATAGAATTTCATAGAGAATCATTGTTTCATAGGTTGAGATCAACCCCTTCGGTGAAACTCCACAGGGAGAAGTTGTCTGCTTCGACGCCAAGATCAACTTCGACGACAACGCCGCCTACCGACAGCAGGAAATCTTCGCCATGGGCGACGACACCGAAACCGACCCCCGAGAAGTTGAAGCTGAAAAATTCGGACTCAACTACGTCGGTATGGATGGTGACATCGGATGTCTCGTCAACGGTGCTGGTCTTGCTATGGCCACCATGGACATTATCAAGCTCGAAGGTGGTGAGCCCGCTAACTTCCTCGATCTCGGTAAGTGGCAGCGCTTGAATTTATTCTCAAAATCGTTTCAGGTGGTGGAGTCCAGGAATCCGGAGTCTTCGAAGCCCTCCGAATCATCACTTCTGATGCTCGCGTCAAGGTCGTCCTTGTCAACATCTTCGGAGGTATCGTCAACTGCGAGATCATCGCTCGAGGTGTCAACCGAGCCTACGAAGAGCTTGGAATCACCATCCCACTTGTCTGCCGACTTGAAGGAACCAATGTCGACTCTGCCAAGTCTATTCTTGCTCAGGCTGGCCACCCAGTCATCACTTCCGGTAAGAAATAAACAAGAAAATCGATCCTTTTACTAAAATTTTAGACTCATTCGGTGAGGCTGCCGTCAAGGCCGTCGCTGCCCTGCCCAAGTAAAGTCCTTCGCTCTCTGTATTCTTCCTGTCAAGTACTGATTGATTCTGTTGGCTCATCATTAATTCTAATTCGCTCTACGAATATTTTTTCGCTCGAAAAACCACCTTATTTATTGACTGGCTCTGTCCTGTTCTCCTGAGAAGTTCAAAAACTCAACCACTACCCTTAGGCAAACATAGATCATCTGCCCTGCGGCGATTTTTAATAATGAAATATATTAAAAAATAAGAAAAACATATATTTACTTGTGTGTTTCTTTTTAAGACCGTGTCTATCAATTCTGCAGTGCTAAAAAGGCTAAATTGACAGGTTGAATGAACTTGCTGTCTCTGATCTAAGGGTTTAACGATCGCGATCGAGCAGAAATCGAGAGCTCCAGAAAGTTGACTTTGTCTAGTTTAATTTTGAAAATCGTTGACCCGATGAACAGATTCTTCTGAAGCTCGTCTGGTCGCCTACTAGCGGCTGCTCTTCCGAGTCATTTTCTCTTTCTGACGAGGTACAGTCCGCTCCCTCCTGAGTCGCTACTTCTTTGTCTCTTTTTCAGTATCCTGCAGGCACGAAGACGGCATACGCAACTAGTCAAAAATTCCAGGACTCGTCTTTATATCTATACAAGGTACAGTTGGCATCATTTCTTTGCTTCAATTAATTTCAATATTATTCAAATGAAACATGTCATTTTTATGGCCCGACCAAGTCACTTGGCGACCTTGCTTTTTTGAACTCTCAAAACTCTCATAAAGAGACAACTTTCGGGCAACAATGAGCAGAGTTTACAATTCTTTCAAAGAATCATCGATTTTATAGGATTTAAGTGGTCGTAGATTTCATAAAATTTGCACTCAGCTATCATTTCCGATTTATACTTGAAATTTTTATAATCTAGTTGTTATTGTAAACTCTTCTCGAAAGTCGTGAAAAGTATATTTTTGCTAAGGCCCGAAACTCTGTCTATTTGGTGATGGCTTCTCTTCTCTTGAGCAATCTCTAAACAAGTTTTTAAGAACGTCCCTAAAGACTACACATTAACTGGTCTCAGTGCGTTATATCGTCATGGTACAAGATATCCGTCATCGAGCAAGATTCAAAAATGGGCAACGCTGATTTACAGGTATCGTATCGTAGAAACTCTCCATACGTCATCATCAAATGTATTCCAGTGTTCAAAATAATGCAACAGAAAATCTTCCCGAGTGGCTTGAAGATTGGGAGCCTCAGATGGACGTCGATCTCGCGTGGCTATTAAATGATGTCGGCTGGGCCGAACTCAAAGGCCTCGCTTCACGCTTCAAAAGTCTCAACCCAGAAATTTTTGACAGTAGAAGATACTCCGTAAAATCTTCTTTCAAAGGTATCTTTTCTTCGAATTCAACAACGAATTTTTCTCCAGCTCGTTGTGTTTCTTCCGCGCGTGGCTTCATCGCCGGTCTCCATCCCGAAGAATACTCCGATTTCTCTACAGATATGGATCACGTGGACGCCACAGAACGATCCGTAACATATCTCGAAACTGAAATCGAAATCAACAACCGTCTGTTGCGCTTTTTCGATAGCTGCCGTCGCCATGTGGATTGGGAGGAATCACCAAGATGCGAAAACGAGTCCCGAAAGTTTATCGCAGGCGGTCATGTCTCGAGCATACGAAAGGAAATTGCCAGGACGTTGGGACTCAAATACATAACTAACAGACAAGTGGTGGATTTGCATCAGTTGGTGGTTTTTGAAACGGCGCTCTTTGGGAAATCGGAGCTCAAGGAGTTTTTCAGAACAGAAGGAAAGTTTGAAATGAATTTGACTAAAAATGTTTTAGAGAGTTTTGGTTTTCGAAGAGACTATTTTAAACTTGCAAAAAGACGCATTTGAAGTGCTGGAATACGTCTCCGATTTGAAGCACTACTACAAAACTGGTTATGGCTACGCCCTTAACTACCGTTCCGCCACGCCTTTGCTCGATGATATGGTTGGGATCATCCGGGAAATGGTCGAAAACCCGGACGCAAAACCGAGAGCAGATCTTTACTTCGGACATGCTGAAACAGCTGTTCCGCTTATGGCACTTTTAGGGCTTTTTGAAGGGGCTCCTTTGACTGCTGATAGTTTTGTTTTAGGAAAGGTTGAAGAATTAGCTAAGAAATGGTTTGTTTCAGTGGGAATTCAAGCTTACGCTCTATTTATAATGAAAAGATGCTTATCGATTTCATGGCTGCGCAATAATTTCATTATATAATTGACCATCCCCAGTGTGAATTTCGAGTGTATCGACGAAATGTATTTCATAGAGATTTTTTGAAAACAAAATGAATACCAAATTTTCTTCGATTCATTCTACGAAGTCACAATATAATGAGACACATGTGAAATGAAATCACCGTCACCTATTTTCCCATTACCACAGTTTCCTACACCTGAATTTGATTGAAAAACATGATTTTCAAAATGAAACAGTTCTTTTTGACGCATACAACTCTTTGAATATTCTATGGAGCATATACAATGGTCTATGGTCCAAGCTTCAGTGTTAATAATTCTCCCTATCTATAAATATGTTTTTATCATAAAATGATTGCGACAAAACTAAAGCGATTCTAAAGCGCAATTTTCTATCATGAAATTTCTTGAAGATAAAATTGCATAAAAATCTGTTCTGTACTTTAATATATCAGTTAAAATCGCGTTAAAATGATAACTATATTAAAAGTATTCCATTCCCTCTCATGCGCACAGTATTTCTGAATGCTTCCAAAATTAATAAATGATGTTTTATTGATAAACTCGTCTTCAACTCTCAAAAAAGCAAGGCACAGACGTTTCCGTTGCACAAAAATAGCTCCTTTCGCCGCCAACATCTCATTTTTGCTCTACAAAAAGAATAATCCCGGATCGGAAGAGGACACGCCCGGGCCGGATTTAGTCCTCCAAGTTGCCGTCAACGAGCATTTAGTCAATATTCCAGGCCAGCATCATACAGTTGACGTCCACGTTGCGCTAGAATACTTCGAAAAGAAAATAAAAGTATGCAAATTTCAATTAAAATCAGTGTCCAAAGGAGTTGTTATAGAGTTGGAGTCAACACGAATGCGATGTTACCAAACTCAACAACGAGCTCTAGCCTAAAACCATCTATCAAGCCAATAATTCTGTATTTTCCAATTCATCCTATTTGCCGAATTGTTAAAAAATATGCACTGCACTGCTTCTATCTTTTTTCTCAGCATTTTAAACTACTTACTGACTCTATTTCAAAATAAGCGATCCTTACTTTTCTTTTCCAAAGCTTTAAGTTCATACACCGTATGACTTCAGGACATCTACTTACTGCATTTATTTTATTTAAAAACTTGGCACAGTTCTGAAACGCTACGAAATATCCAACAATATGGCCTTCCAATCCATCAAATTTACATTCGCCCAATTAAAAATTTCTCCTTTTTATGCTTTTTTGGTGGCTTCGAATTTTCAAAAAACCTTAGAAAAAAATCCGCGCAGCAGGAAACGAGACAAAAAGCGTCTCTAGAAAATCTAAAGATTTGTTATCTCAAGTCTCTTCGGGCAAAATAAAGTCTGTTATGCTTGCGCTGCACTTTTCTTTTTCTATGTGAAAAAAAAATCATCTTGTCTAAGATCTCTATTCCTGTTTTTAGAGAAAAGATCTGATGACACTTGAAAGTACAATTATTTGCGTTGATAATTCGGAATATTGCCGAAACGGTGATTTTGGTCTCAATCGGCTTATTTCCCAGCAAGATGCGGCTAATCTCGTCGCTAGGTACTGTTACTTCTTCCCTCATTTCGCCTCATATCCTGTCTTAGAACGAAGCTCAAATCCAACCCTGAAAATGACGTTGGTCTTCTTACTATGTCTAACAACTACTTGGTCACGACTTTAACCGCGGACCAGCAAAAGTTCCAATCCGTGATGGCCAAGGTCCAGCCAGAAGGAGAGGTCAAGCTTTCAGCAGCTGTCCGAGTCGCTCAACTCTCACTTAAACACCGAATGGTTAGAGAGAAATTTCTTCGTTTGTGATATCTTTTTCAGCATAAAAATCACCGACAACGAATCGTCGTTTTCATCTGCTCGCCGATTCTTGAAGATGAAAAGGAATTGATCAAAGTTGCCAAGCGATTGAAAAAAGAAAAGGTACCCGAAATCATAGATCAACAAGACCTAAAACAACCAAAAGGTCAACCTTGACATCGTTTCTTTCGGCGAAGACGAAGCCAACCAGGCTAAACTCACCGCTTTCATCAATACTCTCAACGGCAAAGACGGCAGTGGAAGCCACCTTGTTCGAATTTCTAGTGGCAACAATCTCGACCAAGCTCTTCGTCAGTCTCCAATCAGTATGTTCAGCTCTTACTTTCTTATTTCTTATCGTTTTAGTCGGCGATGATGGCCCAGTTGGCGGTGCCTTTGCCATGGACGACGCTGAAACTGATCCAGAACTTGCTATGGCTCTTCGTATCTCTCTTGAGGAACAGAGAGCTCGACAAGAGACCGTAAGGCATTCCAATCTTTCTGATCTTCTATGAATTATTTAGGACGGTGGTGGAGAACAAGAGACCTCCGGTGGAGCTGCTCCAGCTGAAACGGAAGCAATGGACGAAGATCGAGCAATGCTAAACGCTGCTTTGAGCATGAGCATGGTGAGTTTCCAGCCGTTTTTCTGTATGTAAAACGATTTCAGGGCGGTGCTCCAGCTGCTCCATCAAATGATGAACCAAACTTTGCTGCAATGACGGAAGAGGAGCAAATCGCTTATGCTCTGAGGATGTCAATGGCCGACTCGGCTCCGGCAGAGGAAACTCCTGCTGCTGCTGCTCCAGCAGAATCAATGGAAACTGATCGTAAGAGAGGCATCTTGTTGAATCGACTCTAAGAATTATTCAGAAAACGCAGAAGAGCTAGTGACTGACCCCGAATTCCTCCGGTCCATTATCGAGACGCTCCCAGAAGTCGATCCGAACTCCGATGCTGTTAAAGGCGCCCTTGGCGAGAAGAAGAAAGAAGGTGACGACGATAAGCCCAACTAAATAAAATGATATGGGATGAAAAGCAATTTCTGTTTTCTCAACTTTCTCTCTTGTTTCTCGATTCCGACACACCATCACTCTTACAGATAAAGAATTCTATAGCTACATTTTTTTCTCAAGATTATATTTCTCGATTCTACTAGCAAGCTCTACATGTAATGAATGGTTAAATATTCAAAATATCTCAGTATGTGTAATAAGGAAGTACTCGTCCTGAAAGTTTTGTTTCTTGTAGAATGGAAGCTAAAGAAGAAACGGTGGAAATGTTGAACTCGTCGAGGTTGGGCACGCAGGAATATTGGGAAAGTTTGTATCAGAAGGAGAATGAGAACTTTGAGCATCATGGGAAAGGGTTCGTGATTCTAGTAGCGGGAAGATCTGGGCTTAGGAACCTGAGTAGAATCCTTAGTCAGGGGCTTTATGTTTTGAAAAAGGCACTTTCAGGACCCTGAATCAGTTTTCTACACAGGTTTCCGAGCACAGAGAAACATAAACTTGACAAATACCTTTTGCGAACCTGTATTTTTGAGACGAAGGAGAAGTCTGGTTCGGAGAAGATGCTATGTACAGAATGATCAAGCATCTTGAGCGGCTTGTAGAAGAGGATAAGATTGAAGAAAACGATCCGATTATTGATCTTGGAACTGGAAATGGGTATGAAATTCCCTTTCTGAAATATCGTTTGATAAAGAAATCCTGATAGTGTGATGCTTCGGGAGCTAGAAGACTTCGGCTTCACCAATTTGACTGGGATCGATTACTCGCCCAGCTCGATAAAGCTCGCTGCTCAAATCTGCCCGAATCTGGTGGATCATCTCTTTCAAGCAGATATTCTAAAATCTGACGAGCGCTTCACCGCAAAATATAAAATCGCCATGGATAAAGGCACGTTTGACGCGATCAGCCTCACGCCTAGCGATAAGGAGACTGCCATCGCCAATTATTCGGAGAACGTCGCCCAAATGCTTGAAAAGAAAGGCGATTATTTGTTTATAACTAGGTTAGAAATCGGTTTATAGGATCAAAAGTTTATTCCGTATTAGTTGCAATTGGACGACCGACGAATTAAAGAAGCACTTTTCGAAGCAGTTTGAGCTGGTTACAGAGCTGAAAGTACCGAAATTCAAATTTGGAGGGAAAGAAGGATCGTCTACTGTTTCTGTATTATTCTCAAAACTCTAGAACCAACACTCAATTTTTAGTTCTAATTGGCTCTCCATAGAATGGTCTTCGCATCGATAGATCAAGCGCTTCAAAACGCAACTCCAACTCTTTTTCAAAAAGCCAAACCAAGAGAGCAAAAAGCTTCGGACTGGGACGACGATGTTAGAGATCCTTGGGACGCACGGGAAGTGTTTGAGTTGATTCGAGAAATCAGAGATCCCGAGCATCCCATGTCTCTTGAAGAGCTTGGTGTCGTTCAGGTACCGTCCCATTCCCTAGCCGAGTGAAATGAGTTTTGTAGGAAGAGTTGATCACTGTTAACGACGAGGAAAACGAGATAAATGTGACTTTTACACCGACGATTCCGCACTGCTCGATGGCAACGCTGATCGGTTTATCCATCTCAGTCAAACTGATCCGCTCCTTGCCGCGAAGGTTCAAAGTCAACCTGGCCATTACTCCCGGAACGCACGCACAGGTAATCGAGGAAACTAAACCTTCAATCATTAATCACAATTTTAAAAGGAGCACCAAGTAAACAGGCAGCTAAAGGACAAAGAACGCGTAGCTGCTGCCCTTGAGAATCCAAATCTAATTAAAGTTGTAAATAACTCGCTGATAAAAACTGTGGAGGAAATCGATCTTGACGATGATTTCTGATTTGATTGCTTCCCTTTTTGCCCGTCTTGTTCATTCATTTGTAATTGCCAAAATTAATCAGCAAAACGAAGTGCGCTCTTATTCTGTACAGATTCTAACAGACAACGAAAACGGAAAATTCCCGTTTTCATGTTTTTCAAAACGGCGGGCTCGAAATAACGACTTCTCCTCACTGACACCTATTTTCCTGATTCACGATCGCCTTGTTTTCTCGTTTGTGACCGGTTGTTTCCATTCGAAAAATAATATTTTTTCCGATCACACGCTTGAATTTTTGTGATTTTTTTAAGAAATGCCCCGAGAAATTATCACACTACAGGTTGGACAGTGCGGGAATCAAGTCGGATGCGAGTTTTGGAAACAGGTAAAGAGAGCTCAAATTCGGTCGGGTTTCCTATATGATTTCAGATCGTGAAAGAGCACGGCATCCGACCCGATGGAATCATAGAAGACTTCGCTCGTGAGGGATACGATCGCAAAGACGTTTTCTTCTACCAAGCCGACGATGAGCATTATATTCCTCGCGCTCTCGTGAGTACCTCAAATACCAACAAAAGGTATTAACTTTTTATTCAGCTGATCGATTTGGAGCCGCGAGTTATTTCAAACATTCGAAACTCCGAGCATAAGAACCTCTTCAACCCTGAGAACTTTTACATATCCGAGCACGGAGGTGGCGCTGGGAACAACTGGGCGTCCGGATTCGAGCAAGGAGGCAAAATCAGTGAAAAGGTACTTGACCATCTTGGTTGCTTCAGATCGCTATAAATTTAGATTTTTGACATGATCGATCGAGAAGCGGACGGAAGTGACAATCTGCAAGCTTTTAATATTTGTCATTCAACAGCTGGTGGAACTGGCTCCGGCTTGGGAAGCTATTTACTCGAGAATCTTCACGATCGTTATCCAAAGAAAATTATTCAGGTTCATTTGGAATGGTAGTAACAGGCTTCAAATAAGTCGGACATACGATGTCTGTAACTTTCGATTGGGCTAAGATAATTACGATCTGTAACTTGCAGACTGTAGCCGGATATAATTTTACATATTTTAAGAAGAATTGGTGTCAATAAAGTTTCTGGTGGTGGAGTTATGACGTCATGAAAATGCATTATAGAAGGGCACTATCAACTTTGTGACGTCATTACTCCACCTCCACATATTCAAATAACACCAAAATCTTATTTAACACACATCAGACCCTCCCCAACATGGTGCAAAAGAGAGAATCGAAATATCTCGACTCTAACACTTTCAAAATCGCTCCACCAATTTATGTCCGACTTATTTGAAACCTGTTAGTCTTATTAGTATCGTTGACCCTCCATTTAGACATTTTCTGTTTTCCCATCGCAAGAGTCCGAAAGAGGATCTGACGTCGTTGTGCAGCCGTATAACACGATATTGACTACTAAAGTAAGTCGTGTAATCACGTGACTTTTCATAATGCCTCTTTTAGCGACTTACGCAAAATGTTGATTCCTGCGTGGTTCTTGATAATGCGGCGCTTCACTCGATTGCTGTTGAAAAATTGCTCATTCCAAATCCTGACTTTACCGTTATCAACAAACTCGTTGCTACAGGTACGGTCTTCTTTCATTTCCACCGTTCATTCTTTCTTCAGTGATGTCTGCCTGCACAGCCACACTTCGCTACCCAACGTACGTCCACAACGATCTGCAATCAATTCTTTCGCCGCTGATTCCTGTCCCCAAGCTTCACTTTTTGATGACTGGCTACACGCCCCTTGCGGTTTCCGAATCAGAATCAACAGTCGCCCGAGTAAGTTCTTCCCTGTTCAAAACTCACCTTCTTTTGAATACCTTTTTATTCTAATTAAAGACTACTGCGCTGGACGTTATGAGGCGTCTCCTCAACACAAAGAATATGATGATGAATGTGGGCGCGCGAGCGTTGAGCTCGAAGCTCAATCACGTGTACATTTCTTTGCTGAACATAATCCAAGGAGACGTCGACCCGGCGGACTGCTACAAAAGGTACACTTCACCTGTGCCCTTGCTGCAACTCCTTACAATGCTTTTAGCTTGACGAGGATCAGACAGCGGAACTTGGTCAAATTCATTAGCTGGGCTCCAGCGGCGCCAGAGCTTGTTCTTGCTAGACGATCGCCGTACATTGAGACGAGAAACAAGGTTTCCGGACTCATGCTCGCTAATCATACTATCGTTTCTTCGTAAGTTAGATATCCGTTTTGCTTCTTCGTTAACATCTCCGTCTTTTCAGGCTCTTCCATCGATCAGCCGTTGACTTCGACAAAATGAAGAAGCGTAACGCGTACACCGAGCCCTTCCGGAAGCACGAGATGTTCAAGGACGACTTGCTCGAGTTCGACCGCTCCCGGGAGGTAGTCGGCGATCTGATCGACGAGTATCGCGCCGCAACAAAAGAAACATACCTCACGCGCCACATGAACATGCAAGGCTAGAATCTACTGTCAAATTACTGTACATTTATTCACTGCCCAGTTATCAATCTAAGATTTATTCTAAGAAAGTTCACAATTTGAATTCACCACATTCCCTTATCACAACAAATACCGCAAGTTGTTTTTATTCTTTGCTTTATTCAGGCCTTTTTTACATGTAGAATGGAGAGTTTCTAGTTTTTAATCTTTCAAAAATCTCTTTTTATACTCGGTTTGAAAAGTTCTTAATTATGGGTGATCAGACTGTTGAGCATCGGACACAATTGTAAGAAGCAGGCGAGATGTCCGTGGGGAAACTCTTCGACCCGGTTTCCTCAGGGCTAGAAGAATCATTCAGGCTCACCAGGTGAGTTACTTATGCACATTCATACTCGCATAAAGTTTTGCCAGCGGCTGATTTTTTAATAATAGAAGAGTTCAAGCCACTTCTCGACACTTTTATGTCCTTTATTGAAGGCAGAATCAATAAGGCTATCTTTGGACAGTTTGAACTTTGAGCAAAATTACGCATTAACTGAGCAAATAAGGTTTTCCAATCTTCTGGGAAGCGCTTGCCGTGCACCTGCCGAGGTCAATAAAAAACTCCTGGAGCGATCGCCGCCTGAAGCATCTCCTGAACAAGCTTCAGTCGTTCAGAAGTCGACTTACCCTCCGCCGCGCGCAGTCTCAGGCTCCTGTCAGATTGTCCGCAGTAAGAATGGATTCACGGATATCTTTGTCGCATCAGGAAGGTTTCATTTTGTGAGTTCAAACGAGTTGATCCTCTTTTTCTTTCCGAAAGTAACAGTAAGAAACTCACTGTAGACGTCGTTTACCCACCAGTCAGGGTTTGAAATCTGAATATTTCGCGTGAGCACGAGCACGCGTGAGCACGGGGCTGCTCAAATTTCAGTGAGCATGAGCACGCGTGAGCACGAGGGGCCCAGAATTCTGTGAGCATGAGCACGCGTGAGCATGCTCATCGAGCTCACTCACGTGCTCACGTGCTCGTGAGCTCGTCAGATTTCAAACCCTGCCACCAGTAGACGACCCGCACATAGCCGGTCAAGCAGCATGTGCTCATTGTCTTGCCCCAATCTACGCCGCTGGAGTCGTTGAAGTAGAAACAGTCAATCTTCTGATGACCTCGTCGACGAAAATGTCCGACCGTGAACGCGATGTTGTCCTTCCAAAGATCGTGGCTGGTTTTCAAGAATGCTGTGAAAGGGCAAACGCAATAATGACCCAGTCGCCGCTTGCGCTGAACCCGTCACTGACCATTTCTGGTCAAGTAAATGCGTTCATGAACGTTGGCAGTCGCGAGTTTGTGGCATCCGACGCGGCACAAAAGGGCGATGTCTTAGGTAAGGTTTTTCGGTCAATCCATAGAAGGAGATTGAATAAGCTCCCGTTAATTAAATCAACCAATTAGTCTTAACGAAGCCACTTGGAACTCACGTGGCGTGTATGGCGCATATGTGGATGGAACAGAACCAAGAAAAATGGAATCGACTGAAGCAAGTTGTTACCGAACAGGATGTCGAACGAGGCTATCAGGTAAGCTCTCCTTACTTTCAGATCTGACCCCTTATGTTAATTTTGGAAAAAATGGTTCTTTGAGGGCATTTCCTTCAATAGGAGGAATTCAACGATTTGACATTCATAGGTTTGTCGGAGGATAGGACTTTTTCCCAGGCCGACTTTTACCCAAGTTGGGCAATAGACAATTTGGGCAAAAGACGACCACTCTATCAGCCAATTATTCAGTTCCAGAAGAATTAGTGTATTTTTGACAGTCCAGTCATCCTACCCATCATAATTGCCAATTATGTCGTTAGTCTGAAATATTCTCAATCTGATTATAGTCTTTTGAATAGACTCTACTGTAATATGTTTGGCGAATAGAAACATTGGTTATTATCTCCTCACAAATTTCATTTTAAATTGATGAGCGATCCTCGGGAAGAAGGAAATTTATTATTTAGGATGCAATGTTTAATATGGTGAGATTAAATCGCGACGCCTCACGCTTCATGGCTCAATTCAACGCGCATGGCGCAACAGCTGTCGCCGGTAACTCGAACCCATGCTAGAATCTACTCATTATTTTTTAAACTTACAAGGCTACGGAATTCTGGGTCACGCTAAACTCCTTGCAAAGCGACAGAAGAAAAAGGTCAACTTTGTGATCCACAATCTGCCGGTTCTCGCGAAAATGAACACGATCGCGAAAGCAATGGGCAATTCCTTCGGTCTAGCAAAAGGCGTCGCTCCTGAAATCTCCGGAGGGATGCTCATTGCCCTCCCTCGCGAAGAGGTAGGAAATAACAAATCCTCTTGGCTTGAGCTTATGTGCCAAATTAAAGCAAGAGCTGTAAATGATTAATGCCCTGAAACTATACTATCGATTGATTCTTGTCACAGTGAGGTTACTTAATTCTTTGTGAAATGAGGATTGACTCGTGGTTTTTCGTCCTGACTCTTGCTATGTATAATTTATTTTTATACAATTCTTGAAACTGCTTGGCGAGCAGAAATTGATCATAAGCTCTCCAATTTCGCGAACTCAATTGGAGTCATTCAGGCTGCGAAATTTTGCGCCGAGCTGCGACGAATCGAGGGCCACCAAGCTTGGATCGTCGGAATCGTCGAAGACGGTGAAGGAGATGCGACAGTGATCGAGCGGCCGCGCATTATCGAAGTGGTGACAGGCGCCGATGGCTCTGTACAGGTAATAAATAACCAATCACCCATCCTCATCGATACATATTTGATTCTTATTTTCCTCCGTGTTGACTTCTCGGCTTTCTGCCGGCTACTTTGGCAAGCATTCCATTTTTCGATTTTTAATCATTGCGCTGCTGTTTTCTTTGCTCATCTTACTGTACTCCTTACAGAATAAATTCAGTCCGCTCCGCCGTCGAGTAGCTCCTCTCGCCGCGGAAAGACGAATTCGAATTCCTCAACTGCCTCTTCCTCCTCTCGCCCATCCGGCGTTCAATTGCTCCAGAAAGGACCAAAATCGAACAACAACAGCACTAGCCATCAGCAGCAACAATCCGCAAGTAACAACCGTGTCAGTGCGACTCAAGTCTCGACGATAGTCCCAATCACCAGTCACGCGCCGAACAATTATCAACAATTGTCAAAACAACAACAAATTCAAGCTACTTCTGTTATTCAAAATCATTCCTCAGGTAACCGCGTGAAAAGTTCAAAAGAAAAAGGGGCAAGTGAGTAGTCTAATTATTCTCCACATCCCTTGTCAATCATTAATCGCGGCAGAATGAAGTACTTTTGCATGGATAATAAACCAGTTGGTTCAGCTCCAACAATCACAATGGCGACGCCGCAAAACGCACAGCATCATTCTCGACCCTTGATTCACGCAAATCAGGTACATCAGAATCAACAAGCAGCAACTCGGCCGCATCACCAGCACCAGCGCATCTTGCCAAAAATCCCTGTCGAAAACAAATCAACATCGGGGCCCACGCTCACGGAGGTACGGAAAATGAATAAAATTCATTTCATCTAAGAATTAATTCTTTTCCAAAAAAAGTCTAGCCAATTCAAATCACGATAAATTATTATAATTAATGTAGCTCCAGCCGACAACGAGTAGAAGCCTCGCTCAAGCTGGGCATATATCCGTCTCGCGAGCTGAGATGAATAACGCTTGGTACCAGACAAATCAAGACCATCCACAGCTCATGTCGCAGCAACAACAACAGCAGCAGCAACATCAAGGATCGGTTTACTCAAAGATTTTCTCTCATCAATTTGTTTGTCAATTTCATGTGAATAAATCAAAATGGAAGTTTACAACTCTCAGTCTCCGATCCTCAATCTCCACCCGCACTCGCAACCTGCTCATCCCCAAAGCGTTATTCACGTATGTTTTTTTGTTTTTTATAAGTTACTGCCGGGCAATAATTAATTACAAGCAGCGTTCTGCGAAGTAATCGAGCAATCTGTTCAGTATAAATTTATTCGTAACGATTTTCTATATCGGTGTCCATAAGAAGATGATAATCATACAGATTGGGCACAATATGCCCTCTGGGGCTCAACAAGCCCCATAGTGGCGACTGGCGAACTATTGTGGAATAGGTTTATCTTTTCTGTCAGTCGCTTCACTGTGCGCTTTCACAGTGCTGATTGTTAATAATTCAACGAATTCCATGAATGTTTTATCCCTTGTCTTTCGCTGAAAAGTAGAATTTTTCGGACAATGGCGGCCCTTACTGAAAGAAAGCCTTCAGAAAAAACAACTCTGAAGGGGTTAATTTTCGTAGAACATACAATACTAAAATAATTCTAGTCGACGCTGACGTCAACGCACGCCAACAACATCAACCAGCACAGACGCAATCCCAACGTCTGATAGCTTTAGCTTCTTTCTGTATTCTGTAAACCTGCGCTTCAAAAGTTCCGCTTCATCAAAGACAATCTTGGAAGACTTTATTGCAACTCTTTTTCTTTGCATTTGTTTCTTATCCTACTGCCTTTTACTGCCGGTTTCATAAAAAAAATCTGTTTCCGAAAAACAACTTTATAAGTTTCCGTAATTGCCTGTGAGAAATTTCAAATTATAGGAGGAGAAAATGTAGACAGAGGGGAAACTTGAAGATCCTCACTCAAAATTTATAGCAAGTTCTGTTGCCCCGGGCGCGTGTTCTGTATTCCGTCGCTATGGAGTCTGTTGAATCACCACTCATCGATGTGCGAATTTAGAATCTTCATTTTAGAAATTCTTTTTTGAGGATTTTAGAGAGCTACAAAGTGTAGCTTTTGCTTTTGAGGAGTGTTTTGAATGAACTTTTTCATATGTTTTTATGAGCTTTGAACTTTTTTTTCAAAACGAAGGATTTCTTAGTGGATAATCGAATGATCCCTGAAAGGGAAGAGGACGGCCTAGGCCTGGTAGAATGCTCGAGAGATATTTCAGCGGACTTGTTCGTTCAGAAGTGTGACTAAAGAGCTATAAAGCGGTGGCGACGGTGGCGCTCCCGCGTCAGTTGGATCATCCGAGGACCTGCTAACGGCCTACTCGGAGCACGTCCATTGACCCGCTAACGAAGAAGAGAGCAACTAGCAGCACTTTGTGTGCCCGTGTGCCCGAACACGCCCGCAGGCTAAACCAGAGCTAGAGAGTTGATCAGATTTAACAAACCCTCTTTACAACTACAGAGACGACTATCATTCTAAAGAGCGAACAACCACTCCTGTTTGAGCTTCAATTCAACTTCTACCAACTGTAAATTCTCCTCAATTTTCCACTGATCCATAAACCAGTTTTTTCGAGACACGGGAGCCAGAAAAATAGCAGCGGAATTTAAAGACATCGATTAATCAATATCAATTTTTATCGGCGATCACGGGATGAGAATAGATTACAGGATTTCGTATAAATTCTATCCCCTTTTCATCGATTCTTATCCCTTTCTAAATTTTTCATGGCTTCGGCCTTTTTGGCGAGCTTTTGTCAGCAGAGAAGCTTCCTCGAAAGCGACCGGAATCAGTGCGCTGGGCGCATTTTTAAACGGTGGGGGCCAATTATGAGCGCATTCAGCGAGTAAATTACAGCTCAAACTTAGAGACTTTGACAAAGGGCGCTCCGGACGTAGCGATATTTAATTTCCTATAGAAAGCAGTTGGAAGTTATGTGGGATCTCGTGGGACGAGGGTCTCCTCTTTCTATGTACAAATTTTCTTTTCTCCTGGAGCCAAAAAGGAATCACCACGTGACGGCTTTACGAGATTATTTCCTGCCAAAAGTTTGTCACAAATTGTGACCACAGATGTCGCTACTTTCCCTAATTATACCAGCCATAAAGTGAGACTTTTCCGTGGAATAATTTTCATGTTTTCGCCGATAATAATGTTTGAGTTTGCTTTCCTCTGCACTGCGGTTTTTTTACTCAGTGCCAATATTTGCAAAATCGTTTTATTCTGAGCCCGTTTTGTGGATTCAGCAAGCTGAGAAAGTCTAGCGAGAGATTTTAGGCCATTAAAAGCCAGTTTTGAATTGTTTATGATCTCAAATTGGGTTTATTGTGTTTTTAGGCCAACGCCTTTTTGTAGAATACGAAGTCAGATTCCGAAATGACTCCTTTTTATGACTTTTCTTCCTTGATTTCATAAACTTATGGACCTATTTGTTACGTCATCCTTTGCGTTTTTGAACCTCTTTAATGTCTTACTGTCTTTTTTATGTTAAGGGGGTAGAAACAGCTTTTTTCCGAAAAAGGCGATTTTTGACCGGCGTTACAGACAAGAGGATCTTTTATTTTCAAATTTTCTCTTCAGGTTTAGATAGAAACATCTTAGATCTAGGAGCATCTCCCTCAAAATTTGTTTTAGTCATCAAATTTTTGAGTAAGCGGGCTCAGAAGCAACTCATCTCTCCGAAATTCTCGATTTTCGCCACTTTTCAAACACGAATATCTCGAGTCAGCTGATAGTTAAACAAATTTCATTCATAGTTTTGTGAACCTCAACCCCTTTTCTAGGAACATTTATGAGGAATAACCGTTAATATAAATAAATCTTACGTTTTCTTTTATATAGCTACAGTCCGAAATCGAGAAAGCTGTTTCTACCCCTTAATAGTCCAGTTTACCTAGCTTACAGGTATTTGACTCAGGTGTCGCATTTTGTTGCACCGCGTACCTGTCATGCTGGACTTTTGGGACAATAAAGAGGCTAGGATGACGTACCGAGCCGACGGGCCCTGACACTTTTCCTGTGGAAATCTACTTTCTGACGTAGCCCTAGTATAAAGAAAAAGTTCATCAAATATTTGCCGTTTCTGGCTCTTCAAATTATGCCTGGGAGGCTTTTGGGAGTCAGTGAGTGATTACTGATCCAGTTTATATCGAATTATGACGTTTTTACCCAGCATCTCTTCGTTTCAGCCGCATAATAAATGAAACTGTAGATATAGAATAGTACATTTGTGTCGGATCTAACACGCATCAGCAATAACAAAAGTAATAAGCCGATGACAGGGGTCAGTGACAGTCCCTTTTAGCCGCGGACGGGGGCATAATGTAATGTATAATAGCCTGGCTCGCTCTTATAAGAGCACATATGAGAGGATATTGATATAAACAGGTTTCAAATAAGTCGGACATAAATTGGTGGAGCGATTTTGAAAGTGTTAGAGTCGAGATATTTCGATTCTCTCTTTTGCACCATGTTGGGGAGGGTCTGATGTGTGTTAAATAAGATTTTGGTGTTATTTGAATATGTGGAGGTGGAGTAATGACGTCACAAAGTTGATAGTGCCCTTCTATAATGCATTTTCATGACGTCATAACTCCACCACCAGAAACTTTATTGACACCAATTCTTCTTAAAATATGTAAAATTATATCCGGCTACAGTCTGCAAGTTACAGATCGTAATTATCTTAGCCCAATCGAAAGTTACAGACATCGTATGTCCGACTTATTTGAAGCCTGTTATATTGATTGATGAACTAAACTGCTTGTTGCTGCTGCTCTAACCCAGTTGATTAGCGCAATTTGTTCATTCCCAGGCAGATTATTGCCGCCAGTGAAAATTTCTAGAGCTTTGTTTACGAATTTGATATTTCGCTGAATTTCAGTTTCAATTTTTTTCTGCTGAAAGTCTTTTTATATTTGTAGAACTTTGATCAATTGATTTCATTAGTTTCATTTTTATGAATTTTATCCTCGGCAACTGTAGGTTAATATTGTCAATAAGAATCATTCCTTGTTTTCGTGAAATAATTTAAAATCCGCCTGAGTTAAAAATAACGCTGCATCATTTTTCTGAGAAATCAAAGATTCTAGAACACTCATCCTTTGCCGTTATTTTGATAATAATGGTTCAGATTTTGAATTGGCTCAAACAGGTAACAACCAGTTCTTTTTAGCTCATTTTTCACCACAGAAGCACTGTTCTTTTTCTGTTTTTTTTCAGTCGCAGTTGGAAAATTTGAAGAAAAAACTAACCAAATTTCTTTCAGACGGAGAGTCGTGCTTGCGCCTATTTCCATTCCACACACTTCAAATTAGAAAAAACAATCAAAAATGGCTGATCAGGTAACTACTTTCTTTTATAAAATATAAAAAAAACGATCCGCTATAATTCGCTATTTTTTCTGCACGATTTCACTATAATCCACTTAGAGAAAGAGTAAGAGCAGACGGGCGCACACATGTAGCAGTGGCTGTGCTTGGTCCTGTACCTGGTCGATATTTTAATTATTCAGTAATCATACTTTCTGAAAATGCTTGGCGCCGTGCCATGCGAACAAGTGCAGAACATCGCTGCTACTGCTTGCCCAGATTTGTTTTAATAATTGCTCGCCTGTCTAAAAATGGGTTTTTCAGTTGACCGAAGAGCAGATCGCTGAATTCAAAGAAGCCTTCAGCCTCTTCGACAAGGACGGCGATGGAACCATCACCACCAAAGAACTTGGAACCGTTATGCGATCCCTTGGACAGAACCCCACTGAGGCTGAATTACAGGTAATTTTGTAACGAAAAAATAGCTTCTCATTCGTCCTTTCTAGGATATGATCAATGAAGTTGATGCCGATGGAAACGGAACTATCGACTTCCCAGAATTCCTCACCATGATGGCCAGAAAAATGAAGGATACCGACTCCGAGGAAGAAATCCGAGAGGCATTTAGGTTAGAAAAAACAATCAATAGATGGCTTATTCTAGAGCTCTAAAATCTATAGAAGTCGAAATCAAGGAAGACTCAATAGAGACTTTCCGACTTGATTTTTCGCTTACATATTATGTAAGGAAAGCTCTTGAATGCGCTACAATCATCATTTTTCATCCCGTAATCCGTAGACAATGTCTACTAGACATTGAGTTGACCTTTCGAGCTATGCGTAACCCGTTTGTTTTCAGAGTATTCGATAAAGACGGCAACGGTTACATCTCCGCAGCCGAGCTTCGTCACGTGATGACGAACTTGGGCGAGAAGCTGACCGACGAGGAAGTCGACGAGATGATCCGCGAAGCTGACATCGACGGCGACGGCCAGGTGAACTACGAAGAATTCGTCACCATGATGACCTCAAAGTAGATTCTCTCAAAGTGCACCCACCAATATTACCCTTCACCACGGGCCATATTAAAAAAACACACATACTGAAACATACCCTTTTCTTACAATTTTATTTTTCAAGAAGAATCTCCCCACCCACACCTCTTCTTACTTCGTCAACAAAAAATTAAAACAAACTTCAAAACGCATAGTTATAAAATCTAAAGCCTAAAATGAAATTTAACCAGTGTTTGCACCGTTTTTACTATTTTCTTTTTCCACCCATTCTAGACAACCAAATTCTTTCGTTTTAAATCTGTTTCTTTTGCTACATAAAAAAAATTTCGCGATTACCGACTTACAGGAGATTTGACTACTGTTACAGGTACGTTTGTTTAACTAAAAAAAATAAATTTTGAAAAAAATCAACAATCCAACGCGTATCTTTCAGAATTCTTGTACAGCTACAACTATTCCATAAACCTGAGCATGTATCATTTACGCCGAGTTCCTTCACTCAATGTTCGAAAAATCATTTCTTACAAAAGAAAAAACACCAAAAAAACTTACAAGCTTCGAAAACTGCGATAATTTCGTGTGATAAAAACAAAACAACAAATTTCAAAGGCGTTCGATTCTGTTCACAACAAAAGCTTTATTTGGATATAATGTCCTTCCTCTTCATTGATTGCAGGAGCCTGTTTGTAAGGAGCGGTACTAGTCTTTTGGGAGTCTTTTTTCCTTTGTCACGGTGGTCTTTTATGATTTCAGTCAACTACTTAGTAGGATTAGTTCTTCAGGAAGTAAGCCTCCTATTCAGCCAAATAAGTGCGGTTTATTCGATGATTTGCTTCTCAAATAAATCATGAGAATCTCTTCAATGAACCGTTCAATTTGGATTGTCGACGAATTCCTTAATTATTCAGCAATTGTTTAATTTCCATGAGTTTTCAATATCTTTTTAAAAAAAGTATTTTCGCGTTCTGCCGCGGCTTACTTTCTCTCCGGAGTTTTTAGAGCAGGTTTTTTAGTCTAGCTGTTTAGCGAATTCATAAAAGCCCGTTCTGAAGGAAAAAACTCCTATAAAAGAGTACCGCTAACAAATTCGATTCTGATAAAAGGTGACCTACTCGCTTCAAGAAATTCAAGTTATTACATGTACCGTACTTCTATGTACCTCTTCACTCATAATCTTAAGTTCGCTCGATCATCCCATAGTTCTGTATGTTTCACTTTAGGCATCACCAAGTTAGATAATCGTTAGCAGCTCGAAATCGGGCTCAAGCTCGAGGGCTTTTATCGCTCTTTCTCGGAGTTATTAATAATTACTCCTTTAGTTTCAGATTTTCCTACTCAAATTTGTTCCCTTTTATTCTCTTCAGTCATTCAATAATTGTCAGAGTAAAAATATATTCAAAAATATATTCCTTTCTATCAAATGTGACCTTGATTGACTCGCTTTTCTTGGGAATTGTGGTTTGATCAGGAAATATTAAAAGAAATTCAGTTAATTTCAAGCGTAAGATAAGAGGCTTTTGAATTTTAAGAAAGTCTGCAGTATAGATTTTACAGAAAACAGTCATTTTAGCGGCATCTGGCAAAAAATAATCTGGTTTGAAAGTTTTCTTTTTAGACGAAATATTCACTGTTACTTTGAAACATTTTATCCAACCACAAATTCCGAGTAAGCCAAAACGTCAAGGTCACATTTTCAATTTGTCTTTATGTTCATTGACAGCTATTTAGGGGATTTATCCGCAGTATTCTGTGCATACGCATTTCTTTCATCTTCCAGTTCGCGGAGGAGCTCTTTACCGGCATCCGTTTTGACTTTTGCTGAAAACAGGGTCTCAATTATCGGGCTTGAAATTTATGGGGACGATAATTTAAGTTGACTTGTCGCTTCCGAGGAGTCTTTTATTCTACCTTGTGTGTTTTCGATGATTCCAGAGAGGTCCAAGTTGTCAGATTTTTCATAGGCAATGGCTTTATCGCGGGTTCTTGATTTTCTACTATTTAGTAGGTCACTCGGACTTTTCTTTTACGATGCGTGAGTTAATTTCTTCCGCCTAATAAAAACGATAGAACCAAGATTCCTTGATGGATCAATTCCAGTTTGTCCAGGTCTTTGACCCACTTTGCTTCTAAAAACGATATTTACAGTAGGTCAATAAGTGGTTGATCGAACCTGGAGTGGTTTGATTTTCATATTCATCGTAAAGCTCTCGAATATGGTCGCGGGTTTCTTTGTCCGGCTGCGGGGGATTTTATATTTACTCGAGGTGTTTTTAGGGTCACAGCAAGAGATATTTGCTCAATATCTGCTGACATCGGTGGACTACTGAGCGCAATAAATACAGAGGGAAAAAATTTCAACATTATTTCTGCAAAATGTGTCAAAACAGTTTTTTGTGTATTCCAGTGCAGCAGTTATGGTGAAGAAATTTCAATTCAGAGTTTTCTTTATCAAAAATGGCGTTTTAAAAATGGATTCCAAAAATGATGCTAAAAAATTGATTGTACCGCGGTACTTTCGTTTATTCGAGAAGAACTTATTACTCGTTCAATAAAATCCCTTTTCAGAAGTCCTAAAATCTTCTCAATCGCTTCCCTCTCCATCTTATGCTTGTCAGTCTCAGAAACGCCAGAGTACTTTTCAGGCACAATATCTCCAGTAATGCATTCAGCCAGGTCATGCACAATCGCAATCTTCATGCATCTATCTTTGTTCAATTCTTTCGGAGTCGCACTAAAAATGTTGTTTCCTTCAGAATGAATGCTGTAAACGGCTGTTTGTTATCCGGCGTTTTAGCTTGTCTAGGCTCTGTTCTTGGGAAGTGGGCATTTTCGGAGATCTTTACAGAGTTTCTTTGCCCAGGAGACTACTGTATCTTGTCTCATCCGATTCGGGCAGTTCTTGTTCTTGCGATGATGGCAGTTAATACTTCTTCGATGACCATGCTCATAACGAGCATGCAAAAAACTAACACATCAATAGGCTTTTTACTCAATTCAGCGTCGAATATGATCTTTTCCGGTAAATTTTTTGATCGAAAATTGTATAATTTTGTCTCTAGGTCTTACTGGATATTTATTATTCGGCGAAAACGTGAGTTTTCAGTGGATCTGTGGCACTTCCCTTATTATTACTGGAATAGCGCTGATAAAAACGGATTCGAAGAAGAAGTACGACTAGCGCTCTTCTTATTGGCTAAGAAACCCCATGTTCGATTATTATTTGCTTTCACCTCAATGCCATAAGCGCCATGAAATACATATGCTCCGACACATTTTCGGGTTCTTTCACTCCTAAATGTATAAAATAAAAATGAGTTCAATATGTCACTTTTTTTCTTACCAAGTCGCACCCAGCCAGTTCGGACGGTTTTCTTGATTTTTAGACATTCCCTCAAAAACGGCAAAATATTCATTCTCTTTCTTAAATATTTCTCCTTTTAGAATGATGTGAATTTTGATTGGATGATCAATCGGCGAATCAAAAGTATTTAAATGAGATAATCTTAACAAACGTACTAATGGCATTGTTCTGAACAACGGATAATATTATACTTCGGTATTTACTTCGGATATGAGACATTATTTTTAAAAATGTTTATTATAATTTAATAAAATGAGACATGAGACTCGCGTAGTCTTGTACAGGATCCAGCTTAAAAAAAATCTTACAATTTTTTATGTTCCCCCATCTGTACTAATTTGAAATTTTTAAATGGAAACTTTCAATAAAATGAAACTTGGCAAAAATTACAGAATGGGTAGTAAAGTGATCTCCAATACAGAAAGAAATGCCATCCCATTTCTATTAACATTTGCCCCGCAGCGAAGTTTCAAAACTGCGGAACTTTTTGGCGGATTTATCGTTCTCGTCAATTCTGAAAAACTTGAATTAAATGACATAGAATAGCAAGTTATCTCTTTAATTTTTAGACCTATCTTGTGAAAAAATGGGCGGAGGATCGGACACAGAAGATGAGAAACAAATGGCCTATCAAAAACTCACTTTGGTGGAAAGAATCGGACCCGATGAGGTTTGAAATTTTTAGGGGTATCAAGAGCTAGAATGAATTAAGGCCCGACGACTTCTTATGGACGACGACGACCTCGGTTCTCTACCAAAAGCAGACGACGACGAAAAATCCGTGCGTTCCGAGCAACAGTCCGAAAAATCCGCAATTTCCCAGAAATCCCATCAATCATCGAAATCCCTCCTATCAGAAAAGTCCACTGCATCGCTCCGAAGTACCAAGTCCAACATTTCCGAGGCGGCTTCGATGAAGTCCATGTCCTCTCAGAAGTCTGGAATGTCAGAAATTTCTATCAAATCAGGCACTTCTATCAAGTCAGGAATTTCTCAAATATCCGGGGTCTCTGGTGTCTCGCAGACGTCCCTTCGCTCTGGACGATCGGAGCTCTCCGGGATCTCTCATATTTCTGGTCTTTCAAAGGCCTCCGAAACTTCTTCTCGAATTTCCGCCGCGACGAATATCACCACTGCATCCGAACGATCCCTTCTCTCCGAAGTCCAGCATGAAAACTTCTACCCCGACGAGATTCCAGAACCCTTCCAGCAGACAGGCAAAGGCAAGAAAGAAAAGCGAAGAAAGCCGCGAAAAGTGTTCGAAAGCGAGTCCGACTGTGAATCGGAAAAGTCCGACATTTCTCATCGTTCGGAAGCGTCTTCTACAGCTGAATCTACCGCAGAATCGGCGATTTCAGCTCATTCCCGATCCTCCCTCGTATCGCATTTGAGTACCAAATCCTCTGGAACTGACATTTCTGACTCCTCGAAAATTGCGTCTCGTTTTGCCCGCGGTCCGCTGGACAAAAAGTCAGACATCGAAGTCAGCGTGGCGACGGACATCACCTCCGATCATCGAACTTCTATGGCGATGAGTTCCGCCGTTGAATCTGACTCGATGGTTTCAGAAACAGAAACTGAATTTGAAGACGAAGATCTTAGCGAAGTCAGAGCTGGGTCGGCGATTTTGCCGAACTTGTCCATTTGCATCGATAGAGACGATGAGCCGGGCTATGAAATTTGCTTCGTCAAGATCAAAGATGAAAGCTCAGGCGAATCCCCAACGAAAGTGGTGAGAAACAACATGAAATTGGCGCGTATTTCCGAGGAAGAATGGAATATCGCTCGTGGAATCCCAGTTCTTGGTTTGGGAATCGACAAGCACTCGCCTTCCGAACTCAAGAAACAACAAGCTCGAGCCAAGCGATTCGGACTCGACATCAACAAGAACATGGAAGAAGGCGAAGTCGACGACGATGTTATCAACAGAGTTCACGAAGACATCATCAAGGAGTACTCAAAACGCGTTGAAGAACTGAACGAAGGGCTCAATCTCGATGAAATGGCCGAAGGAAAAATGATTAAAGCGTCGTCTATTACTGTCTTTGGCTGCAAAGATCTCAATACAGAGCACTTACTGAACTATTTCAAAACATATGCGCCCGACAAGGAACGAGCTTTTACAGTAGCTTGAATATTCAGTAGCTAAGGAAGTAGCCCCCTCTTTAGAGTCGATAAGTATTGTATCTCCATGGAAAATTTCACGTTTTGCTAACACAAAGCTGGTGTCAAAATCCAACGCTAATCCGCAAATATTTATTTGTTGACTTCCATCAAAGAAAGATCGCTATTCCATTCTTTAATCCGCTCTGAAAGCTCGTTCGATAGGTTGACTGGGTAGATGATGATAGATGCAAGCTTCTCTGGCATGAGGAATCAGCTGCTGTTCGTTGTATGATATCTTGTACTCACACTGCCATGGACCTTGCTGGTCTTCAAGCAAAAGCCGCCGCGCTTCTCAAAGATCGAGCGAATAGCAAGAACAAGAAGAAGCAAAACGGCGACACGATTAATTTGACGGAAGAGGAGGAAGAAATGGACCTCGATATTGCGTCTTACTGGCCATTCGATGGAGACTTGAGCGAGCCAAGAGACTGCGTCGAGATCATGGTCAAAGACGGCGAAAAAGTGAAGCTAGCGGTACGATCCTCCCTCGAATCCGATCAAAAGATCAGAGGAGCGCAGTCCAAATCCAAGTACTACGTGAAATACGGAAATCCCAACTATGGTGGCATGCGTGGTCTACTTACGAAAACTTTCAAGCGAAGGTGAACAAACAAATTCATTCTTTCTTTTTGTTAAAATGAAACTTTGATAGGTACAACTACAAGAAGACGCGTGAAGAGATCCGAAAAATGGGCGAAAGACTTGGAGTCAATCTGAAGGCGCAGGAATCCGACTACAATCCGAACCAGGAGAAGTTGGATTCGAGCAGAGCAAGAGCTGATGTGGAACTGATTAATTCTACCGTTGATGAAATTCCTGAAGCGGTAGGTTTTCAACGCGAGAATTTTTGCCAAAGCTGTGTTTAGATTCCCGTTGATGCTTTCAAACTTCCCGCCGCTCCGCTTTACTCTGACTCTGAATCGAGTTCTACGAAGGTTTTTTCCTCATTCATGCTTTTCATTTACCCTTCTTAGGGAAGTGTATTCGGAAGACGTCTGTACAGCCAGTCCGAAACCTCTGATTCAGAAATCGACATCAAAAAGTCCTCTCGTAGCTCCTCTCGAAGAGGATCCATCAAAGACCGATTGGGATCACTCACGCCAAAGAAAGAAAGCAAGCCAGAGAAGAAACGCAACGAACTTACTGGACTCACCATCACCCTGTCACAAAACGCAAACGACAAACGCAAGAAATCTGAAGCCACGGTTCTAGCTCAAATCAATCCATTTTCTTTTTCTTTGCGAAAATTCAATTGTTGAGCTATTGAAAAGACAGTTCGAAGAAACGAAAACGAAGCTACGAGACGATGGAATCCGATTCCGATGTGTCCGAAGCCTCCTCCGCCCAGTCCTACAGGAACCAAGACCGCCGTGGATCCAAATACTCCGAGTCTGACTCTGAGTCCGTCAAATCTTATGGCTCTAATGTTACTTCATCCTCCGCTACTTCTGGTAAATAGAACCTCATAGAATTTACGAATCTTATCATTTTAAGCCGCTTCATCGCGAATTTCAACGAGCTCTGAGGCCTCGAAATACGGAAAGAAAAGGTAACTCACCATTTTTTTCTTTTGAAACTTACTTCCTTCAGAAAACCTATCGACCCTTACGAGTCAGATTCTTCTGTCACTTCTGGACACTCTGCCACTTCGTCCAGAATTTCTTCTTCTACTTTCAACAGGTTCTTAATTTCCCCTTGTCTCTCTTTCCCAACCCTTTTTCTATTACAGGAGCAATTCTGAATACGACTCCGACACCGCGCACTCCGATTCTGCCCATTCCGAAGTTTCCTACATTGGCCGCCGCGATTCCAAACGAGCATACCCCTCAGCGACGATCTGCAAATTGGCAGTTGCCAAGAATTTAGGTACCCTTCGTGGAGCGCCATTAGAATGTAATCGAGCCTCTAATTATTTTTAGCTGCGCGGAAGAGACCGCTTTTTGGACCTTCTGGTGGAAAGTTCGACAAGAGAAAACTTGATCATATGAACATGACGATTGATGTTCATGTTGGCACGGGTTTAAATGTTTCTAGTGAGAAATTTTGAACTTAATTGTAAAGAAAGTTTTCCCTCTAAAGATATCTAACCCTAGAAAAAGATCGCCGCCGAAAACCCTCTCAATCCTCTGGAATGGAGACAGATTAATGCCTGCCAGCGCCACTGAGTTAGATAAAAATTATTCACGCCAGTAAATTTGCAAAAAGTTTGACGATACCTATGAAAAAACTGCTCTCCTCGAGCTTAGAAAATATTCTTCTTTTTGATTTCCCCATTCAACTTTGCTCAAGTTAAGTTCCTCTCACCAATTCTTTGCAATAATTTTTACGTACACCAAAAATTGAGATATCCCTACACCGAAACCCTTGGCTATGAGATCGTTGTCATACCAGTGTCAAAAATAAAGACTCGTTTTTCTCAAACGAACAATTCTATTTAATGTTTAATGAACTTGAATCTTCTTTTCTGTACTTTCAAATAAAGTTATCAAAGCGTTTGAAATGTCTTCAAAAAAGAAAGCCTACAATCTATGGCTTCTTAGCTGTCAATGATTTATTGCGTTAGCGAAAGTCTGATGCAGGTTATTCTAGAGGAGGAAGGTTTATTTTTAGCAGAGGCATCAAAAATTCTGACCTTGAAAGAGCAGCAGCAAAGACCTGTCTCTCCCGCTGACATCTCTGACTTTCTCACGGCTCAGGTGTGAATCCTTTCACCTTCTTCCGACATTTTTCTTCCGAATTTTCAGGAAAGTGGGAAAATTACTAGAATCACCGCCTGGGCGCAGGTGACCTTTTAAAGCGTTAGATAGCGTGAGTTGGTGGCTAATCCTCTTTTTGTAAACGGTTTTATGAGAATAAAGAGGCTTTGTTTTGGGCACACTATGCTCTATTCTTAGCGTGTAGTTGTTTCGTAACAATCCTGTTTGGGAAATAAGTTCAGCCCACAATGTCCAGCCCATTTAAGCCAGATTTATTTAAATAAATAACATTTTTTAAATAAATAATTCCCAAACGATGGATCACCCGCTGCCAGATCACCGCCAGATGAGCGTCAAACAACCAAATTATCGGTTAATCGGCTTCTCACTACGTTTTTCAGGTCTTTTGACCGTAATCGAAAGATCCGGAAGTGGTTTAAATCACTTCCGGGCTTTCTAAATTTTGCTTTGAGTTATCAACATGCATACTTGCTAGTAACTTTATTCAAATGACATTCGGAATTCTGCATTCCAGAAATCGTTTTCGCGAATAATAAGAGTCTATTGCTCCTCCGGATAGGATTTCGCTGATATTTGCCATGCTAATGACTGGATTTCAGGATGAGTTTATTCGAAGTAGATGGTTTTTATGCGAAAGAGAGAAAGAGGCACCATCAGTGTGGCGTTACGGAATGTCGTTAATGGGACCTCATCAGGATTAAGAATAAATAACAGTAAACGGTAACTGAAGGCTTTGCTGTTTATGGAAATTTTTTCTTAATTAAAGCTTCATTTTACTTGACATTTGAGGCACCTTATGGTTTGCGAACAGACATTGACACTAGTGACTGCTGCATAGGCAGCATAGCTTATGATCTGCACCTTGCCAGGTGAAATTAATCAAGAGCTCCTTTTGGAAGATTTCTTGATAAGAAAGTATTGTTTTACTGAGTTCGACTTAAAACTTATTGAGAAATTTTCGTTGAGCATTGAGCACAAGACCAATATGCAGATTTTTCGCATGTTTGGCTTGCTTGAGCGTGATTTAGAGTTGTTTAGCGCAAATCTAAATCGCCTCTCGTCCAGCGCCACAAAACCAAAACGTGGCAACGTGCATCATCTCATCCTCCATAGACATAATAAAAATAATTTAAAACTATCAAAATTACGCAGTTGTTTACGTTTTGATTGAACATCGTCTTTCCAGTCATCCAAGTTGATTTTATTCCAATTCTGAAGGAGAAAACGTTGCAAAATTTGTTTTGAATGTGAAGAATCCCATCTGTTTGATTTCCTTCTGATCGAACGATTCTAGTCTGACCATATTCTGAGATCAGAGTAAAATGAAACTTTTTACATGTCTTCTACCAACAGTAGCTCTTGGAGCGTACTGTAATGGTTCCCCTCAAAAGAATCCTAAGGACAACGAGATGCCCATTTTGTCCGATGAGCCTACTTTCGTAAAGGAAGTTGAGAATGGCCGACTTTATAACGTCAATACGGGTAAGTTTTCAGACGAATTTCAATAAGGATTTCTGAGTGAAATCCTTACCCCCCTTTTTTATCGGCTCATTGGAAAGAGCGTAAAAAGTTATCCTAGATTCGCCCAAAAAGGATGAAATTTCCTTCGAAATGACGTCATGGCACGTGACCAAAATTCAAAAAGTACCAAAACTATGGACGCTCCGCATTTTCGATCCAGTTTAGCCATCAGGGCGTTTGATAGCGGAAAATGATCGTTGCGACGAGAGCTAGGTGTGCATCTTTGTTTCATCCCTCCAAAAATTCTTTCAACTCTTTATCAATAGTACCTGATTTTCATAAAAGGGATGAACTTTTTTTCGAGGGATGAAACCTAAATGCACACCTAGCTCTCGTCGCGACGATCATTTTCATGTATTGCATGTCATGATAGCTCAAGCGACATGAAAATGATAAGCGTCCAAAGTTTGGTACTTTAGTAACTTCCGTCACGTGCTATGACGTCATAAGTTCGAAAATTCTCAAATCTTTCCGACTCATCCAGGGTAATTTTTTACGTTCTTTCCAATGAGCCAATAAAAAAGGGGGGTAAGGATTTCACTCAGAAATCCTTATTGAAATTCTGACAGTATTTCGGATGACATTTATTTCTCTAAGGCAACAATGTCGTAACCATCGCGCACGTTTTTGGTACACCAATGGAAATGGGCAAGGCTCACGGAGAACTTCTCAAAGATACCATTGTTGAATTCATGACAACATTGTTCGAATACCTTCTCAACGAGATCACGGAAGAGATCAACAACCATATTGAACCAAATCTTCCACCGAGTTTTGTTGAAGACATCGCTGAAGGAGGTATTGAATGGGCAATGGACAAGACAATTAACATCACAGCTCCATACACGCCGGATTACTTCAACCAAGAGATCGAAGGCATTGCGCGAGCTACTGGACTTTCTGCTCATCGACTGCAACAGATCCACATGTTTGGTGAAATCACCAAGGGAGCCTGCTCCATGTTCGGAGTCTGGGATGAAGCTTTGGCGTCCGGAAAAGGTCTTCTTCAGGGACGAACGCTCGACTGGGACATGGGCGGACCATTCAGAGACTATCCCCACATTACCGTTTATCATCCATCGGAAGGCTGGGGCAACGACTTCATCAACCTCGGCTGGCCTGGCTGGATCGGCTCTTTAACTGGAATGAACGACCAGTTGATGGGTATTTCAGAGATCGGCGCGCTTTGGGCTGATCATACTTTTGGACACGAGTCTCGACATGGCATTCCATTCACTTACCTTTTGCGAGACATTCTTCAGTGGGACAAGAGCCTTGACGATTCAAAGGCTCGAGTAAAAGGAGCAACGCGAACATGCAACTTGATTCTTGGCGTCGGTGACGGAAAGATCAACGAGTTCAACTCTGTCCGATACAGCTACTCCAAAGCAGATTTCTTTGATGACAAGGTATGAATGCTCTTGTGACTCACACAAGTTTTGAGAGATATTTAACCTGTTTAGACAATGGAACCAGGACCATGGTGTATCGAGGAGACACAGCCCTGCGACTGGCATCCACACATTCAAAACGCAGTCTACCACGGAATGGACTGGAACTGTCCAAATTACAGTCGCCGATTGTCCGAGAGAATCAACGAGCACTGGGGCAATATCTCTCCCGAAAACGCAATTTCAGACATCATCGCTCACACATGCACAGGAGACGTCCACAATGCCGTCTACGACTTGACAAACAATGACTTCTACTTTTCCGTTGCTTCTCCTCACGTATACTCCGGAGTTCCAAGAAACGCTTACGAAAACTCCTACTACAAGCTTGATGCAGATAAGCTTTTTGCTGAAGAGAAACCAAACTTATAAGCTGAGCAATAAATCTGTCTCGTTTTGGATTCAAACAATTGGCTAATTTTTAGAAAAAACTTTGATTATGTAAAACTCGGAGGCTCTTCCGATTCTTTGTTGGTATATATCCGGGTTTTGATTTTGATGAACGCAGATGCTTTTTTGTTGGGAGTAAACGGGCGCCCAAATTACGCGATCATCTAAAATGGAGCTTCAAAGGCTTTAAACTTTGTTGTTGAAATCAAACAAAACTGCTTCGAAAATGGGCTACTGGAACGTTGTTTCTAAAGCTAGGCGCGCTGCGAGAGCCAAAACGTGCACGACTAAATAATCCGATTTTTCTGAAAAACCTAAACCTAAAAAATTAAAAGAAAAGTAAACGCGACGCCCAGTTAGAAAACACACAAATGTTGCGCAAGTACTTGGATGAAAGTTCGCCGCGCGCATTTTGTTTCATGAAAAAATTTATGCGACGAACGACCTCGTAATCTGTCAATGCGAAATTAATATAATTAAAGATTGAGGTAGATTTATTCTATGTCAAATCGTTCATAAAAATGAAAATTTAGAGTCGAATGATGATCAGTTGAGTTCTTCATAATCGTTATCCTACGAGAGTGTGTGTGTACTGATAAAGTCGGAAAGTTAGCGAGAGAACCGACGTTCGCATGGCCCAAGTCGTTGAAGCTCATCCAATGGAATATCCTTCAATGTCCAGTCACCATTTCTTTTCGTATGAGAGCTGTTTGAATCAGGGTAGTAGAAAACCAATTTGCCTGAAATCTATTTTATACCATTGATATTTTTCAATTCTTACCAGAGGATTTGTTGATGAAAATCGTAAAGGGCGTTTCGTTTTTATTCCGGTACTTTCCGTAGACTCTGACATTGCCAAGGTGGTTGACAATTGCAAAGATCGCATTTTCTGTGAAGTAGCGCTTGGCGTCTTCTAATTTACTCCCTGTTTACTTGTTTATCCTAATTTCTTACGAATGATGGTAAACGGGTTCATGGGAGCATTTGTATCTATGGGTGGCTGTATATTTTCCTTCTCTATCTCAACTTGGTCTTGATCGGTTTCGTTATCGGAATGTGACCATACAGAATATTCACTTTCAGTGTCAGATCTGCCATCATCATCAGTACTCCACCCTTCAGACTCAAAAAAAGCTTTCAGATCCGATATCCTGTTTGGAAGTGCTTCTCTCGGTGCCATTGCAGAGTATTCAGAATACGTTCTCTTACTACTAAGTTGCTTTTCAAGCAAAATGTTCTACTGTCGGTATAAGAAACCGGGAAAAGGAATCAACTCATGCGGAAAAAGGGATACACTGTGTCAAAGACAAATATTGTTTTACCCGATTAGCCCCCCAAATAGGATGAAAAGTTTTCTCTTGCAAATATTTAAGGAAAACAAAAAATATTGGGCCGGCAATCCAAGTCAGTCACGTGGTTCAATCAAAATTTTTTGAGGAAATTCAATCAAATTTTATGTTTCATTAAAATCATAGCTTGCAGAAAATTCTGACCCACGTCCAATGTTAACAGTTTATAATTTTTGTTTATATCCAATGACTTGGATTTTCATTATAATGGGACGAAACTTATGATGGCGCCGCCTCATCACAGGGCCCCTGTGGCGCCCCCTGAGCAATTTTTCTCCAAATCGGCTCATTCGGCAAAATTTCCCTTCTTTCCTTGAAATTTTGTATTCCTGCATAAAGAAATTGATTATGGGCATTTTATAACGACGCTAATTAAAACTGATAGAACTGGAGAGAGTCAAAACAAGAGAGTAAGAAGCGCATGAGAAGATATGAAGCTAGCATGCTTCTGGATTTTATTGTTGGAAGCAGTCTTGGCAAATGAAGATTCAGAACTTTATTGCGAGGTAAAATGATGGTTTCTAAGCATTTTGGAGTCTCTACCTTGATTTTTGAATGCGCGAGGTTTTGATTAAAATTTTGAGTATCAACAAAAACACGTGGAACTTTGAAACTTGTTTGTTTTCTCCAGTAAAAGATGACCTTACCTCAATCAGATCAATTTCAGGATTATTTTGAAAACGAAGCTTACCCGCCGCCTTCCAATCTCACCGTTTTTGCTCAACAATTGCAGGACCCAAAAAGTAGCGAGAATCGCTATCGCTGGCCTTGGCTAGTCAGTCTTGGTGGTCGTTGCGTCGGGTCGCTCCTCGGTCCGCGTTTTGTTCTGGTCGGGGTCCAAAACGTTCCCGGAACAAGTCTATTAGATTTATCGGACTCACCCTTCCCCTACCCCTTAGTCACTTGTTTTTCACGTGAAAAGCTGCTCCCCTCTTCCTTTCACAATTTGACAATATAAAATGATTCCACCTGTTTTGGGTAAATATGGGTGCGTTTTTGGACCTTTAGGTAGACGGCCGCTCATTGCTGCCATAATCCGGTCGGACACGAGGTGTATATCGGAAGTCAAGGACGGTATCAGCTCGGATAATTTAGCTTTCCTTTCAATCGTCTTCTGACGTAAACACACTTATGTAAAATGATTGTATTTCATCTTTTTGATACCAGCAAAGGTCCTTGGAGTTCTGAGAAGTCGGTCAGAATCATCGATTTCAGAAGGCATGAAAAATTTAATATAGCAACTCATCAAGTAAGCAGCAACTGAGAAACTCTTATTCATGAGCCTTTTAGTACGATATTTGCCTCTTGCGTCTCGCCCAGCCCGCTGAGATATCCATTTCGTCGTATCCAATTTGCCTGGTTCACCGGAAATCAACGATTATCAAAGAAAACAGCCTGGGCGCGTCTGCTGGTTGGGGAGATTTGAGCCAGTTCGGAACGCCTTCGAAAAAGATCATCGATGATCCGCTAAGAATACAGCCTGTTGAGACTTGTCAGCGAGGATTCCACTTTTTTGATCCGGTAATGTTCAAGTTCATGAACTCGGAAAGACGCTAGAATTAAGGAGAAAACGTTTTGCACTGGTCAAATGATGAGGAGTGGCAAAAGACCAACTTGCACTGGAAGCGGCGGATCGCCATTTGTCATGTGGAACAAGAACAAGTAAGAACGCTGAAATCAAGGAAGAGATTCACTGACATTATTTATAGACCGGTCATCGCTGGATTAACTTCACTTGGGCTCGGTTGCGACATGGGTCGGCCACTTGGTCTTCAGACACAGATTCAACCCTTTGTTGGCTGGCTCGTGAATAAGGTCTGACAAGCTTCTATTTGAGCGGCGCTAAATTTTGATTCAGGCGATTGATATGGGCGCGCAAATGACATCCGGCAAGATGAGGAGCATGGCGAGGAAGATAAATCTCAAAAGCGCGAATAGCATCGATGGTACTGTAAGTCATCAAAAGCTTTATAAAAGTACTTTTTCAGAATCTCCTCGAGCTCAACGCAGAGCTCTGAAAGCACAGCGCCGCGCCATGAAAATGGTCGAAAGAAGAAAAGAACTCGAGAAACGCGAAATGCTCGCTGACCGATTCAAAGAACGAATGCTCCGGCGGAAGAAAGCATTTCTGCCGAAAGATATTCGAAGATTTGTGAAGCTTTCTTTGCAAGAAAAGATATCTTCGAAAGAGTTTTTGAGACCAAATCAAATTGAAAAAATGCGGAGCATTGGTAAGGTTAAACTTTGAAGACAAGGATCTAACTGGAACTATGTAGACTTAGACGCAGATGAAGAAAACATCTGCTCTCCGCAAGGTCTCTCCTCTGTATATACAGACATTGAAGCAATCAAGTGCAGCCACAAACGAGGGAGCTTGCATTGCTCATTCGAATGCCTCATCCCTGGGTATGTGCCTACCGCCAAACTGACCTGCAAAGACAACGTGTGGAAGGAAACATTCACGACAGATACAAACACTATCTGTGGAAGCCCTGAACTTTGAACTTTCTCGATGTCGAGAGACAAGTTTATTTATTTATACAATTCTGTGAAAAAAGCTGTACCATATTGTAAATTTAGCAAGAATCAAGTTTGTACAATTCTCTCCGCAAAAAAATGTTCCATTCCTCACAAAATAAAATAACACCGATGCAAGATGATTTCTTTTGAAAAGAATTGACCAGAAAGATTTAAAAGGAAGTACGTTAGACTTGTGATTAATTGACTGGAAGGTTGTGGCCACGAACAAACAAACTCAAGCGCCTTCCATTATCTGACCCTAGTTAATTCCAAGATTTGTCTTTCTTCACCTTTTTTGTACATTAGAGATTTTACGCTTGAGAAGTTATGAGATTATTGGCACTAGAATTGCTTGTATTGACAAAAGCACAAGGTATCAAGGAGAACAGAAAACGCAGTGTTTTCCATCGCGTTTCTTGTCTATTTTTTTCTTGAAGACACTGTAGCATGCACAAAGTTCTCAATTTTAATTTGAAGGACCTCCTACAGATAAAAAACCACCAGTCTGGTGTCGCCAATGTATGGATCCACTGACGAAGTACGCCGAATATAAAGAAATCAGCTGCGACAGATCGAGTTGCTCCACTACTACTGATAGAACAAATTGCAACGCTGTCAGCCTTTGCGAGTAAGGAAGTGAATGTAGTTGTCAAATAAAAATGCGAGATTTGTAGTGAGGGAGAAGTGTGCTTGGCGAGCTTTGACTTGCAGCCTGGAGATTACAAGACCTTTGAGGATTATGGGTTCATGAATGGAACGCTGACGACGATGAGGATAAAGGCGAAGTTTAGATGTGAGAAATCTGCTGATATCAAAAAGGTTGTAATCGATTCTTTTTCCGCAATAACTGTGTTTAGCTATTTCCCCTATTCAATCCAGAAGTTGAGCGAGTTTGTCGCGTGAATCCAGGTAAAGTTTATATTTGAGAGAAATAAGTATTCTACGAAGAATCAGCAGGAATGTATAATCAATGAAAAAGTTGATAGTCTGGGAATTTCAGCTTTGAGAATGACATAATATTCTTCAGAGGAATGGGTTCATTTTACGCCAAATGGGACGATGTCTTACAAATTTGCTTGTGCATGCGCAGACTCATCATGGGATCACCAAAATGCTTGCAATGCTCAACCGATTTTCGTTGAAGACCTGCAGAGTCTCGCAAGAAAGGTACGCCATGTCAAAATTTCAAAGAAAAACAGCGCTTCAGTATTTGAAAGATCCCGAGTCAGAGAATATCGGAAGAGAAGAACTGATGGTCATGATCGTCATCGCACTTGGATGCGGATTTGTTTTCATCACTTTAGCCTTGATCATCGTTACGATGGTGAAACGAGGTCGATCTAATGATGATGAGTTTGAAAGGTAGGTCCTGCCAGAAGGAGAATTTAGTGCCAAATTAAGACTAATGGCCACTCGATAATAATAATGTCGCTACTGGAAACGTACGACTTACAGTCACATTTAGCTCGATCAATCAAATCAAAGAGGATCCCCAGATAGACTCAGAATTGATAAACGAGAGCTCTCCACTAGCAGCTCCACTTGCTGGAGAAGCTGATCTGACGGTTACAAATACTGAAGACGAAAAGAGCTAGCTCTCGAAGCATGAATTCTAGCCCATTTTTTCTGTGTATATTGCCAAAATTTATTACTATATTTTGAAAGATCCAGAGCGCAACAGAATTCTACAATTTTACAGCATCTTCTTTTCTTTCACTTTCCTTCGGATTCGACTTGAAACTCTTCATATCATGTCTGCTCGATCTTTCTTCCTTGTCCTTCATATTCTTGCCAACAAATTTACTCACATCAATGCCGACCTCGGAAAAGGCATTTGATGCCCATTGCGGAAGTGAGCCGTCTGAAATCGAAATTCAATTTTCAATTTGAGTTGTCAACTTGTACAAAAAGAAAATACCAATAAAATGATTCCCAAATCTTCCCACCCATTCTTATCAGGTATTTAATATGCCCGGGCATTTATTTAATTTGTTTGGGTACCGTAGATAATTTAGAGGTTAAAGTACCATACATGAGAACTTTAAATCGATGCTCATCTGATGCTTATGATGAAATTTAAATGAAATAAAACGGGGTCTTTCCTCTTTGAAATCGAAAACACATTAGCTGCATCTTACCTGAGTAGTTCTTTTCGCAATATGCATAAACCCAACTAGGAAATTGCTCCGCAATGATTGCCTCACGCATTTGCACCATTAGTCGTTTTTGATGCATCAGATTGTGAATCGACAAAATGGAGCTTGCAACCGACTGGCGGGAACGGAATAGAATGTGGAGACCGGCTCTTGTGTAATTTTTGCAACACTCGCAGGGACATCCGGGCTCGACCGGGCTTTTCTGGGTTTCTGACTGTGAATTGAATCAATCAACCAGTCAATCATTGACTATTTGGACGCGAATTCCAGACTTGTAAATCAGAAACCCTGTTCACGAGTGTCAAGCGAGTATTCGCCTCGCTTGATGTCAAGTTCTTTGCCATCAATCAGAAGTGCGTGGCCAAATCGCGCTGTTCGTGTTGGGTACACACAGTCGAACATGTCTACTCCAAGCGAGACCAAAACGATCAGGTCCAAAGCATAGCCTACTCCCATCTTAGAAAAACCATAAAGGAATAGGTAAATGACGAATAATGTCTTCAACAGACCGTTGGCATTAGCGTTGTAAAATGAAACTATTAGTTAAATGCTTGTTCGTCCAAAGGCCAGATGAAAATCCATCTCCAATTAGTTCACTCACACAATATTTCGGCTTATCAACTGGCAAAAGCGGCGCAGAGTTGTGAATAACTCTCCAAAACTCATCCTTCGTCTCTCCGCCGCTCAAGCCACCAATCGCGAATCCAGGCGCCTTCCTCCTCGTCATTTCTTCCGAGCACTTGATCCTCGGTTCTGGATCAAGGCCACCTTGAATAATCGGGAAAATATTTTGATTGACGCCCAATGGCGACTCCAAGCATCGATCTAGCCATCTTTAACCTGGTTTTCCAATTTGCTCAAATATTTAACTTTTTCCCCGCGCGGGAATGAATATGTATCCGGTCGAAATTGCGCTCGACAAAACGTGGAAAACCTAACAACTAACAGATCTTTCCGCAGCTTCTTCAATTCTCGGGCCACGGCCAATTCCAGCGGAAACCACGTCGTCTAGTTGCATAACAATATCGGAATCGATGCATTTTTGAATTCTCATGCTTTCTTCTGGTGTCATCATTAATTTCCTAGTTTGATCGTGAGGATAAGCGAATTCTACTCCCTCTTCCGTCAGAGTAGTCAGATGGACAAGAGAGACCATTTGGAAGCCGCCAGAATCGGTCAAAATATTCCTGTCCCAGCCCATGAACTTATGGACGCCTTCAAATTTGTCGAGAATTTCCGTGCCTGGCTGATGCGCCAGATGATACGTATTTGCCAGAATAATTTCAATATCTGAAACACAATCAACTTCACGATTTCAAAAGCAATCCATACTCATATTTTTCATCTGCTCGACTGTAATCCCCTTCATCGTTCCTTGCGTCCCAACTGGCATGAACACGGGAGTGTGAACTTTTCCCCTGCTCGTTTCAAAAACTCCAGCTCTTGCTTTTGTCGTGGAACATCTTTTAACCTCACTATATTTCAAACACCACTCGGTTCTTGCCATATCTAAAAGCAAATGGCTAGTTATCAGATCAAACCACGATATCATCTTTGGGCAAAGCCAACGATCTCCCGCTGAGAGTCGAATGCGCCCTCTTTTGACAATTTTTGTCATAAAAATAACCGGAATTCACAATAAGCGACTTATTTATGAAATGAAACAGAAATGATTCGTATTTCTAATTCGTCAAAAGCAGCTAATTATCTTCGTAAAATGAGACTCAATTGAATGCTCTTGCTTCTAAAGATTTTGAACAAATAAACGAAATTATTAAATATGAGTTACGTTTATTATTGCACAAGGTAAAATATAAGATGAATAGTTGAACTGAAATAGGCACACCAGGTTGAGAAAACTAAAAGTTTCTATTCTTTTTGACTAAGACTCTTTCGCATCTTGTAAACTTTATCAGCGATAGTCTGTGGCGCAGTAGATGCTAATTGATCTAAATCGTCGTTGCTAGCAGCAAGTAACTGGACAAGAGCTGTCCATTCTTCGGAGATTTCTACTCCGAGAGAGTCACCAACGGATTCAAGGTATCGGAGGTCGCAGACAAGTTGGAGTCGGCCCCATTCGGACAGTTCAGGGATTTTGAAAATTTGCTCCATGAATAACTTGCACGCTCCATGACCAGCATTAGCCAGCCAGGCTCCAGCGCCGTGATGATGCTCGAAAATGTCCTCGTCCGTGTTTTCAGGCGAATCTATAGGCGAAAATTACGATTGAAGGAGAAAAATGAAGTTACCTGGTAGATCTGGAAGATTTTCTGTATACGGAAGCTTGGTGCATGATACCGCGCGTTTTAGATCGGAATTATCGGCTTGCAACGGGTCCAAATGCTGTGGAATTGTCAGAAGAGCGTCTCCTACTTGCGTGATTTCTTCACTCGGGGAGTAGCCGAATTCTACAATAATTAAGAAAACAGATTTCTCTTGAATTTACCTGGAAGAGGCGCTTCTGCTTTGTTCCACAAATCCATGGCCGCTAGTGATTTGAAAGAACATCTGATCGGTACAAAAGCGGTGTCGAAAGCAACATCGGTTGTAAGTTGAGCGAGTCGCGCGAAACTTTCGTTGGAATCGGCAAGAAGAGTCGATGATTTTGAAATGCTCTGGTCGATGAAGCCTTGCAGCTCACCGAAGTTCTTCGGAGCGCAGAGACGAAGAATGTTGAAATTCCAAGGATCTTCTTCGCTTTCCTAAATGTCCGTAAAGCAAATTTTGAGAGGGGAGAAAGGGACCTTGTTCATCATAGAAGCGGACGAAAATCGCTCGATGGCGTACAGTTCTTCGTGGAAAACGCTCTCTAATCGATCAAGTTCTTTTATCCAAGGACCGAATCGCTCGAGCATTTGAAGACTCGTCGCAAAGAACGGCCAAATGTCCTCAGTTTCTTCTTTTCTTGATCTGAGTTTTGCGTCTTCAATGGCTGAAACGGCCCGCTCAGTCAGCTTTTTATGCGCGACGGCGATGGCCTCGGCGAGCATGAGAAGGCCGAGAGAGCCAGTGGACTCTTTACATGTCTCAATGGCGTAATTGTGCATTTCGACAAGATGGCCTGTCGCGTTGCTGATGTTCTCAAGAAGCGCCATGGAATCACCATCCATTCTCAGGTCCGAAACTCTTGAAAACAACTTTATACTATCTTTAAATACCCTTATCTATACCTAGCTGCTAGAGTAGCACTCATCAAATCTTTGAACGCAATGATCGCTGCACCGTAGGGGACCCAAAGGACTTGAACGAAGTTTTGAATGTTGGAAGAAGCGATGGGAGATTTGGAGTTGTCGAGGAAGGATTGCATTTTTTCAACGAATTGCTCCGCAGCGAGACGATGCGCGGAGATTTTCTCCATTGACATCGATGGATCTAAACCAGTTTACCCCCGATTCTCACAGTACGAATCATACCATTTTCATCAATCAAGTCCTTGATCGCTTCCTTTATCGGCAAGTTCTTCAAAATGTCGGCATAGCTCTTGATCAAAATATTTTCTGCGTTTTCTTCTCCGAAAACAGCATTGATAAAGCTCAATTCGCCGGCTGCTTTCTGCACCAAATTTTCATACAGCGTCGTTGTTCGATCAAACTGCTCAGTCAGCTCCCAAGATTCCTTGAACTTCGCTCTGGAGGTCTTGATGTAGTAGCTTTCGAATTGAGAGACGCGGCCGATGCTTGCAAAGTGCTGAATCGTTTCTTTCGCCGCCTGGACATCGTGAGTTTTCGTCGACTGGATCGCTTTGGAACTAAGAGTGGCTTCAAGTCGGTTTTTGAAAGTATCCAAGAGTTTCTGCTTTTCTCCGTAATCTGGCGCGCCTTGAAAGATCAAAATCGACTGGTCCAACTGTGCGATCTTCTCCGCAATCGTCTTCAAATCCTGTTCCGTGAAAGCATTCTCCGCTTCCTGCGTTATTTGAGCCCAGTTGTCGACCTTTTTCAACGACGCTTCAGAACTTTCCACTCGCTCTTTGATCTGGTCAATCGAAAAGAGAACTTGAATGGAAGAATTCGTCTTTTGCTCGACGTCTTCTAGTCCCTCTTTGACTTGGTTCATGTGGCGCTTGAGGAAGTTTGCTTCTTGCCGGACGGTTTCTAGCTCCCGAGCTGCTTTTGGAACTGCTTGAGCGCCTTGCTCAGCTGCTTCTTCGATCGTTTTTGAAATGTCCTAAAAATGGAAATCAATTTAATAAAAAAGGGATATAAAATTGGTGCCCCTTTTAAAAGTCCTTTAGGATGTACCCGTTTAACGAAGACATACCTGAGATACAAGCTGTAGCTTGGTAAGAAGTGACGCGGCATACGTATCCCGCTTCTCTTTTGTAACATCCCTAAAGATCCGGTTATTGTCGTAAAGTTTGATTGTTACAAATCTTATTTCTGTGGGAATGGTAAGTTTAAATATGCTTTTTGCATCAATAACTAAAGAATAATCTCAGAAAAAGTCAATTAAAAACCCCTATATTTTGCTATAAAAATACTTAAAAAAGCCTGGGAAAAGCAGCAATATGCAAAATCAGCATCAGATTCCCAGGCTTGTTATTATTGAAATGAGAAATCTGCCACTCTTAGATTTGAAATCTATAAATAAGGGTTGCTCGATATAAACTTCCACTGGAGCGGAGATCCTAATGGATCGTGTTTTGCCGTATTAGGTCACAGATAAGAAATTTTCTTTAACAAAATTATGAGAAATAATTATAAAATAAATAAAATCATGATTTTCTTGTCTTACTTGAAAGCGGAATTGACCCAAGTCAGCAAATCCCAATTTTCATCCCCAAAACTCGAGAAATCCATCTTCTTCTTTCACTTTCTTTTCTTCGATTTTCTAATTCTTGAAATTCTTCCTTTCCCTTTTTTTTCTCACGCTTTCGATTTTCCTTTGAGCGCAAATAGCAGCCTCGCTCGGGCAGCGCTCCGGGCGAATCACAAAAAAAAAAATGAAAAAAAATGTTGATTTCTAAAAATGGTCGATTTTGACGTCAAAAATTAAGAATGAAATAAAAAAAATTATGAAGAGAAGATGAAATGAAGCACAATCCAGAGGTTACAATGTGAGCGCTAGCCCCCGATATTTGAATACTTTGTTTTCTGATAAACAATTATATGATTCCCTGTTCTAAAATGATTTACTGAATAAATAACATGCAAATGCATGAATAAGCAAAGTTCAAAACTTTTTATTAAGAGTTTTTGCGATTCTGAGATGAGATCTTACTGCGAATAAATATATGAAGAAAATATTAAAATGAAGGATGACGATTTCAAATAACTCGTTCAAAAATTTTTCTAACACCCCCTTTTTTGTGCTCATTTGAAAGAGCGTGAAAAACTGGTCCAGAAAATGCTGGTCTTATCATCGGTGACGTCACAAGTGGCGCGCGGGCGCCCCCTAAAGGTCTAATTAGGTCAATTGCGGGCTACGCGATTTCTCCGGTCATGCATATCGCACATGCATGGTTAGCATCTAGAATTGATCGTCGTGAGCAGGGCTACATGTCCCGGCCAAAATCGTCAAAATCGGACCACGTCTTCACCAGCTGGTTGACCGGCAAATATCTCAAAATGACAAAATCACTTACTTTTGATAAAGGCAACCTACCGATGGAAGTAGGGGTTGCCCTGGACTCGAACCCGAATTTCTGCCGTATTCGGCCACTTAGTGCCGGAGGACCTCCCGGACGACTCCTCTGCTGGAAGAAAAGCTGCTGGAAGACTAATATCAAAAAATATAAATACAAATAAAATTTAAAGCCATGATTGGCTAGTAATTGCCGTATTCAGCCACTTAGTGCCGGAGGACCTCCCGGAGGACCGCTCTGCTGGAAGAAAAGCTGCTGGAAGACCAATTTTTAAAAATAAAAATACAAATATAAAGCCTGGATTGGCTAAATATTGTCTAATAAGCCGCATTTAGCCACTTTTTGCCGGATGACCTCCCGGAGGACCCGCCTACTGAAAAACCGACTGCTGGTAAGCCAATATTTAAAAAAATAAATAAAAAGCCTTGCAACATCTGGCAAAACTCGATCACTTTAGTTCATAAGCCAGTTCATACTTTTCAATCAGACTCAGAGCGAAGCCGACCCGAAGGGAGGCCACGCCCGTTCAACCTTTTCAATCAGAGTCAGGGCGAAGCCGACCCGAAGGGGAGGTCAATCCCGTTCATTCCTTTCAATCAGAGTCAGGGCGAAGCCGACCCGAAGGAAGGCCATGCCCGTTCATTCTTTTCAATCAGAGTAAGGGCGAAGCCGACCCGAAGGGAAGGCCATGCCCGTCCATTCTTTAAATCAGATTAAGGGCGAAACCAACCCGAAGGGAGGCCAATCCCGTTCATTCTTTTCAATCAGAGTCAGGGCGAAGCCGACCCGAAGGGAGGCCACGCCCGTTCATTCTTTTAAATCAGAGTTAGGGCGAAGCTGACCCGAAGGGAGGCCAATCCCGTTCATTCTTTTCAATCAGAGTCAGGGCGAAGCCGACCCGAAGGGGAGACCACGCCCGTTCATTCTTTTCAATCGGAGTAAGGGCGAATCCGACCCGAAGGGGAGGCCGCACTCGTTCATTCTATTCAATCAGAGTCAGGGCGAAGCATCATTTATGATCCCGAATATTTCGAGATACTCCTAACTTTAATGTTGAAAAATCCGGGAGGTTTTCAAGAGATCTAACATTCGGGATTTACAAAAATCTGAAAGCGAACCAGCGTAGACTTCTTCAATCAAATTCGTATTGACTCTTATTGAATAAAAAGATTAGACGTTGCCATCCCTTCGGGTTGGCTTCGCCCTGACTCTGATTTAAAAGAATGAACGGGCGTGGCCTCCTTCGGGTCGGCTTCGCCCTGACTCTGATTGAAAAGAATGAACGGATTGGCCTCCCTTCGGGTTGGTTTCGCCCTTAATCTGATTTAAAGAATGGACGGGCATGGCCTTCCCTTCGGGTCGGCTTCGCCCTTACTCTGATTGAAAAGAATGAACGGGATTGGCCTCCCTTCGGGTCGGCTTCGCCCTTAATCTGATTTAAAGAATGAACGGGCGTGGCCTCCTTCGGGTCGGCTTCGCCCTGACTCTGATTGAAAGGAATGAACGGGATTGACCTCCCTTCGGGTCGGCTTCGCCCTGACTCTGATTGAAAAGGTTGAACGGGCGTGGCCTCCCCTTCGGGTCGGCTTCGCTCTGAGTCTGATTGAAAAGTATGAACTGGCTTATGAACTAAAGTGATCGAGTTTTGCCAGATGTTGCAAGGCTTTTTATTTATTTTTTTTTAAATATTGGCTTACCAGCAGTCGGTTTTTCAGTAGGCGGGTCCTCCGGGAGGTCATCCGGCAAAAAGTGGCTAAATGCGGCTTATTAGACAATATTTAGCCAATCCAGGCTTTATATTTGTATTTTTATTTTTAAAAATTGGTCTTCCAGCAGCTTTTCTTCCAGCAGAGCGGTCCTCCGGGAGGTCCTCCGGCACTAAGTGGCTGAATACGGCAATTACTAGCCAATCATGGCTTTAAATTTTATTTGTATTTATATTTTTTGATATTAGTCTTCCAGCAGCTTTTCTTCCAGCAGAGGAGTCGTCCGGGAGGTCCTCCGGCACTAAGTGGCCGAATACGGCAGAAATTCGGGTTCGAGTCCAGGGCAACCCCCTACTTCCATCGGTAGGTTGCCTTTATCAAAAGTAAGTGATTTTGTCATTTTGAGATATTTGCCGGTCAACCAGCTGGTGAAGACGTGGTCCGATTTTGACGATTTTGGCCGGGACATGTAGCCCTGCTCACGACGATCAATTCTAGATGCTAACCATGCATGTGCGATATGCATGACCGGAGAAATCGCGTAGCCCGCAATTGACCTAATTAGACATTTAGGGGGCGCCCGCGCGCCACTTGTGACGTCACCGATGATAAGACCAGCATTTTCTGGACCAGTTTTTCACGCTCTTTCAAATGAGCACAAAAAAAGGGGGTGTTAGAAAAAATTTTTGAACGAGTTATTTGAAATCGTCGATCACCATTCAATTTAACCATTCCGTTTAAATCCGGGTCTGAAGATTTGTTCTGAAAAAGTTTACGCTGTAACTTACTGTCAAAAATTTTGAACTCAAAATTATTAAAAGATTTATTTTATGATTTTTGATGAATAATAAAATATTAAAATGAAGCATTAACATAAGGAGTACACTATGATGCAAAAAGTTTTCTAAATTCATCTATAAAAACGATAAATATCGTCTGCCGTCTGCTGCTGCAGCAGATAGTATATTTTAAATAAATTATTTTTAGACTTTAGTCTGCTTTAAAATTTTCTTGAACTCTCCTAATGTCGTACCAGCAATCTTCTTTTCAGAGTTGATTTCAAAATAATCATGGACGGAATCGAAAAAGGCGACTTAGAACACATGGACTTGGAACCGCCAATGCCAGAAGAAGAGGAAGACGAAGAAAATGAAAGCTCAGAGGAAGAGGAAGAAGACGACGATGAGGAAATGTCCAGTTCGAATGGGAAAAACAAAGTCGCGCAAGAAGCATTTATTCCTGGAAAACACACGCTCAAAGAAGGCGAAGAATTGGTCAGAGACGAGAGGTGAGAAAACTGCTTTTTCCCTCTATAGAACGATTCTAGCGCTTACAAATTATACCACGAATTTCAAACAGGCGCTCCATGTCTTTCCTTCGACATCATTTCCGACGATGTCAACCGCTCGAACGGCGCCTATCCAGCTACTACTTTCATCGTCGCCGGAACGAATTCGCAAACTGCCCGAGATCACTTGATTGTCCTAAAGCTTTCGAACATGCACGAACAAGAAGAGCCGATTGACTTGGACGATGACGAAGAAGAACCTCCTGTAGATCCAGGTAAGCATCAAAAATAGCTAGGTTGGGAAATTCTTTTGAAATAATCGGTCTTTATTTTCGACTATTATAACGATCTAGTACCTAGTCCAGTAGAAATTCTAGTCTAATAGACTTGCTTTTGTAAATCTAAGGTAGTAAGAAGGTTCCCCTCGTTTTACTTTGTTTATATTTTTGATGTAACAGATTTCAATAAATCTGAGCCTATTTTTCTAGCCCCTGACTGCCATCATGCGGGGTAATATTCTCTCTTTCCACATGATTTGAGTGTAGTTTTCTCTCTATAATTTACGGATTAAAATGGATCCGAGGCGCGTTTATGCATAAGTAGGGTGCTGAATACTCAACCCATCCACCCGTATCGCCTATAATAACGCTCGATCCTCAGTCTCAGAGACGGAGAATCGTCTTCTGAACCTATGGAAAGGTCGTTTCAAATAAACAAGAACGTCTTTGCCGCGTTTGGAGGATTATACAACAGCTTTTCATGCACCTACATGGCAGCAGACACGGCCCTGGGGCCAAGTAAAGCTCCCTCGTTACGAAAAGCACCATGAATCTCGCTATTAGGTTCGTTAGGGTTACGTAATCGAAATCACGATTGAGATGGAAATTATTTTGAAATGTGCGGAAGATTATTGAAATTATTACATTTTTAACTCAAAATCAGTGCTTCCCATAACTAGCTACAACCCCCATGTGTGCCCAAAGTCAACACGGGCCCGAAACGCCGCGTTTTACGCTAGAATCGGAAAGTTTAACATTGATATTACGAAATAGTATGACGTAAAGTCAATTTTAGGCAAAATTTGATTATGAAAATAAATTTTTATTCAGTAGAATTTAAGATAAACCCTTGGCAATGGATTTAATTGATCTAGCTCCCCATTATAGCGTGCCTGAGGCATATTAGCCGACTATATAATCGAAAAGCTTCGTGATTTCATCACGTTATTTGGTACACGCGCTATTCGAGAAAAATTCGGATAAAATTCATTGCGGAATTTGACCGATAAAACGAATTCTTTAGAAAAACGACCGGTGCTGAGCGCGGCGATGGTGCGACATGCAGGCGCGGTGAATCGCGTCCGTGCATGGAATGCAGGCGATCGCGTGCTCTGTGCAAACTGGTCTGAAAGAGCAGAGGTGCACGTTTGGGATCTGGCTGAGCAGCTCAAGGCGACGCATGATAAGCATGCAATGAGCAATTTCATCAGGTAAAAGCTCTGAAAATTCAGTAACTTGACTTTCCTTCTCAGTAATCATCAGAAAACACTAAAGCCGCTATTCACCTTCTCGGGCTACCGAGCCGAGGGATACGCGCTCGACTGGTCGCTAACCAAGCCAGGTAAGACGCAAGACAGACGTCTTGTTCAACCCTGGTTTTTAGGAAATTTGCTAACAGGAGATAACAGTAAAAACATCCATCATTGGGCGCCAAATGGAACGGATTGGAATGTAAATCAAAGCTCGTTCACTGGACACCAAGCTGCAGTGGAGGATATTCAGTGGAGTCCGATGGAAGCATCAGGTACTTACAGGAGGATTTTTAAGAGCAGAACATTCACTTTCTTGTAGTTTTTGCATCGTGTTCTACAGACAAGTCAATCAGAATTTGGGATATTCGAGCGAAACCGAATAACGCGTGCATGATAGCAGTGGAAAATGCTCATAGTTTAGACGTTAATGGAATCAGGTAATGAGGCAATGATTGCATCAGCGTTGTTCATTTTGTATAACTAGTTGGAATCGAAAAGAGCCGTTTATTGTATCGGGTGGAGACGACGGAGTTGTCAAAGTTTGGGATCTGAGGCAGATTCAGTCCAAAGAGTGCGTCGCTCACTTCAAGCATCATTCAGGTAGAGTAACAGTCTCTAGTGACCGGCGACTGAGAGTTTAGGGCCGATTACGTCAGTGGAGTGGTGTCCTCAGGACTCAAGCGTGTTCGCCGCGTCGGGAGAAGACAACCAAGTCACACAGGTATCACTTAAAACTCATCACAGGGTTCTTCCAAGCACGCGAGCTGCACGCTGCACAAATAAAAATGCAGCCAACATTTAGCGTAACAGACTATGATGATCCGAAGTAAAGGGGGTCAGAGGCAAACGTAGAATTTCCTAAAAACCCTGGGCAAACATTACTTATGCCAAATATGGCATGAGGTGAAGCCAAATGCTCGGATGATCCTCTTCCCATTCAGATGACTTCTTCATCAGACAGAGCAAAAACAAGCTTGAGAAATAATTGAGCAATATTTTTTTTCAGTGGGACTTGGCGGTGGAAAAAGAAGGACACAGTGAAGAACCGGAAGTGCCCCCACAGCTACTGTTTGTGCATCAGGGCCAGCAAGACATCAAGGAAGTGCATTGGCATCCCCAAATCGAAGGGTTGATGCTGTCCACGGCTAGTTCTGGATTTAATGTTTTCAAAACTATTTCTGTTTGAACAGCTGCGTGGATAAGCATAAAATAGCTCACTGGTAATCAAGTCCGTTTTTAGAATGGAGATTTTCGCTGACTTTGCTTACCCACCACCACCAATGCCAACTGCAGTTGCAGCTTCAGTTCCAGCAGTAAATGCGTATCACTGCCCACCACCAGCAGTTCCATCCGACCCGGAAGTCATCCAATACGACTATTCAAAAGCGAGGGATTACCCAAAGCATCAATACCTCTTTCCTTATTCGGTAAGAAAAAAATACCACCTTTGAAAGAAACCTCGTCTGTATAATTAGACTTACACTCCTAAGATACCGACAACAATGAACGTCAAAAACGACGTACAAACAAAGACGGAGCCTGTTTCCACCGTTACATCACCGATTTGCCCTCCCAAAAACGACAAGCCAAAACAAGGTGAGAAAAGAACGATAGTTATTCCTCCTTGATTTCAAAATCTCCAACTTTTCGCAATATCGGTTTAGTCCTAAAAGTTAAGAAATTGAAAATCGTTTAGCATTCCAATTGCCTCATCAAGCAGACACGAATCATTTAGTAGAGCAGATTTTGCGCAACGACCACGTCGATTTGGAAACGCTGATCGGAAAGAAGACCTCCCGTCGAGGACGAAAACGAAAGTCATCAGAGGAAGAGGAGCTTCAAACGCTTGAATGCGAGGCTGAGACGGACGCCTACCGAAAGAAAAGAATACGGTAAGACAGATAATTGCAATACACACGGACTGCCGGACAAGACTCAATTTTGACTGTCTCGCGGACTCTAAGCCTGTAATTTCGAAAACATGAAATGCCGGATGCATTCGAAATTCACCCTACCGTCACCACCCACGCTCGTTATTATTAGCTTCTCGGTATATAATCAGAGCCCGGCCTTCGATTTCCTCATATTACGAGTTATTGTAATATTGGAATCAGAAAACAATGATTTAAAAGGACTCATGGGAGTGTTAAGGAACAACATCGCCGTGCGAAAAAGCCGGGAACGCGCAAAACTGAGGACGGAGAACACTCAAAAGAAGCTGATCGAGCTTCATTCGGAGACGCAGACGCAGAAGGAGCTCATCATTCACATGCAACAACAGTGCATCGAGCTCGAGACAAAAGCCTCAAGAGCTGAACGACGGCTGGAGGAAACACTCAAGGTAGATTTTCTTGTTTCAAGCAGCAAGCCCCTAACTTTATTCTATTCTAGTTCAACGTAAGAATGCGCCAGTTCATCAACAACCTCCCAGCGGAAATGCAGCCTTGCTTCGCCGTCTGAGCTCCTCGAAATTACAACAAAGATTCACCATCTGCACTTCTCTTCTTTTTCTCTTTTCTTTACTTTGAGCTCATGAAGTTCTGACCGAATCTCGACTCGTCTTTACATGTGAAAACTTTAAAAGCTTTTCTGATTTTCTCTCATCTCTTTCTCAAGTTCTCTTTTATCGAAAAGTTCAACTCGTCTTCCAGCCCCCCAGTTCATGTCATTTTCATGCTCCTCCATGATTTCAAACATTCGAAATTGGGAGATTTCTGCAGCTTCAATTCCGGAACTCGCTACTGTACTCAAGTCACTGTACGATTCCGGAACTCTATGTGCCAGTGTTACTCCTTGCCAGTTTTTCTCCATTGACTTTCTTTCAAAAAAAAAGTATCTTCTTCTCGCGCCTGTTTTTAAAATAAATATTGAAAAAAGCAAAAAAGCGAAGCAATCAATTTTGATTTTGACATTTGCTGGACAAATATTTTTTCGTCCTTGAGTTGAGAAAGAGTGAAAAAACGTCATTTTTACCAGAGTACCTTTTGATTGTGGACCAAAATTCAGGCGAATATCAAAATAGCAGCTTGAATATTTTAACATCATATTTGCCAATTATTTGTCCCAAAAGTGTGCATTGGTTAAATATCTTCAGAACTTAATCCATTTCTTCAAATATCTCAACGATTTTCTGTACGAGTTTATCACCCTATCACTGGTAAAATTATACTTCCTGTGTGACCATCAAATATTCCAAAAGACCAAAAATACCTCGTGAAAAGTTCCCTTTTTCCCATCCAGTTCCTGTCTATTCCAAACTAATCCCATTACTAATGGATTATATTACTCTAAGAGATTATCCCCAATCTGAAAAACGCATCGCTACTGCCACTGATTGAAATGATCGTGATCAATAAATCATCGATTAAGGTTATCTGTCTGGAAAGACAAAAAATTGCTCAGTCGGAAATTTCAAAAAAGCGAGAGAAAGAGCGCGAAAATCCAATTTGGCCTGCGGCGAGTGAGATTTGCTGTTTGCGCGATTCTGAATCTGAATTATTGAAGAAACGGACAACAAAAAAGCAAAAATGTCGATAACCGATTCGAATGGGAATTTCTCGGAGGAGTTTTTGAACCGACTAGAGAATTTGAAAAAGGACCAGAAAGAGAATTTGAGGGAATTGGAAAGGTTGAGAATCGACGCTTACTTAGAGGTTAGTTGATTGAATTAAAAGTTCTTATTTTTAACTGGCCCTATATTTCGTCTTACCAAATAATATTCATCTGCTTTATTCAGTTAAAAATTAAGTTCAACCAGAAGGGACCCCTTGATTTTATATCTCAGTTGGGGGATGAACGCAATTTGCGTAGAAATAAATTTGTTTAATTCAATAAAACATAAGAAAATTGGTAGATAAGCCGAAATCAATGACCCTAACCTGATTAATGCTCGTTTTGAAAATATGGCCTCTGAAATTAAAAATCAATTTCAGAATCGCAACATGCCTCATCAGCCGATAGAATCTCGGCTAGACCACAACAAGACGATTCAAGAAATGTGGAGCGACTTCAACTTGGCAGAGACTCTCGAGCGGTATCCATCTTTGCAGCAGATACCCGTTGACATCCACGCCAAGTCCGATTTTGAATCTGACAAGAAACGGCTTCATGAATGGCGACCGCGAGTTACAGTCCCTGAGCCGTTTTCAATGACTGTTCGCGAAGAAAAACGACCCAAGGGACCAAAACATACTCGGTATGACAAGAAATAATCCATCTTAGTTTACTGTAACAAATGATTACTGTAGCGCGAGTCTGGAGGTCGGAGAGGCGCAAAGAAAACGAGAAGAGGAAGAGAAAAATATTTCCAAAGAGTTTCGGTTAATTTTCCCTAAAGAAAAAAAGCTCTAAAATAATCTTTAGTTGTCGCCCAGTGCCTGCCCATGTCTACTACCCCCTGTACCACGACATTGTAGAACACAGCGATACAAGACGAAAGCTGACATTCGAAAAAAGGATGAAAGATTTGCAAGAAAAGTCTACCGCACCTTCCTTTGTCGATCGAGACCAGGCGAAAAAGCGGGAAAAGGCGATGGCATTGAGAGAGATGAGGGATGAAGAAGAGGCGTTTTTGAAGACCTTAGGTAATCGCTAACGATGCAAAATTATTGCATTCAACGAGGTTTTTATGAGCTGGAGATTCTTGACCTTCAATTCGGAGCTCGTAAATGAGCCCAATCAAAAGAGATGATTTGATTCATGTCATGCTCATTTGTGAAATGAATATTTTGAATTGAATGGTCGAGGAACACTTTGAAAGAAAATATCTCCAGCTTCGTTTTTGAATCATTGAATCTTGAGTTGAATAATTAAACTCGCCAATTCGCATCATAATTCATTTCAGCTTCGTCATTCAAAGCCAAAGAGCCTGCTCCAGAAGTACTGGCGCCAAAGCAAAGCCACGCAGATTTTGAGGCGGACAGAGAGAAGAGAATCAGAGCTAGAGCTGAGAAGTTATTACAGTAAGTAAAACATAGAATCAATTAGGGGTTCCATCGAATTGTACCTTTTCAAATCGTTATTTAAATTAATTCATCTTTATTTTGAATTACGTGAGAAACCGGCATCTTTCGTGCGCATCGTCAATTTCTTCTTCTCATGCCGCAAATGTGCAGTACAGTAACCTTTTGGATTATATCGATTCAGGGGAAGGAATTACTCTGAATGCGAATGAACCCGAATCAGAACATCCCTTGAGCGCACGAAAACCGCGCCACAAATTGAAAAAAGAGACAGTTCACGTAGAGAAAATGCTTAGTCAACTAATAGTTATGCGCTTTTGACAGTAATGAGCAGGCTTTTTCAGATGCTCATCTCTTCCACCGAGGATGAACTCGGCTCCTACTCCATCAGCACGAGCCTCGAGCTCAAGAGGATCAGTAAACGAGGACAAATGGGCGAAAACGCGACGGCATGACAAACCAGTGCCAGATTTCAAGGCGTTGCATCGGAAAAACATGCGCAAACTAGAACTGGCGAAGAAGAGAGATGAGGCGGAAAGGGAGAGAACGAGGCCGAAATCGGCTGCTCCTGAACTTGCTTCAATGAAACGAGCGGAAAAGAAGGCGCAAGAGAAAGGTAATAAGAAATTACTGTCGTCTCTGTAATTCAACAATCTGCAATTAATCGAGGCGCTCCCCCAAGGGCAAGTCCATTAGTAGTAGTCTCGCCCCATGGGGTTTTAGCTCAAGGGGGAAATAATTTAAGACGCGCTCAAACACAGTGAAACAAAACTCGAGCGTTTATGAATGGAAAGGAGAAAGAGGAATTTATTCAAATATTTTGTTGAATAAAGACAAACAGCCGTTTGGAATTTAATGAGGAACCTTTTATTAGCGCTAGTGGCGGCTGAAGAGCCCGATTCAAAGGTCTTCAAGGCAACAAAGATTAATTTCTCCCCGGAGGCACCGCCCATCAGAGAGAACGACAGCTTCACGCGCCGCAGAGACTTTGTCAAGCATACTTTAGGTAAAACGGGTTCACATTGAGATTACCCGGGTTTCTTATAAAAAAAAAAGAACAGTGGATTGTCTTAGTTATATCAGGCTGATATTATCCGCCTAGTTTAAAGATTTCAGGTGTTGATAGTGGGTCACTCCAGCTGGGAGAGTCTTTAGATAGCGCCCTCTTCTGGGGCTTTTTGGTAGTATAAAAATTCGTAGATTGAGATGGCAACTTATTCGTAAAATGAAAACGAAATCAAATTAATCTTCTTGACAGATTGAGCAAGGAAATATCTACCGGTAACTACGATTACTGTTCCTTAATTAATCATTTTCCTGTGTATTGAATAAAATTTCTCATCATCGGATATTCGTAGATTAAGACTTTTGTTATCTGAGATAACTTATCTCGGTCGAATACTCAGAAAAACCCTTTTATATTTACTTATTTGAACCCGATAAATAGACTTGATGGAAGAAGAGTTAAAAAAGGAAAACGAAAACTTACTCGAAAAACGCCGTGCTCAGCGACTCCGCGCCAAAGCCATTAGGAAGTCCATTCCAGGCAAAACAAACACTCGTAGCCAAAGTAAGCCCAGAAAGCAGCGTAAACAGCCATCTTCAATGTCCATTCTAGAGCAAACGCGTGAAGAGCTGAAGAAGAACGACTTGCAACGAAGAATTGAGTATCGAAAGAGTCTCAATGAAATTTACGAGCGAGTTGAAGCCCGACCATGTCTTTTTGAATAGGAAACGAAAGAAGTTTCTTTTTTCTATTTTTTATCTTTCCGGAAGTTCTATTTCTATATTTTCCCATAATTTAAAGTTTATTTTTCTACTCCTTGTTGATTTCAATTTTTTGATTCAGAATGTAAATTGAATCGCGTTCGATTCTGATTCTAATGCCGAACGGACTCCAGCGAAGTATATCTGCGTTTTTCAATCGAGGCGGAAAAGATCGAAGCTCAGGGAGAAAGAAGAAAGATAAAGATAGTAATGGCGGTCTGGATTTTGCAAGAAGCGATGATTTTCAAACATTCCAGAAGATGGCTTCCCCGAGGCTTAGTAGAAGGCTGCAGTCGCCGAAAGAAACGATTCAGTTCATGTAAGTTAAGATCAACAGTAACAGCTCACAGTAGGACCAGTTTGTTTCTTGATAAATAATTTATATCGTTAGTATTTCTTAATTCTCCCTAGTTGACTTTTTAATACAATTGACAGCTACGAATTGACATCTGTCCGTTCCATTAGCGACCATTTTATATAGAATAGTGATAATTAATTTACTAACGGCTTTTAGCGACGATTACGTCGACCCGATCGATTTTGTGAATCCGAACGAGTGCATGTCCAACTACGACCACCCTTGGGATGCAAATCTTACTGCGGCTCATCAAAATCGCCAAGCTCAAGCGAAGCTCAAATCGCAGCAGCTCTCCCGACCCAGGCCAGGGGATCAGCCAGTCGCGCAAGGATGCAACTACGATGAACCTTGGGGTGACAATGGCTGCGAATTCATCCCCAGCGGCCCGCTTCATCCGAAAAAGGAGCCTATGCAAGCATATGATGATCCTTGGGTTCGGTCACATGACAGAACGACGGTTTCAGGCGCATCTGGAACCATTTCCACCCTTTCTTCACACTCTTCAGGACAATCTGGCCGTTCGCAAAATCGAAATATGTATCGACCTCCTCAAATAAATAATTCCAGGGTAAGACCATCCTCTTTTATTCTGCTCCTCAAAGTCATTCTAGCGTTCAAACGACCGTGCGAATTTCCAGCCCGATCCACGCCTCGTCGTCGACCCATCCTTCGTGAACAATCAAAATCCCCGATCGCAACAGCCATCAGTCGCTCAATCACACAATAATCCAATCTACCACCAACGCTCCTATTCCAATCAAATTCAAAGCCCAACGAATCATCCTCTTCATGGAAATCCTCAAAACTTGCACCCACCCTCTCTTCATTCCAATTTTCCATTACGTCCGGGTAAGATTGAATAACTTTGTCATTTTGAAAACAACAAGGAGTGCTTTAATTAATATTATTTCAATGCAAAAGTTGCACAAGCGTGAATCTTATCTAACCTAATGCATCTTTCCTCCTGCATCTAGTAACTCTTAATCTTTTCAGCTCGCTCCCACGACTCACTGAGGCATGAGGTAGTTTACGATCACATTCCAAGCACATGTACACCAATCATCGCCGAAAGTCCGCTCGTCTTCCACCAACGACAAGATTCGCAACCTCGAAATCAATCGGGCGAAGTTGGCTCATCCGCGTATCTACAGCAATTACTCCGTCAGACGGGTAAGATTTCTCAGCAAGCGCAGTTCATAGCTAACCTAATATTCTTCTGAAGATGATTCGATTTCGACGTCGCTAGATGACCTACTGTATGGTCAGAGGAATGTCATTCAGCCTCCTGTTCCAATGGCCAGATCGAAATCGCAGAGAAATTCGTCTGGGATGCGCAGACACCAGCCCAACGCCGGCCACAAGTCCCCATCCCCCCACCGGTAAGCCTAGAAAAATCTGACCAAAGCCAATTTGTAATTTCTAAAATAAAAGACGTCCCGTTATGCAATCGACAATGATGCGAAACCTGCAGCACTTTGCTGAACACGACATTTACGCCATCGAGCCGGTAATGAAGTACTCGGCGCCGCACAACATTGGCCACTCGAGTTCGACCGGTCGATCAAGTGCGAGCGATAAGAGTCATTCTTCGGGAAACCAGACTTCCTCTTCAAGGTCACAGCAGGCCGAGTTGCTCGATAATATGGATTATTATCGCTCGACGATGACGAGACACGAAGCCGAAAAGGTACGTTAAGGTGGTAGAAACAGCTTTCTTGAAAAAAGCCGATTTTTGAACAGCGCCCGAGCTCAGCCAACCTTAGATTTTTGAATTCTCTCTTCGATTTTAGTTAGATTTATCTTAGATCTAAGAGCATCTGTTTTTAAAATTAATTTTTGTTTACCCAGTTTATCGGTAGAGAGCGAAACATCAACCCATCTCGTCGAAAATCCCGATTTTCGCCCATTTTCAAGCACGATTATCTCGAGACATGTGACTAACCGAGAATTTCTTTTTTCATTTTAAGATACTTTAACCCTTTTTCTAGGAGCATCTATGATTTTAATTGCGTAATCATAAAAAATGATAGTACTTGGAGTTCGATTGCAACTTCTGTAACAAATTTTCAAAATTTTGAATTTGAAACAGAATTTTTTCGTGATACCCTTAAGTTATCGTCCTACCTAAGTTATTCACGATGATAACATGATCCAAACAAATCTATCTCATCGGCGTTCAACCCTTTATTTCATGATTTTAAGCCTCGATAAACTTCGAAAATTAAAAATTTTTCGCAAAACTCCAACTTTGAAGGCAATTTAAAGGACATTCCAACATAGTAAGGGGGTAACTTTTGATAGCGTTTTAATTCTTTGTGTCCTAGCCTTTCAGAATCTTAGAAAAAATCTTTAGTATTCCATCTTTGGCAAAAGCTGTTTCTACCCCCTTAAGCTCACATTTAGCGCCCTTTCTATCCACTTTTTAGGTCTTGCACAACGAAATCGAAGGCAGCTTCGTCGTCCGCCGCAACACCCAGAACCCGGAGTGGTATTCCATTTCTGTCATGACCGACGACCAGGGCGTGCTCCATCTCGTTATTCAAAAATCAGACTCTGGCCATTGGTACATCGGCGGTGGCGGCGTTATCCAAGCTGAGTTTCCGTCTGTTCCCGACTTAATCTCCTATTATCAGGAGCACTGTCTCAACATTCGCGGTACAAAGGGGTTAAAATTAATCCTCAAATACAGATAGGAAAATAACAGATTTTTTCTTTGTAGCATATTTTCACTGTAACTATCAGCGGCATCTTCTTATCCCCCTCTTTTCCAAATACTCTATTATCCCCACCCCCAACTGACCCCTGAAAGTGCCAGATAATGGCCTCTCTCTCTGTATATATCGAAAAATACTATCTCTACTTTGTTCCCGCTACGAAAACATTTCGTTCAAACAATCTCAATCTCACAAAATAGGAAACATTCGTACTACCTTCTTTTTTATTTTCTTGTCATCGAAAAATGCAATTCAAAATATATGAATAAACACCTATTTTGGAAAAAAACAAAACGCTATTTTTTCAGATGTCCGTAAGGTTAGCGAGAGCTTGCAGATATCTGAGGGTTATCAGAAGTTGTCAGAGAAATTCTAGTTAGGGTTGCATATGAATTTTGGCAAGGGATTTTTTGGCAAAAGATAAAGGGTCTCTACTTTGTGAATCTTTCATTTTCAAAGGTAGGACCCTAAGTTAAGGGTATCTCTCCCGAAAATGGAATAAAATAATGGCTTCCCTTTGTTATTTTCAAATATAATTATCAACCCTTCAAACGCTACTACGCATATCTAGGAATAGACTACCACGCAACAGATAAAACGATAAAAACCGCAATTGATCAAAAACTCCAAGAACTCATATCTTCCGAAGAAAACTCTGAAAACTCGCTTGAATCGAAAAAAGCACAAGTTCTTCTTCGCAAAATCGAGAAAACACTCCTTGACCCAAGTTTGCGGTCTTCGTATGACTTCGAAAATCGAAATTTGATCATCCCGCAGAAAGATGAAGAACTTGAAAATATCGGAGAAAGAGAGGAGAATATTTATGTGTATAATAATGCGAGGGAAGTCGTGACGCACGTGAATTACTCGCTGGAAGAAATTGAAGCGATGGTCGAAGTCGGGCAAATGGACGAAGTCGATAAAACGGCAAATACGAAGCAGCAAAGAATGATGTTCATTGCTTTCGGTAAATTATTGCCAAAACGGAGTGATGTCCTTATTTCTAGCGCTGCCACTGATATTCTTCTATTTCACCTCTGTCGAGCCAGAGCGCTGTATCTTTCGCCGCCGCCGGCTCACTTCAGAAGAAAAGAAAATAATTATTGAAGAGGCTGCGAAAATAAACGCACAAAAATCATCTGCAGATTTTGTTGCTCCTGCTTTTATTGAGCCTGCGAAGTTCGTTGAAAGCGCCTTGCCGCCACTTGAAGATTTGAAAAGTATTTTGAGACGCAAAGCGTTTGAAACGAATAGTATTGCTTTTTGAGGAAATGTATAAAATATGACATCTTATTTATTTCTAATATATTTGTATTTAAGTATAATCCAGAGGCAACGATAGATGAATTGGCACTACATATTATTGTTTCATTTTAGATGCTTCGTGTCTTCGGGAGGTTTTCAGCGCTGCGACGAAATTTGGCAGCAACATTGAACAGAAGACATGATGAATTAAGGATAGGCCGGACGTTTTTTTCTTTCGTTGATTCAAAAGATGTAGTCAGATTGATTCTCGGAATCATGTAATGTACTTCCATAGCATATTCCACGTGCATTTTGCATTTTATTTAAAAAAAGATATTTTCTAATGATTCATTCGTAATGACAAAGTAAAGAATAACAAAGTTATTCGACAAGTCTCATTTTTTTTTTGAATTCTATTTTTTACTTCAATCCTTTTATAATCGTTCCTAAACTCGTCAGCACCAGAAAACTAAACATCTCCAAGATCTCTCTTGACCTAAAAAAAGACACACGTGGTACGCCGTCCTCGGGGTCAAAGAATCGGCGACACATGCTGAGATTGAAGAGGCGTTTTACGACAAACTCACGAAGACAGAAATCAACCTCAATTCCCAAAGCGAAAAAGAGGTCGATGATATTTTAGATCAAAATATGATTATTATGGGTACTGGTGGAACGGGTCAATTCAATTTTTTCCTTGAAGTGGTTATTGAGATAAATTAATTTCCATCAGTAGAAAAGATGCGTATAAGACGCTGTCGCATCCAAGTAGAAGAATTGATTATGATGTCAAGTTGAAAATGTACCGTCGCGGGGATTTCAAAAAGAAAACTGATGAAGTGAAAAGACAACGAGATGGGGCTTTCCTCAAGTTAGAAAAACAGCAAGATCCAGAGGAGGAAAATATAGAAACACTTTTGGACAAAGCGAAAGGCCTGGAGAAAGAATTTTATGCTGAAGCAAAAGAACAGCCAAGGTAAAATATCAAAAACTTCTGGGAGGCGTGGGACTTCGGACTAGCTATTATCCTCATCCTCGTTGTATGGGGAACCCAGAAGAACCTCAGGAGCTGGTGGAAGCTCTTTTGTCAATTTAGGGTTTTTCTATAGGGGCGATTGAAGTTATGGGCATTGCCCAGGACTAAATCACCAAATCGTAGGAAGAAAATTTCCTCCTTTCGACTTTTCGCTCAGAAGAATGATTCTTTTAGTGAGATTCGAGCTCATTGACCGGATCTATCTTGACTGATTTCCTAAATGCCTCGTCCTGGACCACCAAACCAGACGTCCCCGAGGGATGGCGCATGATATGCGCTTATAAAGATGAAAATTTTCACCCTCATTTATTCATTTTAATCAATGAGTGTTGAAACAAGTTTAGATTTCTTGGAACAGCGAAATTCGAAGAAAACTTCGAGCACAACGTCGAACACAGCCTTCGCGAATCCCAAGCCCTCCGCCGAAACGCATTGAAAGAGACATTGTCTAACATCGAGTCGGAGAAGTTAAAAGTGCCGAGCGTGCTGGGCGCCGGTGCAGAAGTGGACGCGAATGTCAGGCGATATGCTAATATCGGTCTTGGGGCCGTTGCTTTTATAATCCGTAAGTGGGCGTAGATGAGCCTTTCAAGGAAACTGACCAGGGTCTGTCTTGCAGTTCCGTCACGCCGAAATCCGAGGAATTACGATTTTACATCGAAAAACCTTATTTCGAAATTAGGTCATTTTGATCGTATTTTTAGTTGGAATGTGGATGTGGGGACGTAAAAAGCGACAAAACCAACGTACTATCGAATCTGATGCCTTCCAAGAAGCTTATAACAAAGAATTACAAGCATTGTCCAGCTTGGCTGTTTCTGAAAAAACCTCTGATTCCAAATAGAATAAACTAATTTTATTTATTTATTTCTAAAATCTTGCCAAGTTGCCAAGTTTGCGCTTAGCTCTTGAGTATTTATTCTTATTTCGTGCAGGTTGCATAATTGCGTTTAGAAAGTTGATCATGATAAAAATCACAAGAATATATAATGTGATGGAACGGACGTGTATGGAAACCTACATTTATCGTTATTGATAACTTATCAATGATAAGAGATCATATCATAAAATAATCCATCAAAAATGAGTAACTCTGCAAGATGAAGTGCCCGGAGGGAGTCAGATTTCATACCAAAGCTCTATCTGTGTTTTCCTATTCACTAGAATTCTATAGAGACAAGCAGAGATAGTACCATGGTGAAAGTTGCAGTATTGATGTCCAGGTTCAGTTCAGACAAAATCAAGGGCCGTATTGTTTTTGAAAGGCTTTTGTTGATCGTTTAAAAAGTCTCGTCGCCGCAAACAAGCCAATTTTCAAAGCAGTGATGGAGAATGACGCTGCGAAAGTAAGAGGTGAGGTCAGCAAACATCTTCAGCTACCATAAGGGCAACTTCCAGAACTCATCGCTGCTGGACAAGACATCAACGAGCAAATGCTGGGTAGTCTTCAATCGCCCCTGATGGCATCCTGCTTGGGCGGTCATTTGGAAGTCGCCAAGGCCCTGCTTGAATTGGGAGCGGATGTTACTGTACCCGAAATGGATGGTTATACGCCTATGCATGGAGCGGCTTTCCAGGGCAGAGCAGAACTAGGAAAGGGTTTCTACTAATTGGGCGTTAAATTGGTAACATCTTTGTGACGTGTCCACTTAAAAAAATCTTGAAAAGTAAAGGCATTATTGGATCATGGAGTTCCAATCAGCGGAACTGAACACAAAGACGGTTACGCTCCTTTTCATAGGGCCTGCTGGGGAGGTGAAGAACGCCACTCTCAAACTGTACAAGGATCGGTACACGGATAACCATATTATTGCATGTCCCTGTTTGGTTTTAGACGCACTTGTTTATCCGTTCTAAAGTCTTTTTTGGACAACGGCGTGGACCCAAATCTTCCAGCAGGCAACGGGGTCACTTGCGAGAGGATGACCAGAAATGACAAAACAAAGGAAATTCTCAAAAACGCGAATGCAAAGCTGAACGACGAGCTCTGACCTTTTAGACAAAAAATTCTTCCTGTAAGTTCCTGCGGGACCTTCACTTCCTTAGGCAAAATAAACGAGAACAAGACGATTCTTTCAGTTGTTTTCTTATTTATTTTTGACAAATTATAAGATGATGAAAGATGGCAGAAGTGACGTTTTTACTCCATTGGATAAATTTACAGTGGTCAGTAGTCAGAATCAGTTGTCTCTTGACTGTATTGGCATTTTCTAGCGCCACCGGGTAGGTTTTGAGCATCACTTTACGGCATAACTACAGAAATCAACGGGAAAAATGCCGTAATCGTGAATTATTTTCGCTCATTTTCAAGTTTTTCCTGGTGACGCTACTTTTGATATTGGTAAAAACTGCCGCATATTTGTGTTGTTTTGTGTTAGTGTTGTCGACTGTTAGAAAGGTAGGTTTTATAGTACAGGGGGGATGAAATCAAGCAAGTCCATCTTGAGGTCACATTTTGGGGGGCTGCACGGTTGTGTGTGAAAATGCATCGTTGGTCCAAAAAGCGTTTTTACTTGGCCTCGCTGATGGGCTGCGCATGGTCCTGCCATGACTCGTATCGTGGTGGAGCGTCGAAGCCTTTGGCTGGAGCACCTCCGATGCCGCGTGCTGCAGCTGGGTTACCTTTAAAAAGCTGTCCACAAAAAACGAGTGAAAAATCTCTTCGAAAAAAGATCTTTTTTTTTCATAAGAAAAAGCTTGTAATTTTTTGTTATGAAGAAAAGGTAACCATTCCTAAAGTAGCAGCGCCAATATTTCCCTCGGCTTCTCGTCTCTTTTCATCCTCCTCTGCCTTCTTCTTGGCCTCTTCGTCTTCCATGAAGTAGGTCTTGTAGATGTACCAACCAATAGCACCAAAGACGCCGATGACAATGACCCAGACGAATCCGTGGATCAAGTTGGAGTTACCTCCAGACTAGGATATTGTTTAGAATAATGATAAGCGCGTGAGAGCATGATATTCAATTGAAAAGAGGAAAAATAAAATCTCAAACTCAAAGGAAGTGAATTTCATGTGCTCTGATTCACAACCGTGATACTTGTACGGACTGCAAATGTGATTGATTCTTACACTTACCCCAGCCTTCTTGCAATTGGCGCCGACGCATCTGATCTCGCGTTTGGTAGAGCTTGAGGTAGCGGTATCGGGGTTATATTCGGTGCCGGGGCAGGGGAAGCCGGGTCGGCATTTGGGGCCCGATGGAGCAGCTGGTCTTCCACCTCGACCGCCTAGGGTTGGGGTTAAGCGGGGAGAAAAGCGAAAGCAAGCAGGGGTTGAACACACCGATTGGGAACGAGTAGTAATCACAAGAAATGGGAAAGGAAAATCTCCTTTGATCCCGAAATTCGATCAGTAAATTTGAAATGTTTCAAAATTTGTTGTTTCGCGAGACGAATTCGTCGACCGCGATCAAAAATAAAAACCACCGACAAAGAGTAATATATTTTCGTGAGTCTGATTGTACCGTAAGGGGTAGAACCGTATTGATAGTCGTTGTAGTCGCGACCGCGTGGACCGCCATATCCTCGGTTCACCTGACGACGACGTCGGTGGTTTACCTCATTCTGTCGAGGCTTATCATTTTTTGTTTTTCATTTTCCATTTTAGATTTTCTCGGATCTTTATTTTTACGAGTCATGCAACTATTTATAAAGCTGTAAAAAATCAAGCAAAGCGTCATCTTTTTTTTCCTAGAAATCACTAGAAAGTGCTGAAGGGATTACGTCTCAGTGCGCTAATTTCATAATCTACAGCGGGATGAGACCCTAAAGGTCATCGAAAAAGGTGACTCCATCGGTAGCCACTTTCGGTTTACAGTATTACGTGGGCACTTGCGCATTCGTGCCGCCCCACTTGGGGTCAGCAAGTTGCCACAGCCCTTTCGAAAATGGAAATGTCAAGCCACTAGCCTGAGTGAGAAGCTGCGCTTCAATTTCACCTTTTTCGGAAGCAGCGGCGGCGGCGTTCTTCAGCGAAAGGTGCTTCGCGGCGGCGAGGACCTTGGCACCGAACTCGCCGGGACGTGCCTCGCGCTGGCTCTTCATGTTGCCTCCCTTGGAGAGTTTTTGTCGGGGGTTTTCGCTGGCGGCGGCTTCGACGGCCATTTTGGGGGAAGAACCGTGGATTCGGTATTTGATGTGGAAACCCTTAATGACGATTTGAAAAGTTCCTTCTTTAAGATTCCTTTTACCTTGTATTCGCCATCTGTATTCGAGTCCAAAACCATAAACAAGGAGTTGCCCATTGTTGTGTAATTTGGTGGCTTCGTGTTTCCACAGTATTTGCCAATCGGAGAATCAGAAAGAGGATCTCTAATGGTCAAACTTTGTGCAGCGCAATCTTCGATTTGGTTGTTGAAAAGCAAGAAATCGACAAATTCGAGTTCGATTCTTTCATTTTCTGGCGCCGTGATTCTAAAAAAGAGTGAAAGTTTAAATTTTAGAAATTCTTTTATTTTCGACCGCTTTTCACAAAACATGGCGAAACATTGATTGAGTCAGAAGATGCTCGAATAAAGGAGGATTTGGGAAGGGCTGTTTGGACTGAGGAACTAACGCCAGTTAAATATTTATTCGCAGAGGTTGGCTGATGATTTAGACTTTGTTGAATCAAACAACAAGCGTCACAAGACACAGTTTATAATTATTTGAGCTTGCTCTAAGAAAATCCAGTATTTGAAGCTCTTAGAAGTTTCCCAGCATCAACGATTATATATTAAGCGATCCCCTTAATTACTTGTTGACGCGGCAAGAGTGAAAAAACGAAAATTTTGAACAATAAAAACGCCCTTTATAACCCCTATTTTTGGATCTAAAGAATCTAAGTTTCAAATATTTATATTTTCTGATCGCCTTAAATGAAGCTTTATCTCCTTTTTTAACCTCCTTTTTGCCCGTTATGGAGAAGAATTCCGACCAATTTAACCCACCAAAACGCGTTCTACATTCCGTCGCCCCACCCGTGAGCTCATTACTGTAATTACCTGTAAACACATTCAGCGTTGGGGTTGAACTTTTTAGGATAATCTGGCGAGGTCAAAGATTTCCATCCATTGGCAGCTTCTTCCATGATCAAACATCCTTCTTGGGCGGCTACTGTCGCGGACATCAACGTTGAAATTTTCATTTTTTATATTTTTTTTCCTGCTAAAATGGTTTTTATCAATTTATGTCAAGGACGATTTATTTTGAAAATATCTTTGAGGTCGAGATTAATTGAAGTACATGTGACATGTCTATTGAAATATTTCTTCCTCGAAAGTTTGAAACCGACCGAGTTGAAATTCATTCTGCGGTATTCAAAATAACCCGAACAATATTCTTATCTATTATGGGTCAACTACTGGTGCGCCCTTTAGAATTGCTGAACAAGACATTGTCAACGTAATTTATTGTTTACTACAGCAACCAGGAAGAAGTTTAAACGTGCACTTTTAATCAGGAAGTCTCAACAACTGTGTTGCAGCTTTGGAGCGTAGAATATTTTTTAGCGAAATGTATTTTTAGAAGCTTTCGTCTGACGTGATGTATTTTTGAATAAGGGTTGCTACAGTGAATATTTTAGGGTTGAAAAGATGAGGTAGTGCGAGCTCTTTTTAGAAATATTTTTTTGTTATTTAGAAAAATGGGTTGTTTCCTACGATGATTTTAGAAACATTCGAGCTGCTTATCGCAGTAACGTGATGAGTTACAGTCGGCTCAAAACGAAGATAAGGGGCTTTATCTAATAAACAACAGCAATGATGCATTTTTACTACACAAATGTTCTTCAGGACCTGTTTATAGGTGTTTTTATGGGGTCTAGCGAAGGTCTTTTTTGTTTGAATAAATACCTTTTTAAAATTCAGTCGTTTTCTTTTTAATCTCTTTTTGACGCAAAATCTAACAAATTATCGGAGTTCCTTAATTCGTCAATTTATGATCTTCAGTGTTTGAAAAAGGCGGATCTTCGTTATTTCAGAAAGCTCTTTCTTTTTTTCAATCTCTGAAGGGCGCAATAAGGGTTAAGTGTTGGAGCTCAGCAGTACCAAGTCAGAGAAAGAGAAGCGACTCGCGCTTACTCGGAGGGCGCCAAAGAGCCAGCGCCGGGGAGCCCTGATCGAGATCTAGAACATGTCAACTAGTTTTAGAAGCTTGTACCATCTGTATTCGATGGTAACATCAAAGGGGCATTAAAATGTGATAAGTATGCGCCCTTACTATCTCAGGTCAATTTGAAAATTAGACTTATGGTCATACAAAGCTGTTATCCTGCTCTCTTTCAATTATTTTTTCTGTTCTTTCAATGAAAAACTAGCCGTTTTTATGAAAAAAGAAGGCGTAAGTTCAAAAATCGGAGCATGGCTGATTCTCTTCCTTGATTTTCTTCCATTTAAAAATTATCGATTTGATGAAAAATATTTTTTTATTCAGAAATATTTGAGCATTTTTTTTTAATTTTCATTTTTGCAGTTTTTTAATTGCTATTCTACCGCGCTATTTCTTTTTAAGACTGTGATTTTCGCGTAAAAAAGTGCGCTAGCCTTGATAGAAACTGTTTATTTTTGGCGGATTATTTTCTTTGCTCATACATTTGTAAGGTTAATTTTAAGGACCTTCCTCCTGTTTAATCTTCTGTTTTCAAATTACTTTGAAAAGTGAAAAATGGCTATTAGAGTCTAAATAGAGTCTAATAATTAGACTGGTTTATAAAGTAGTGGTTTATAAATAGTCAGAATAGCTTAATTAGAGAGTTGGTCGTCGTTTATAATCTCCAGATAGAGTGCTTTATTGCAATGCGGACTCGAGATTTAAGACACTATTGACTTAGTCGTGCAACGTGAAGTGGCTGGCGTGAGTGGTGCTGGTAGGTCTCATCCCTTATGCGATTATTTCGCTGCTGGAGAATTCGGGTACTGGGCCCAATCAGCGCATTCAGCGTCAGGCGAGCGCCGCGCTCTGCCCGTGGCGCTTTTCCTCCACCTCCTCCTCCATCGAAAGCGACCAGGGGAGCAAATATGGAGCTCCACCATTGGCTCGCTCTTCGTAGTACGAGTTTTACTAACAATAGCAGCCATCCTCTCTACTAGTAAAAGATGATCATTGGAACTAAAAAGCTCTTAATACCTAATTCTATTTGTCCTGCCAACTTGGAACTTGGAACTGGAAAACAAAAAGAAAAAAGAGCATTCGAAGAATCACGATTGTGATTTTGCAATTGCCTTTATCACTGTTATTAATTTCGTTTCAATATGTTCAACAAAGCTAATTACCTGCTGCTGCAATTAATAATTAATCGAAACATCGCGGAAAACAACGTATTTTTAGTTATCAATAACAGGATTTATCGATGAAAATAGCTCCCTCAGCCATTATTTTTTCAAGTTTCTTTTGTACATCTTGATCAATTATTCCCGTTTTTGACCTAGAAAATAAAGTACTCCTGAATTTCTAAATAAAAAAGCCTCCGAGGTGAAAGCTCTCCATTCTTTGGCACGCGCTGCATAAATTTTTGCAAGGCGAGGAAAAAAGAATCTCGAGCGTTTTAGAACTTTTTCGTAATTCTCCTTTCTTTTTCTTGATAAAATATACATTTATTACTTAAAATTTACAGCGATGGAGCGAATGTACAGTCTTTCATATTTCAAATCTCAAAATATGGCTTTTTTCTTTGCTTTTTACTCGGCTTTTTCGGCTTGCTCTTCTTCTTCCTCGTCCTCGCTGGCTGGCTGGTCGAGTTCGAAGGTGAACTGGCGTTCCAGAAGAGTGTGTTTCTTCTTCTCCGCATCGAGGGTTCTGCTTAATTCGTCTGCGATATCAGTTAATGGATCATCCGCAGGCTCTTCGGGAGCTTCTTCCTCCACCATTTTTGGCTTATTCTTTTGCCTTAGAGGAAAAGTGTTATTTACGGTAGCTTGAAGGGTTTTCCCAAGTGGCGTTAAAGGTGTCAACTTACTTTTCCTTTAGTCGAAGTTCACGATTCCTAGCTTCGAGTACTTTCTCTCGTCGAGTTTCTCTCTCAAAGAGGAAGTTGCAGAACGATTTCTCGTCTTTTTGAAGCTGAAAGCATTGTTAGAAATTTGAAATTTGATTAAGGATATAGCCGTTCTCAAGGCACTTTCGTAGCGCCGAAATGGGGCGATAAAATTTTATCATTTCAAGACAGGTCCTACCTAAAATTATGTCTAGAATTCGATTTTGATGTTTTTAAAAATTTTTTTCAAAGAAAATTTCTCTCTAGAGCGATTTGAAATCTTACGATCACTTTTTCTCGAAATTTTACAATTAAATCGCTAAAACTAAACCGTGTATTATTATAAATAACTGCTTATCTACCTTCTTAGGGCCTCAAAATTTCAAAACCCGAGCAAATTTTTATTCTAGCGTCTTCTTCTTTTTGGCTTTTGTTTTTCATAAATGCTGCGTTCAGGGCGCTCGACCAATCAGCGTGGTCTTTCACATGCGCGCCTCACCGCGCGATGGAGGAGGGCGCTCAGCGCAGCAAACCAGAGCGTTGTCTGACGCTTCGGCTTATTCAAGTAAGCCTCATAAAAATGGCTCTAGAATCATAAATAATTGGAATCTATTAAACTTTAGACCCTGGGAATGTAGAGAAAGGTCCAAATTTTTAATTTATCAAAAAACTCGACCGATTTAATGGAAAATTTTCGAGAAAAAGTGATCGTAAGATTTAAAATTGCTCTAGAGAGAAATTTTTCCATGAAAAAATTAAAAAGAACACTAGAATCGGGTTTCTTAGGCAATTTTAGGTAGGGTTCCTTTTGAAATGAAAAAATTTTATCGTCCCCTTTTAGCGCTACGAAAGTGCCTTGAGAACGGCTATATCCTTAAGGGTACGTACCTCAGTAAGGGCATCGTTGAGACTAAGAAGTGTCACGTTGCCATTTCGATCTCCTGCAGCTACAAGATTACCGTTATCTTTTCAAAAGGTCATCAAAAGCGCAATCAAAAAACGTAGCTCAGGATCAATATATTTGGCGTTAATATAAACAAGGGTTTTTTACGGTTTATTTTGATTATAAATTTGTTAATTATCAATTTACGAAGGTTCAATTCTAGCTAATTATTGATCAGTTCCATTTTGATACAGCTAAGAAATTAGTTGAATCTTAAATTCAATAATTATGGAATGAAATGGTCTTTAAGTTTTAGAAAATTCCACGCCCTAATAGCTAATACAGCGGACTTCTACAATCATTTCGCTTATTATGCTGATGACCCCATTGCCTGTCACTCGCATCGAGCAAAGAGGTGCGTCGCTGACGTTAATGTTCAAAGTTGGTTGCGCCTGTTTCACCATCAAGTCCCAAATATCTATACTTCCGTCCGATTTCGCCGTAAAGAACACAGCTGGCCGAGTTGGTGACCAGCGAGCAGCAGCAGTGTGGTGTCTTTTCAGGGGGATTTGAAGTTGCGATTGTCCGGTCGGACTCGAGAAAGAGATGAAATCACCGCCAAGTCATTTCAACCTTCGATTTTGAGCCGGATTACTATCGCTTTCTTGGGCCCCATTCGCATATTACAGAGTCCATATGATTGAGGGTGCCGGAAAAGCGTTCTGCCAGGATTAGTTAACTAAAGAAACTAACCTCTTTTTTTAGCTACAGTGACTCACTAAAACCGTGCCTACAATTTTAGTGATTTCTGCGTAGATTTCTCCGCTATTAAATTACCGCGATTGGCAGTCCTGACTGACTGATTTTTGAAAGATGCACATTGACGTTACAATTCTCCATGCTAAAAACATAGGAGATTTGTAACGTAGATTGCGTAGGCGTCACTGGTTTGACGGAACTCTCAAAGAAGAGACACTAGAGTCAAATTTTAATTGGTTGATTAGCTATTTCACTCGAAAATCAGAATCAGTCAGTCAGAAATGCCAATCGCGGTATATGTAAGAAGAATTAGTTTTAAAGTTAAGGTGCTGCGAAATAGTACCTAGAGAATTCTAGATCTGAGCCGCTGAGAAAATCCCCCGTGCCTGGAATTTTTCATTGTGATGATAGCAGACTCTCTGATATCCTCTGACCAGATTCTGTTGGTCCACTCGCCGACGGTCAGGAACATTTTCGGGTACAATGGGTTTCGCGCGATCGTGTTCACTGGACCACTGTAGCTCTGATACAGCGCTGCAATCTTGTCGGCCGCTGTTTTTGCTTTTCTAAAGAGTATATTGTCAAGAGTACTCCTTGAGCTTTTCACGAAGATGTGTTTCTGTATTATTAGTGAAATGCGTTGACGCACTTCTAAACAGATGTTAGTGCGACCAAAAGAAATTGCTCGGCGGTTCGTGGGTGCGGTGGGCGAGTTCATTTTTCAACGCAATGAGACCAAGTTTACAGTAATCATAAGTGCCAAAATAAGTGGTAAGAAAGTGAATTAGCATCTCACGCTTTCTATTCTTTCGACTAAGAGGAAAATAGAGAAGTAATTAAACGCAAACAAAGCGCCTCCCTAACTCTATTAGAACATTTATCAAGGATACCCTTAATCAGCCACCTAAAGGAACATTCTAACCAACGAATAATCATCATCGGAAAATTCAAAAACGTCATAAAGCCGCAATCAGAGACGTTCCGGAATGTCCCATCTTCCGGATGAGAAAAAAAATTCCCATTCCATGTCTGACAAATCAACTTTTTTAGAGTTGGCCCGCGAAATTATATAAAAGAGACTTGATACGCCGCTATTTTCTAGTGGCCCACGTGAAGTGTAGTAGGAGATATCGTATAAATTGTTACCTGTTGCAAATAATAATGGTACCCTGCTCCGTGCCGACCATGAATTTAGTAGGCATTGTTGGTTCGTACTCCAAGCACATAGCTCCAAGAGCAGCACTAAAATGAATATTTTTAGTGGAGAATTTCTCGTGAAAGTTCGGTTTAACCTACTTCAGTACAGTGACTCGGAAGATGAAAAACTGCTGATAACAAGATATAGTTGAGTACTTACTTAGGATTGAGCTGCTTGGTCGGATCCAGGATGAGCTCCTCAACTGGCTCAGACAACTTCCGAGTGTCCCACCACTTCACGGTGCCATCGGTCGAGGAGGAAAAGAAGTCCGTGCCGGTTTTTGACTAAATACAAAAATGATGATCGATTGAACTTTTTCTAAATTTTTACTAAGAGTTTTTTCTGTAAAAGAATTTCGAAGAAGAATATATAAAAAATGACATGGTGACTCTTTAAAATCAAGAGCGGAAGCCGCAAATAAGCTCAAAAATTGTTAGAACGTACCTGAATCCAAAGCGCGCTGTGGCAAGGGTCTCGGTGGGCGACTTCCGCCGCTGTAATATCGGTGGGCGTTGGTGAGTTCTTTCGCAAGTCCCAGATGCAGACCTGGCCGGAGAACTGGCCGCCGAGGATAATGTTCGAGTCCTTGGGATTGTACTCCATACATAGGACGTTGCTTCGTGGTCGCAGGGTAATTAAGGGTTTCTGACGGAGCGTTTTTCATAAGTCCTTCTAATTTGAATGCCCTCAAGTCTAGACTTTCTTGTAATCTGCGGTTTCCCTTCACACCCTAAAAATGCCAATTTCAGGCGCGGCTCAGCAAAATGCCTGCAAGATTTTCCTTAAAAAAAGGAGGAGCCCAGAATCGCAAATTTTAACGGACCCAAAGCAAAAGGCCATCGCAGAGGCCTAGCAGCCTCTAACAGGATTCTCGCCAAGGATTACTAAAATGGCGAAAAATTCATTAATTTCTAAAATGAAATTTTGATCTTTTTCCAAGAAAAAATGACCGAATATTTTCAATAGCATCTACTGGACAGTCTAAATAAACCTTCATTACAACGGGCTCAAGCAACGAGTGCTACACCCTTAAGACTTTCAAGTAACCAAAAGTAACTCCTGAATGCACTCATCTTCATATTCACGCTTGGAGGGTTTAGAAAATATCAATTTCTGTCGAACGCTTTCCTTCGAGTTCTCCACATTCCAGACATAACTTTCGAGATCCTTGAGGCTAGCCTATTTCGCCGGGGTCGACCTTACTCGTCAAAAGGCATTCTTTCTCGCCTAAACAAGAAAGAAAAAGGGTGCGCATTTTGACAAATTGCGAATACGTAAGGAGATCGACCACGGGTGCCTGGAAACCAACGGTGCCGTAAGAGACGGCGGCGTGTTTGCCCCCATCCGGATGCCAGGCAATGTTGATTGCAGATCGCGCGCCTTTTCCAGCAGGATCGCGGAAAAGATTTACAGTGCTTACTCTAAATGAATAATAGTTAGAATAAATCTAATGGTAATTCCTAAGATAAAAAATCATTTAACTTATGGACATTTCAGCGTATTGACCAATCAGAGAGCTGGATGGAAAAATTCGTTATTCGTTCAAACCGCTGTAGGAATTTGAAATAAAACTTAAAAAATATTCCTACAGCGGCTTAAACGGATAAAGAATTTTTCCATCCAGCTTTCTGATTGGTCAATATGCTGAAATGTCCAGAAGTTAAATGAGTGCATTAGTTGTCTGAAAATCTCGATCATTTCCTTCTAGGATTGATTGAACCAACGCCCATTTATCAAGTGCCGATTAAATCTGTAAATACGAGAGTCTGAAGAATCAAGGATGAAAATCAAGTTGGACATTTAATCTCGCTCCCGGATTTGGAAGTCCGGCTCTCCCGGCGAAAATTTAGAAGCTGGGGACAGGGCAAATGCAAATCACGTTGCCCTATGCAGCGGGAAATGGAATTATGAAACGCGCCCAGTTAGACCTTTACAAGCCACATGTGACGTTAGTAACGCTACTGATTTGATTATTTCTTACAAAAGTTTCAGAAAAAAGTAGGGCTTAGTCGAATTGCTGGGTCATTTTTTAATTGACTGAGATTACATAACATGTGAACGTTTTCATGACTCGGTCAGGAGATTGCGCGGATTCCGGCGCAATTGAAAGCTTCAAATATTTCCTTTTTCAACGAGGGTTACTCGAGGTTTTCTGGCTGACTTACCGTGGTGGCTCGTCGACGGTGGGGATGATTCCAGCGTCGGTAAAATATTCTTCGTAGATGTCAATAGCATTATTTTGGCGGATGACTGCCTCGACTCGCTCGCCGAGGGAGCTGATTGTTTTACTGTAGTTTTCGTCCTGAAAGAAAGAAGAAAGTTAGCTCTCTATTCGCAACAGGCTGTTGCCTGAACGTGTGGCGGATCCGCGGTTTTCTTTCTTATGGTAATACTGCCACGAAATTTACCTTTTCTGTTTTCTTCCTAAATCGACTTGTGGCTTCCATATCTGCTGCATTAATATCTTTTGGCCAGCCACCTTCAACGTGTACTATGTGCTTTACAAGGCTGCTTGATTGCGCAACAAACATATGTTCATTATCATAAAAGCATGTAATTACTGAAGTTCTAATTTTGAAAAACAGTATCTTAATTTCAAGTTGGTTCTTTTCCACGTGAGAAATTTATGAATTTAAATTGATCTGGGTCATCTTTTTTCGTTGAAAATGAGGGTTAAACCAATTTATCGAAGTGATTTTATGGATCAGGGTTTTGATTGGCCGGGAGGCCAAATACAGCAATCTTATTGGTTATCTATAAATGCACTTCCATAAATTGGTTAAGCCGAAAATAGACCGAATACAAGAGTTTTATTGCATTGGAGAAAAAATTGAGTCTCCAATCAAAATTGAAGACTCAATTTGATTGGTCGAAGAAGATGCGCTAGATGGCGCTGTTAAATTATCAAATTATCAGCCGTTCCTTAGTTGAAGTTTCGAATGTATCTGTATTGGCGCAATGCTCTGATAACTGTACCACGGCTTGAGTCCCGGCATGAACAGGATTTCGAACCATGTAGTTCTACAAATAAATGTTTCAGCACCCATTTCTAGCGCAGGCGAAAGTATGCTGATTATGAGCTTCCCAAGGATTGCTACTTTCGTCAATGGAGCTTTGAAAGCTTTGAAAAGTGGTGATTTTGTTATTCGCGTGAATAATTTTCTATCCCGCCAACTGCGTGCAGTTGCTTCGTTACTACTATTCAGTTAGGCTGCTCCCGCATTTCCCAAAATCCTGGATTTCCCAAATCCTGGATTTCTCAAAATCCTGAATTTCTCAAATCGCCAAATCAGGATTCTGCCGATTCTGGATTTTGGGAAATGCAGGATTGGGAAAAGCAGGATTTTTAGAAATGCAGGATTCAGCTGAAATTTCGTCGAAAACAGTTGTTTTTCTCTATCTGTCAAAACTAAAATAGAATGTTTGGGCTTCTTTCGGCTCTGGTTCTTACTAGAGTCTTTGTTCACAACTTCTGTGAATTGATTCTGGTAGAATAGAAGCTGTTCTACAAACTGAGACTATGGGTTAAATGACTGGATGGAGTGTTCATCCCTTTCCGGGCGCTCGAAAATTTCTAGCGCATATTTTGGGACTTCAGATTCTCATTATTGATCGAAAATCTTGTCCGATTCAGACGACTTCGGTACCAAAATGATCGCCGATCTGGCGATTCTAAATCTGTTTCATATTTGCAGTTTTAAAAGGGCAATCAAAGGGTTTATTTTTCTACCATTACATCTAGCAATATATGAAATTGGCAAATAACTGATGTCTCCAGGGAATTAAAAGGCACGAACTAAAATAGGGAAGTAATAAGCTAGGAAGTGACAGCGTAGGAGCGAACAAGAAAGTATCATACACGAAAGGATCAAATTATAATGGAAGATCCAAGCCAGTATCGTGCAAGATTGGATCGGGCATACATTTGAAAATGATTGAGGATGGGTTTCTTATAGGCCGGTAGGCCTTATACGGCAATCTTATTGGTTCCAAAAAAATTCGATCCTTTAATGCATGATCCTATTTAATTTGATACTTTCATGTATGATACTTTCTTATTTGATCCTTTCGTGTATGATACTTTCTTGTTCGCTCCTACGCTGTCACTTCCTAGCTTATTACTTCCTTATTTTGGTTCGGCCCAATTAAAAAATCCTTTGATAAATTTTGTTTTCAAGTTCCACCAAAATGTACATTCTTTTGGGTCGTGCCTGTAACAACAACTAAATCTATTTTGGAACTTCCAAGTTCAAAAACCGACTTTCAACCGATTGTTTTCGCAGGGATTAGGAGGCGCGACTTTTTTTGGAGGTGACAAATTATTCGGAAGGGATTTTTCAGCGCGGAAGATTCTGACTAAGAAGAATCTGGGTTGGATTTTTAAACCAAGCAAGTTTCTTGCTTTGCTAATTCAAAAGAAATAAAAATCCTGCATTTCCCAAAATCCAGAATCGGCAGAATCCTGATTTGGCGATTTGAGAAATTCAGGATTTTGAGAAATCCAGGATTTGGGAAATCCAGGATTTTGGGAAATGCGGGAGCAGCCATTCAGTTATGCTGAGCGAAAGAAACGAAGAACCGTTTTTACGTTGATTTCGATTGATCCACATATGCGGAACTAAGCCAATTTTGGAACGAGTCATGATCCGGTTTTGGTGGCACTAGTTGATTCTGGGACTCTTTGTCACGCTTTTGAGGGGTTGATTATTCTGCGATTTCATATCAGATGACATTTTTAAGGGTGTCAACAAGGTTTTTCACCCACTTCGCTCGAAGGTTTCTATAGTAAAAATTCCTCTTTGGTGCACTTAAAATAGCCGCGTTTCTTGATAATTACTAATAAGCCCACTTAGTTAAAAGTCTCAAGATCTGAAGAGCTTGGTACTTACGTCTCGATCATCTTCATTGTGATCTATGTCCACTTGGATTTCGGCCATTCGGTCGCTAGAAAAGAACATGTTAATCGCCTCGATCAATCAGTAGTCTGATCGCAAAGCTTTCAATAAAATTATTCAAATCGACAAATTGCAAGACGTGGATGGGCTAAACGCACGCAAAATGTAGCGCAATCAGAAAACGATTAAAATGTCTGAAGTAAAGTCAGCGTCTGGTCAATTTATGTCAATAATGAAAGTCTCAAATTGAGATCTCATGAACTGTTGAAGATGATTCGTTATAAAAAAGGTCACTTTAATTCAATTTTTAATTTTTAAGGGTGTCAACAGAAAAAATGCAAAAATCAATGTTGACACCCTTAAGGCGTAAAATTGTTACAGCTTAATTTCCTCCGTTTCATCCGTTCAAAATCCTCCTTTGATTGTCGTTATTACATGTTAATTAAAACAAGGAAGGGATTTTAAACGAATGGAACGGAAGGCTTTGCGCGTCGTGTTTTTTTGCCGCTCAGTAACTTGCGTAATCGCCTAAGCTAATACAGATTGTGGCTTCCTGTTTTAGACGAGCGCTATTTTAGAAAATAACTTGTCAGGCGGGATTATGCGCTTTTATCAAAACGAGATATAAATCTCTATAATAGTAATGATGAAATGATAATGTAGTACTTACAAGAACAGTGGATGCCGACCGAAGTCAGCACGCTTCTTCTGATAAACATACTGGCTCTCCATTCGTCCGGGATCTTCTCAACCCTGAAAACTAAAATAAGAGTTATCAAAGCTTCAATTTTTCCTCGAAATTTCTCCAAAGATGCCGGTATCATTATGATTTCGCTCGTTTTTGAAAAGTCTTAAAATCGAGAAGCCGCTTGCGGCTTCGAGTCAAAAATGAAAAAGCCGCGCAAAGCGCGGCTATTTTATTTGATTACTCAAGGCCGCAAGAAGCCGCGGCTTCTCGATTTCCTATTTGGGGACTTGCGGCTTTGAGTTATACAATAGAAAAGCCGCACAAAACCGCGGCTACTTTTTGATTACTCAAAGCCGCAAGAAGCATTGCCAATGCTGCATTGGATTCTTGATTTTCTCCTAAGTTCACCAAAAGCTGTTAATAACTCTATGTTTATTAAAACGATCGAAATGTAGCTCCTCCTAGTTATGAATAAATCTAGCACTTAGTTCGCCCGTTTTTTTTTTCACTTTGGTTCCTAGCAAAATATTTCGCGCGATAACCGAGAAGGGAATAAAATTAACGATTAAAGATATCAAATATTTATGCTCGCGTTTTACGCCAAATTGAGGGCCAAAATTCGTACATTTTCAAAACACGAACGTGCGGGCTAAGGTGCTCAAAACAGACACCGCCTTTTTTAAATTTTTATAAACGAATTCGTGGAGAAATTAATTGAATTCGCGATTTCTAGCTGGGCGTGGCCTAATTAAGGGTTTAGACTATTTGGTTCAAGGAAATTGGAAAATCGCGTTTTACTTAAAATTGGGCTCAAGAACTCTGGGCTTTAATTTCTAGCCGATTTCAGAATAAACTTTTTCCCCAAAATCGCGTCTGAAAGCCAAAAATTCGAAGTCTGATCCGCCGAGGTTTCGAATTTAACATTCTCAAATGTTAAATTCAACCTTTGTCTAAAATTCAAATGCGCCCATTTGCGGTGCCAAAAGTCGCACGTGCCCGAAAGTGCCTGGTGTAAAAATTCTTTTGGCTACTCGTGCAAAAAAATCCAATCAATTTAACGTGGAACGAGGAATTTGGTATTAAAATAAATTATCGGAGTTCTGTACTTTTACTTTTTATCAATTACGGTGATGGCAAAAATCGAAAAAGCTGTTTTCCCAACCGACTTACCGTATAAACTGAGCCAAACGTCGACTGAACAAAAAAATTTTGAATTTTGATGGGAAGCAAAACAAGTTCTAGAGACTTTTTTTAACATCAAAATTTTTAGGCGCTAGAAATTTCGGTTTTGAATTTCTTGATGAAAGCTGCGAGGGAAAGCTGCGCGGACCAACTTTACCCTCAGAAAGCTGATTTTCAAAATAAACCATAACTTGAGTGAAGAATAAACTAGTATAAATTTTATCATTAGTTCTATCATGTTCTAATAATTATGTATACCTTCAAGAAAATTGAATCATAAGCTGAAATTTTATCTTGAATACCATTTTCGTTTCTCTAAAAATTTCCCATAAAGAAGCGAGAAGGTGTTCAGGAAAAGAAATTTCAGCTCCAATCGACAAATTTCCCTCAAAGAGACCATAAGAGAGAATTTAGCAAGAAATACGAGATTTTTACCGATTTTGCCGTCATCAACCCGTTTCGCACCAAATTGCTGTTTAGGTAAATTGTAGCAATGGCAGAAGGTCTTTCAATGAAGACGAAAGAACACGACCCTTCTGCCTTGCTTCAGATGGCCTCAACAGTAATTCTGGAAATTCGACGACAGAGAAGGCACCATAAATGGTACCTAAAATCAAAAATTCAGAAAATTTTTAGGGACAGCTACGACGGAGAGCTACAATTTTCCGACGTTTGATCTGGCAAGAGCCTGATGGCGCTTATCTTGAATAAAAATTGTAAGAAAGGCTTCCCGGCTCTTGAAGATCAACTCGGAAACTATCGACATTCTCCTACAATTCCACAGAGACTTCCCAAAATAACGAGCACCCCGACCATCTTGTTCTGCTAAATCATCATCGATACTCTTCATCAGTCTTTTTGGCGCTTCAACAAAGCTTTTCATCTCATTGTTCCCTTTTTTCATTATTTTTTTTTCCAAAATCATATTTTTACTTGAAACGGTTCCTCCTGATGGACCATTGTTTGCGAAGGTCATTGACTCGCAGCAGCGCGAATTATGATGCATGCTCCTTAGACTTTCAAACGTCTAACTGATTTATTCCATAAAAAATAATTTCATTCCATTTTAACCCCAATAACCAGAGGAAGAAACGATGAAATTTGCTCATTTTCCACAAAAACTGCTCATTCAAGGGCTCAAAAATCAAGAGAACTTGGTTGAACCTGCTTATTACTATTAGAGAAAAAGAAAATTTCTTGAGTCCTGAGAAGATGCTTGATATTGCTAGTAAATCTGGCCGTGTTTTACATTAATTTGAACATGATAAAAGGAACGGTTAATTTTAACGGTTGAGGCCTTTTGCTTTTTTTTGGTAAAGGGGCGCTTTTAGATCATAATTTTGTATACAAGCGGACGTAAATAAAATTTCGGGGGAATAAGAAATAAGCTGGGTAGGGCCTTATTCCGTAACAGCTAGAATAAGAAAAGATTTTATATAATTCAACAGATGGCAGTAATTTTAAAAGCAGCCTTGACTTGGGTGGTCTTATAATAAGTTAGGGATGTAGATTGTATTTTTAAAGGGTAAGGTCGTTTCGAAAGTAGTTTTGCACAGAAGAAAACGTGTTCCTAAGTCTCTAAAATCAACCTTTTCCTCGAGCTCAAATCAAAACAAACGCCGCATTCGAGGTTTGAATTCGTTATCATAAATATCACGAAAAGCAAAATTTAGGCAAAGCGAAAGCCGCCACGTCTAATTGATCAGAAGTGAGCGACCACAATCCAAATAACAATGAAATTTTCATTTTTCTGTAGGAGTCCAAAGAAGATCAAGATTGGAGTCGTGCACCAAATGACAGCATTAGGAAATCGGGTTGGAAATTCTTTCGTGAAGAATTTCTAAAGAAATAGCTTCAAACCCGCTGGTAGGGACGGTTCTTGTTGTTATCCAATGGATACTTGAAAATAGACACTGATTTGAGATGCGAAAACTGAGAGGCCACTCACGTCATCTCCAAGTTTACGTGGACTTGATAATTTATATGCCAAATTGAGTACCATCACGAGGGACTCTCAACAACCATCGATAAGGGTACGATGAGCTGGATCAAGATATAAGGATGGCTCATCGCCAAAATTATAGACGTTTGGCCATCAAGCTGCGTGTTCAAACTTTCCTAAAATTTAAGGGGGTAGCCATCGAAAATCTCTTTTTCCGAAATAATAATAGAATCGAGAAGCCGCTTGCGGCTTCGAGCTTTAAAATGCCAAAAGCCGCGCTAGGCGCGGCTTCAATAATTTTTGACTCGAAGCCGCAAGCGGCTTCTCGATTTTTCCCAAGCCCCTAAAGCTTTTTGAACACGCTCAAAGTACCCATCTGTCGAAATCGTGCACGTGTTCGTCGTGAAGGAAAATGGGATCAGAGCGATTTAGCTCTCAAAAGGTCAAGGGCTGATTTGAAATGAGCTTAGTTCTGTCTGTAACGTTTCGATGATCCAGTGCAAAGGAGTCACGTGATGGCGAAACCAACGTTGGCTTTGAAGATCAATTCAGGTTTTGGGATGGGCCATTCATTCTCGGCAGGGCGGGGCTGTGTAGATTTGCCTATCTCTTTGAAACAGAGACATTCTGCTTGGCAGGCACTTTGAAAACGTCCTCTGGTCGGATGAGCTGTTTGAACGCATGCACGATGTAGCTAAGTCAAGGGTTGACATTGCTTTGCTGTTGCTTCTTTTTTTTTGCAAGACAATCAAGACCGAAGCGCTGGAAAATTGATCGAATAAGTTTAAATTTGGAAAAGGCGCTTCCGGGCAACGGGATTGTGAAATCGCCGACCGCGGTTCATCTCGTTTGTCTCAATTGAATGTCAACCCTTTGAGTTCTAAAATGCGGACACGTGATCTTTCAATCAATTTATGTTTGCATTCCTTTCTTGATCACGTGGGAAGAGTACATTTACATTTTACAGTAGAGTCAAGCGAAGTTTTTTTTAAGAAAAATTGGTCTTTATTTTTTCAATTTTCTTCTTGGGTAAGAACTAAAGCAAGGCTTTAGGGTTAGGGTTAATTTATAGGTCTTAACCCTAACCTCATTGAAGGTTAAGGGTACTACCTTCGATTTCCCGAGTTTTAGGTTTGAATAACTCCGAACCTGTAAATGCTGGAGCTTATCATATGGGGTCTATAGGTAGATCTAACTAAGATCTTTAATCTGTCAGAGCCGTTTTTTCCGAATGTAGTATCCTTAAGGATAATATCAGGAGAACGATAAAATTCTAAAAAGCAATTTCGGATTTTCTAAAAAGAAACTTCTCTTGACTCTATTCGACAGAAGCCGACGAGTCTAATGGGGCACTTGGACGAGATTGAAGAGCTTACTCGTAATCGAGGCTCCGACATCCTAATCAGTAATCTCAGGTAATTACTAAGCCGATAAGCGACCCACCGCTGTTTGGTATTTTCACGATCCAGCGCATTTAATTCTCCTCTGTTCTCAGAACCAAGGGATCATTTCATAAGGAAAAGTTCGACTCAGCAAGAAAAATAGAATTTCTTCTTTCGAACTTACAGTAGAAGCACTGCGAAGCGCTGGACTTGGCTGGATTAGGTGAACACGTTTTAGTGCGCAAAGAGGATGATTTGGAGGTTCTAGTCTTTGCCGCACTCAGGTAATTTTCCCAGAGACGGAAGTAGCTCACGTTTTTCTCTCTTCTTTAGTCATTTGATCGTGGCGAAAGAGCTTCTTTTGGAGATCAAAAAGGAGATGGAAAATGATCAACGCCTCTTTTACCAATTCAGGTAAGGTGGATTCGTTTTTGTTTTCGAACGAAAATTCCGGAGGCAAGAACTTTTTTTTTATTCTTTGAAATTCAGGCTTGATAATGCCTCGCGCGAAGAAAACAAATTGCTGCCTGCATTCCCCCACTGCTTCTCGACATTCCTCCTTGTTTTGGGGTACGAACGGATGTTCCTAGCCAAACATGTGCGGTTCCATAATCGCATAGGTTAACCACGGGTCATTTTGAGCGTGATAAAAAGTTCTCCAAAGTAATACGTTTCTGTCAATAAACAGGCTCCGGTCAGGTTGCTCCTTCCGCGGATCAAGTTCATCACCATTTATTTTATTCTTCGTACCCAAATCTAAGCCTTTTCAAACAAAAATCGACCCGAAACGAAAACCTTCTCCGAAATCAACGAAGTCAATTCCTTCAATCTTCGAGCGATTCAGTCGAAAAGTCTGAAAGTAAGACTATTCAAATAAGAATATCTTTGCGTAATTCGTTATTTTAGTCTCTTTACGACGTTGAAGGACTAAATTTAGATCCAAGTTCTAAAATTGACGCACTTCCGGATATTTACGCCGAAAATTACATCCAAGACGAGGTTTCAAAATAGAAATTGCTTTTCCAAAAAAATTCTTTTTAGATAAAATTATTGAAGGAGCCGGAAAAGAAGTGCGAAGGAGCGAAAATCGTCGTCTTCGTCAAAACATCGAGGAAAATTGGCGATGCTGTCAGTAGATTCAAGAAACAGGCTCTCCCGTAGATTGGAATTGTTGAGTTTTTAAACAACAATTGTTATGTAAAACAAATTCTGGCGCGTTTTTATGTAACGTGTGTCTATTGTGAAAATACTTGGGTCTAAATATTTTTGACTCCGGAAGAAAAAAGGGGTCATTGCAAATGAATTAAAGGTGGCAATTGTCAATTTACCGCCCAAGTTCTGAGGAAACGCTTTTTCGGTAATTTTTCGGGAGTTACTTTTGTAGAAAAGAAGAAAAAATGGAGAACCTGTTTATTTAGACAAATCGAGATGCGATTCGGGAGTATGCGGGAATGTTGCTTCCCAAAGGCTTTAGGGTTGAACGGAATGTGTAAAATTCAGCGATAAGCGGGCTTGCCATCTTGGCCCTACCCAGTTATTATCAGATGTCCGCAGTGCGCAAAACACCAGCAAGCGATTTGAAAATGGATTCTAAATGCCGAGTTATCAAAATTTCTTAATTCTTGGCCTCGTTTTTGCATAAAAATTCCTCTTCTAAAGAAGAAGACCCCTTCTATTTTAATTTCGCAAGAGAGAATAATCGCTGAGGTCAGTCAAGAACAAACAAACACCTCAGAAGAGCCGCAGTTGCGACTTAAACCGTTTAACCCTAGTGAGGCGACGTTAATCTGTATTTTCTGCTCGGTAGCGGGCCGCCTTTGTCCGATGGCATGAATTTAGAGCGGGGATGAACCAAGTTTAACTGAATGTCAAGTGGCTTTGCATTTTACAATTCTGGCCGCTTCATCCCTTTCAATGAACAAAGACAATTCTACGCGCAGGTCGAGGATGAGCTCCAACGAGAAGCATTTGAAAACGACGATCTCGTAATTGGCGATTTTCTGGATAATTATGAAAATCTGCCGCTCAAAACACGTCTTGGTTATCAGTTCTTGGCACAGCGCTGTCCAAATTATGATGGACAAGTTCTTTATGAAAGGGTCAACGAAGTTTGATTCGAATTTCCGTAAATTTGAAAGCTCCGAGACCAATTTTGAAAGATTGATGATGATACATTCGTGCGTTTTGACCTGCTGGATCGAATGTTTACTGAAGAATCGGACATTGTTTGCATGAAAGGTAGATTTTTTCTGTCTTTATCGCAGATGAAATCGAATTGAGGCTATCCAATCTACAACTATGCCGTTTCTTACGTTGGAAAATATTATGTTTGGGCGGATCAATGGCCGAGCTCGCATAGAGTGCCGAAATATTGCAATGGACAATGCGTGGGAATGCATGCAAGTTCTGCAAGAAAGATAAACGACGCAGCAGGACATGGTTGAATTTATGGTAATAACATGTTAGAGCTGTTGTCGGGACCCGACAGTCGGGTAGGCGAAACAGGGTTAGCAAAATAGAGTGATGGTTTGGTTGATAATTTAATTGACATTCGATGAAAATATGGCTTTGAGTTCCTCGCTGTTTTTTGTGAGTTGACTGGATCTTTATATCTGAAAAACTTATTATCATCAAATTTGAGATGCTTACCTTAAAAATCACACAAAATTAGTCAAAAATATTGATAGCCTGATCGGAGGAGAAGTTTTCTTTGCATTTGGGGCATTTTTTGAGTATCTACCGTTCCCAACGTAGATCTCTTTGAGCTTCATGAGACAAGGTCGTCCAAATGTATGGCCACACTTTGTTATAACAGCCTTCTTGTGTTTTTCCTCGTCGTATTTTTCAAAGCAAATCCCACATGATGGCTGAAGTTCCTGGCAAGCTAGAGCAAATAGATTCTTCGGATTCTTCAGCAAGGACAGTTCATTTTTCAACGAAGCAATCTCGGTCTCGTAACCTTCAATTTCTTTTTCAAGTTGCTTGATCGCTTCCTCGTACTTTTGAAACAGGCCATTGTAGTTAGTAACGGAACTCTATTGAAGGTTATAGAATCATGAAAATGAATGACTTTTGTGTTTTTAAAAAGTTTTAAAAGTTTTTATTTTGTTAAAAGTTTATATTTACTCACTTCGTACACGGTGAAAGTTCGCTTAGTAACATCTGCATTTTCTGCATGAATCTTATTGCGGTTTGTAATCAGTTCCTGTTCCTCCTTTGCAATAGAATCAGCAATCTCGATCATTTCAATGGTTTTCTTTCGCTTAGCAATCTCTTCCCTCAGAACGGCAATTTTTCCACCAACTTGCTCGCTTTCATCAAAACCCTTCTCTCTTGCTTCCTTCAGAAGCTCATAAAGATTGAGCTCCTTTCTAAGATGGTGTTTGAAATTGGCAAAATAAGTTTCATCTTCAACGCTGAGAGAAGCCATTTTTCAAAAAAGTTTTATGTTATACGAGGCGCTTTTCGCAAATAAAATGAAATTCTGAGGAGAGTGCAAACTTTCGTTTCTCGAAAGCAAAAAATGTCTGATCGACGCGACGATAAAAATATAACATCATGTTGTTTTTGAAAAATCTTACTCGAATTCAACCAGAAATAAGCGCAAACAGACCTCAACGATTTCCGTTTGGAAGATTTCTTCTTTTCCGGAATTCTGCGCAAGAAAGCCGGGCTTTCTGAGCCCAAAGGTCTCCACGAAGTCGCCTGGGGAAAAGGTCAGTACTCATCTCCATCTTTGTATAACTTTTCTGCTCTAGAATTCAGCGGAATGGCTGCCTGCTTGCATACGAAAGCTGCATCTTACGACGAAATGAAGAAAGTGATCACTCGTTATCAAAACGGAAGATTAGAAATGCGCTACGAACATTAGAATTTCAAATTTAAGACCTCACAATTTCCAATTAGGGACTTTTCACATGCCAATATGCCCAAAAACAGCCTGCTTTCAAGAGCCACTGTATATATGAATACATTACAGTTTATTCAATTTGCATTTCTTCGCGAAAATTGAAGTTTTTTTTTGAAGTCCTTTTCTAAGTTTTATTTCAAGGAGTGAGAGAGCGCTAATCGACCTAATTATTTATCATAATTGCGATAATCAGGAAGAAGGTACAGGTTTATTTAGACAGTCTTCAGCGAGGACAGTTCTTCTTTCAACGAAGCAATCTCGGTCTCGTAACCTTCTATTTCTTTTTCAAGTTGTTTGGTCGCTTCCTCGTACTTTTGAAACAAGCCATTGTAGTTGCTTACGGAACTCTAAATTCAATTGAGTTTCAATTGAAAATTATTAAATCCTTGAAAATAGTTTTTCGTACTCACCTCGTTCACGAGAAAAGTTCTTTGAGCAACATCTGCATTTTCTGTATGAATTAGATTACGGTTAATTATTATCAACTGCTCTTCCTTTGCAAGAGTATGAGCTATGTCGATCATTTCCATGGTTTTCTTTCGCTTTGCAATCTCTTCCCTCAACAATACAATATCTCCAACAATAGGAGAAGCCATTTTTCGAAAAAAACTTCTCTTAAAAAGAACGAAAGTTGGAGCTTTTTGAAGTCATTATTCTTTGAGTTTTATTTCAAGAGGAGAAGAATATTTTTCAAGGAGTGAGAGAGCAATAATCGACCTAATTAGTTATCATAATTGCGATAATTAGAAAGAAGGTTCAGGTGTATTTAGGCAGTTTCTTCGGGACCTTCTCCGCCAGGAACAAGCATTGTGATGTTGTTTCCGTTGAGGAGGATTTGCTCGAGTTTGGTGATCTTCTTTCCGTCGGAAGTAGCCTCGTATTCTGTCACATCTTCAAGCACCTTAACAATCAGTTTCAAGTTACTAAGAACGAACCTACCATATTGACGAACTCATCAAATCCAAGCAGGGTTCCGACGATTTCCTTGTCATTTCTCATGATGATATGAATTCTCGATCCGATACACTTGTCGACCAATTCCAAGGGCATTAATTGCGATGCCATGTTATTAATTTACGAGCCTCCTTTCTAAAATACAACTTGTATTCTAAAGCTTGTTCAAGCTGCGGTATGTACAAATAAATTAAATTAACTGGAAGTAATTAGTCTAAACTTGAAGGCAGGAGAGGTTGAATAGCAGATAGAATTTCCCTAGATTCTTCTTTTAATATATACACGCGATTTAAATCATCATCGTATAATCGTAAATTTCTGATTAATCCATGCGCCAGTAGCAAGGAGAACATAAGCCAAAAGCCAATCCATTTCTGTCTCTTGAAGAATTCGAGATATCTGACTTTGTCAGCAGTTTGACCAGCGAAAGCGCCGCAGCCATAATGGTACCATGCGAAATTCGCCGCCAGAAGTGCCCCTTAGAAGAAAATGGTTAATACGCGAGTCGAGTTGAAGCTCCTTTAGAAGGGCCGCTCCTGTATACGATTACGAGCATACGTGAACTCCTAAAGCAAGAGATATTTGAGACAGCGTGTCTGCTTTATCTAATCAGCGACAATTACGGAAAGAAATGCGGGCTTACTGTCTGGGAAGAGGTTCTAATTTTTATTCAAAATCTTATCGCAAAAAAGGAGATGTCTATATTTCGAGAAATTCGATCTTTTCCTTCAAAATGTTTCAGCTAAAATAGTTTCTAAAAACTAGTCCTTTTGAGCTACGATTAGTGCCTATTTGCTGACCAAACTAACCCAGATTATACCCGAGGTATAATTTTAAGAAAGCAAAGTTCGGAATTAACAAGCGCCCTGTACGTATCGAACAAACCTGTAAAAATAACCAACGAATCGGCGGCGATAATGGTGCCCCGCGTTTCCAGCGCGGTCGCCCAAGCCACCAGCGATAAGAACATGGCAGTTTGACAACTAGCCAAGAACTTACTTTGCTCCTATCAAGATGGGCTCGCATTTCGTAACCTTTCGAGTGCTCAAAAGAATTTCTGGGGCAAATTTGACATGAACCGTTCAGTAAAAAGGCCCCTGTCTTTCTGGATAAAAAATGCGAACCGTTCCTGAGCTTGGTAGTGCATGATTTTCTGACGCGTGCGGTGATTTCGGAAGGCTTTGGCCGGATTGGCGCGATATTCCTTCGGCAGTTGCCGGAAATCCGCAGATGTATTCAGTCCGAGCTTCCGGTCGTCGTCAATATCCTTTTCGTAAGCTCAAACACTAACAGATCTGCCCTAGACTAAGCCTAAGCGACCAAAAATGATTATATAAATTTCAAAATTGAAAAATTCAAATTGAAAAATGAAATTTCTGATAAAATATTTGAAGCTTTCCCTGAAGAGCATAAACAGTATCATACATGACAGTCCACGCGACGCAGCCCAAATAGAGCGGGATTTGAACGGCGAGATCGATGTTATCCGTCACCGCAGAATAACCCATCATCGCGCCCCAGTTGAATGTAAGCCCGAGAAACAATTGTGGGCGCAAGAGCCAGGCCGCGCGGGTGTGCTGCCAATGATCCGGCAAGTTGTAACGTTTAATAAGGGGGTAAACGACGATCGGGATAGGTGCCAAGAGGCCGAGGAAGAACGTGGTGGGGTTCAGAAGACTGATTTTTGGTTCAAAAAAGTATGGCTTCCAAAGACTTTCTCGAAATATTTGGAGGAAATACTTGATGAATCGGATTTTGAAACCTCATTTTAGAACCTATTCAAAGAAGCCCAAAAGCAGCGCTCAACTGAGCCACAAAAAAGATCTTCGCTTTCTCCACGGAAACATCTCCGGAAGGGATCGGTCTTGTCTTACACCGTTCGACCTGCGCGTCCAGTTTGTGATCCCAGATGTCGTTGATGGTGCATCCAGCTCCACGAGTCAGAAGCGTTCTTTTTGCGGGGATAGCGAAAAAAGTAGAAGATAGGGAGAATAATGACGAAATTGGGCGGGAGACAACCTAACGACCTGGAGGATTTAGATACTGGAAGAGGAAGGGTGGGGACCGGATCAAGTACCGTAACAGAAGATAGTAAGAATTTTGAACTATGCTAATGGTCCAATAGCGTTAGATTTTTTGATAAAAACGGTGTCAATAAAACTACTGTAATAAATCGAATTTTTTAAGCGTTCAAAAAAGCAGAAAGCCCTGTAATTAGGCCCTGTAAAACGTGAAAATGCGCATACTAAGCTTTTTGTAAAACACTATCCCAGCCGCAAAAATACTCATCAGATAAGCGTCGGGTAATTGAGTAAACTGGCATCCACTGACCAATCCCATGAAGGCGGGTACAAACAGGAGTTGGTAACCGATTGGTTTGTCGTATCGTGCGAGTCTAAAAAGGGAGATCATTATCGAGGTACTTGAATCAAGGGTCTGATAAAAGGTTAGCAATAAAAGCAAAAATTGCTACATAGCCAAACTAGATCGCTAGAAATCTCCTAAAACAACAGAAATATACCCTTGCTCCTCTAAATTTTTGGTTAAAATTAGGGATGATTCTTTTGATGGATCTAAAGAACTCCAATTGGTCCAATGGTCCCATCTGTCACCGGTACAAAATGATAAGTAAGGGGTAAGATGATAAGATAAAGCCTTGTCTTAGTATAACTTTCTTCGCTAGAATTCGCGATAAGAAGCAAATCAGTGTGCATTTACGATGTATACAAACCTCAAATAAGGCTGAACAGGAGCCGGCATCAAACTGACAAGCCTTTCGCCAGATAAAAACTGATTACGGAGCATTCTAGCGCGCTGAACTAAAAACGGGAGTAAGAAAAACTGAGCAAAGAAGAAAGTTAATACCTTGATTGTTGCGTTCAAAATACTGTTTTCCCACTCGATGTTCGTAAACGAAATATCTCGCGCTTTTGATCCCAAAATTCGTTCTGCAAATATTCAGCTGATTATCCAGGCCTTTCCATTCAGTCATTTCTCCATAGAACTTATAAGGATAGAGAGAACTGGATTTATTCTCAGCGACGGGTCGTTTGGGTTGGTTTTCGGTGATGTATTCCATTCGGTCGATGAGTTGGCGCTGGTAGTATGGGAACCATTGTTGTTTTTGGCCAGCTCCTGTTTTCTATGGTCTAACAATTGACCTACTAATCGGCGTAAACATACTTGCGCGAGTTTAGAATAACATCAGCTAGAAACAGATCAAAGAAAATGCCGAAATGTTCAATAAACCGCGAAATTCTTCGAATTCTCTAGCCCTAAATCGGAACATTGCTAGACCCTTTCCTTGAGTAATCGTCGCCATAGAACCCAAATCCTCTTGGGCCCGTTTTATCTCCACCTTTTGCATTTCTTGATTTCGGATGTAAATTGCCATTTCCTTCTCTAATTGTATGATTTCTTCAGGTGTTTTTCCTTCCTTATCTTTCTCCGTCAGCTCCGATTTCGCTCGCTCTAAGTACCGCCCGTGCTTTTCGTCGGAGTATGGAACTGGTGGAGCGAATTTGCTCATGATCGAGTTGGAGTAGCGAAAGTGGCTTTTTAGGTAACCGATTCGAACACGCCATAACATTTTTTGATTCTGAAAGAGTAAACGATCGAGAAAGGGTCGAATAATTGAGCATAAAGAAAGTCTTTATTTGGTTTCCTTCATCATTCTGACGAGCTTCTTCAGATAGGCGACTTCGGCATTGTCTTTGAATTTCAGGTTGTCAGAATTCTCCATCTAGTGGATAATGTGTTACTTTGATTCCTACAGTTGCACATATATATTACGTATATTCGTTCTTGAATAAAACCCAACCTGGATAAAACTAAATAAAATGTTTCACCAAAGTGCGAAATTGTATTTTTCAGAAGACTTTTTGATGCCGTGAATGCAAAAAAGGCAAAAATGACTGAAATAGTAAGTCAAGAAATCCTAGACGACTGCAAGAGATTGGATGAGCATGTGCGACAGTGTTTTTTCGAATCTGAATCGGCGATAACCGATGACGTTTTTGAAAGTTTTGGACTAGAGGAACAGTTCGTTATTTCGAATAACTTCATCGATTCAAAAATGTTTATGAACTGTAAAATCAGACATTCATTTTCCCGATAGGTGGGATAGATAGGATTTTCATAAGCGTACGACAATTTGCCTCTTGTTTTGATCCTGAATTAAGCATAAATGGGGACGGATTGAAATCATATGTTAAAAGTTTCAATATTGTCACAGAATTTTTTATCAATGGTCAAGTATTCGACTATGGAGTCCCAGCCCCTTTCGTCTGCATGCTAATGATGTTTAAAAGATGCGAGGAGAACTTGATGGGGCATGCTATTGAAAAGTTAATGCCAGAACCAAATAATACTTGTGTGTGGAACTATTTATACATGTATTACTCTACGTACAGGTAAGCTCTAGTAATTGGTGTCCTGAATTACTTCCAATGAAGAGAAGATCGCTACCATTCAATTTTCTTACAAAAAAAGGAAATTTTGACTTCAATATCGGCATCACAGAAAGAAAGAATCTCAAAGTTGGAGAAAGAAAAAAATTCACTCAAAGAGAAGTTGGATAGTGCTAATAGAAAACTTATGGCGATTGATGACATTTTATCCGGTAAGGAAAACGAAACGAAAAATGAGCAAACTGACGACTGCTCTCTTTGCGCGGAAAACTTTAATACAGAAGCAAGACATAAATGCTGCTTATCAAGTTGTGGTCATCAAGCTTGTGAAAAATGCTTTCGGAAGATTCTTGGATCATCAAAAAGTCACGAAGCGAAATGCCCAATGTGCAACAAGCTTTACTCTGACCAGAATATTATCAAACTTTACTAGCTCTTTCTCAAAAAGTCTTTCAACAATTTCTCAATAAATTTATCATCTAAAAACTTACCGCGGCAATAGTAAGAGTAACTCCTTCCGGCGTAAAATCAGCCAGTTGTCTCGTCAACGGCCCAATTTCTTGCGCATTAACGTTTCCAACAACCAAGTTTCTTTTGTACTTCTCCATTTTTACCGGATCATCGTCTTTGTAATTGATAACATACTCGTCTGGTGGCGAAGGATAAACGTCCAAGACATCGTAGTCCATATTTTCAAGTTGGGAAATGATTATTTCGCGGAATTTATGAAGAGTTGTGAAGCAAAATGAATTCATTTGAATAAGTACTTTCAAAAGAGTTTTTCAGTGGAAGAAAATTCGAGATTTTCGACTCAAAATTGAGGGTATCGCTCGATTAAATGTTGGTTTAAAGAAAATGCGAGGGATGCCCTAAAGAAAATCGACGAAATAAAACCTTTCCTTGTGGATAATGAATAATATTCGGCTCCTGATAATTTTCTTCTCTGAGCATTCTAGGAGTCCTGAAAACGATCATAAAACAGCTCTACTCTTATAATCTTACTTTCGAACATCAAAAAGCGGATAATTGTAGGGATCTTTGTCTCTCCATTCATTTTCAAAAAGCGTCTCGATTTCCCTCGTTCTCAAATCGTCATTTTCCATGAGTTTTTCAATCTTCGCTGGCGAGTAGAATTTGGGGCGGCCAGGGCGGCGATTGTGGCCGACGATGGAAACTCGATCGTTGTATTCTGGAAGTTCTTGGATCAATCGGTTGTTGACGGGTCCTTTTGGCGGTTTTTGGAAGATCTGAAATGATAGGGATTATTCGGAGAAATAGACTAAATAGTCAGTTTTAGACCAAGAGTTATTCGTTTGAAAATCGAGAAGAGATTTTGGGCTTCGAGAAAGAAGGCCTGGAAATTTTCCAGTGGAAAAAGCGCGGCTTTAGTTTTTTTCTATTCGAAGCCGCAAACGGCTTTAGATTTCGAGAAGAAAACTGTCTCAATACTTGGACGTAACAAATTCTCATGAACACTCCCATAAATCAAACAAAATCACGTGACACTGTTAAAAACGGATCATTCGAGTTCAACAGCCCATTAAAATCGCCCCAAAACCCTCTAAAAGGTCATTTCTACCTTTTCTCGCTTTCTGAGCAACTGAACTTCGCGGCTTTTTCGTTGATTAGCCGCAGCAAGACGTATTTGAGAGACCAGAGCCGGATTCCTGAGCATTTCGACGATTCTTCGTGAAAAATAGGATTCTCTGGCTTTCTTTGCTAACCTCGCCGAGGGCGGTTCTGATTGGCCGGGCGCCCTGGTTGATCCTTCATGGTGGAGTTTTTTGTGTTTGCTGAGAGATTGAGAATCATCTGATAAGAGAATCAAGTTTATTCTTAGCCTGCTTTGATATTGAAAAGTTTCTTTATTTACTTCTGAAATTATTAGTCAAATATTTTTTAAAAAATCAATATTATTTAGACTCTCTTCTTTAATTTTAAAGTCACCACCTCCGTTTGATCGGAAATCTTGCTTTGTCAAACCATCTCCTGCTTCGTTTATCGTAGAATCTTATCAGTAACTGTTCTTCCGCTTTTAGAGATGGGTATTTTCAACAACGAGCCTTGTTACAGAATCGCTTCTGGTGGAGCCGCTGGTCTTACTGAAATTCTTCTTTTTCATCCTCTTGATGTCGTCAAGACTCGACTTCAATCTCAGACCAAGGTATTTACTATTTGTTCTTAGGAAGAAATATAAATTTCAAATCCTGGTTTTTGTGAAAAAAGCTAAAAAGTCCTCCCGAACCGGGAATCGAACCCGGGCCGCCGGAGTGAGAATCCGGAATCCTAACCCCTAGACCATTCGGGACATGCCCCGCGGCGAGTGCTTATCGCTTTTCCACTTGATAAGTGGGATAATAGTCTCTTCTTTGATAAGTGAAAAGCTTTGAGGCTCTCTCAAGTCCCGCATGGTCTAGGGGTTAGGATTCCGGATTCTCACTCCGGCGGCCCGGGTTCGATTCCCGGTGCGGGAGGACTTTTTCAATTTTACGAAATTGATCTTACAAAAAGTACTCATTTTATGACCATCCGAGGATAAATTTTCTCGTAGGGTAGTCTTATAATGGGCTCCATCTGTACGCTCAACCCAAAAGCCGACTCATTTCATATTTCAGGGAAGCGCCGATGCCTACAACGGAATAGCAGATTGCGTCCGAAAAACAATCCGCAACGAAGGCTTCCCAGCTCTCTACAAAGGAATCCTGCCACCAATCTGCGCTGAAACGCCAAAACGAGCGATCAAATTTTTCTGCTTCGGCTCGTACAACGCGTATTTATCCCGCAACACCGGCCTATCCGTAAGTTAAAAAAGGCGAGAAGTCGATAACGGGGTTATCATTATATTTATATCGTGGCGTTATGAAATTTATGATCGGATATGGACGAGTATATTTACGCCACGTTTTAGAACGCTGCTTGTGGCTCAATTGCTGGCCTGGGAAGTGGACTTACGGAGGGACTTTTTATCACGCCTTTTGAAAGAGTCAAGATTTTGCTGCAGAACTCTAAGGGTTCTCTAAAAGGTACAGAATCTAAAACGGTAAAAACATCTGTTTTGCACTTGCTTCTTTTTCGATTTTGCCATAGATAGGCCTCGGACGTAAAAAATCATCACCACCAGCCGGTCGTCGTACGGTAACAAGAGTAGGCTCATTCGAAAGCTCTTGAACAGGGCTTTCTGTAAGGCTTATAAAAAAACTGGGCCCTGTCCTCCTTTTCGGAGATATTTGATTTTGAAGGTAAGCTTCGAAAAATATTTTTCAAAATAACTCGTAACAGAAAGGGAGGGCCCAGTTTTTTTATCGGTCAAATAGAAAGCCCTTATCAAGACCTTTCGAATGAGCCCTCTCATGTTCCCGTACGATGACCGGATGGTGAAAATCGTCTTTTTTACGTCCGAGGCCTAGCCATAGAACAAAAAGACTTACAAAAAACTCAATTTTTTACTCGAGCTTTTTCAGATCTAGCAAAGAGAAACCCTCATTTTATCTATTTTCAAGTATCATTTGTTCTTATTGGATACATAATACTTTCATGTAGATGAATAAGGGTGTGTCTGTGCTAGTTCTGAGAAATCTTCAGGGAAAGATTCAGTTTTTGAAGTTCAGAATAAGGGTGTCAATAGATTATTTTTTTAATAAATGAATTCATCAAGCAATCAATATGATATTCGCGCTCAACTTTTTCTTTTGATTTAGAAAAATCGTAAGGAATTTGCCCTAATTTTAGCCCTCTCGTAAAAGGTGAACATAAGTATTCAATCCTCGAATTAATTCTTATGTTACATCTCATTTTATATTCCGGCTTTTGCGGTGCAAGCCATTTTTTCTCCAGATTACATTTTCGGCTGCCCGACAATGTTTTAGAACTCAATTTTAGAATAATTATTTTGTTAGCATCAACTTGTTTAATATTGTTGAGACAATCACAGATGACTGAGATGAGTTGAAACAGAGCTCCTGCTATCATTATAAATATGAACATCTGTGTTTTAAAAAGAATGACGCTTTCTTTTTAGAAACGCCAAGTGCAGCGGCTCAAATGCGTTTGGTTATTCAAAAGCATGGATTTGGAACGAAAGGAGGCCTGATGACTGGCTGCACTGCCACTTTGGGACGACATGGCGTTTGGAATGCGATCTACTTTGGTCTCTTTAGGACGGTTATGCCGATTATTGTGCCGGATCAGAAAGCTATTTCGAAGTCGGAATTGAATTTGAAACGATTTTTGTTGGGTTGCCTTTGTGGAACTTTAGGTAAGAATAATGCTTACCATTATTCAGCCTTTTTTGTTGGGTTCGACATTCTCTTTTATGATTTCAGTTGGATCTAATTTTTAAAAATCTCGAATCCAAGTTGACTTTCAGGCTATTTTATTGTCTGAAATCATAGAGGAGAATCTTTTTGACAACTGCTAAAAGTAGCGATAACTACAGAAAGAATTACAAATGAATATTTAGCTTCTTGCATTAATATCCCATACGACGTGGCAAAATCCCGAATCCAGTCCCTCGGCGGCCTCCCAGGAGGCAATTTCCACGGCATGGGAGTACACAAAGTCATGGCCGAAATCGCCCGAGTCGAAGGTCAAGCCGCCCTTTTCGCCGGACTAGCGGCTAAGCTCCTCCGACTATGCCCAGCTGGAGGTGTGATGATGATGATGAACGAAGTCGTTTATGATTACTTGACGACCACGTGGCCTCTTCATTAAGATTTTACTGGTTCGAAATCTGCTAACTTTCGAAAAGCCGTTACCGTGTTATATTTACTATCTTTCACTTTGCTCCTATTGTTCTGTCATTTTTTTTATTTCATTCTAGTCATTTACCTAGTGCCATATTTCTTATGTGGTTCGATTGTTAATGTTTTTGAAATTCATGCTTGTATTTACCTTACTATTACTGTGTACTCTTCTGCACTTATATTACCTAAATACATATCACAAATATAAAACTAGAATAGATTCTTTTTTATATTCTCAACTTTCATTTTTGCAGCCTTTTTGCCAAATGATGTCGGCACTTTCTTCTCAATACTTATACAATTTCTTATCATGAAAATGCCACTATAAATATATTTATATATTTTAAAACGATGCTGTCTTTTCTCCAAAAGATAATCCGAACAGTGCAAATAGCAAGATCAGGATTTTAATTACAGCATTTGCTATTAATATTCTTTAACTTTGCAAATATTTTTTAAACTGAGCTCAAGAGCGCATCGATTTTCAGAAGACGTGGGAAATGTACCCCGGGCAACTCATCGACATCGCCCGGCGATTGGCCCGCGAGCTGCGCGCGCCATACAAAATCACTCCGCAGCGCGCCTCATTTGAAAAGTCCCCACCGCCGGAGCGCAAAGCTCTGAGTTTTTAAATAAAATGGCGACAAGTGTGATAGAACTGACGAAAAAGAGACTTTTTGCTCAGAAGAGAAATGAAAAAGTGAAGCGAAGATCTGTTCTTGCGGCGGGAATTGTTGACGGGTAAGTTTTTGTGAAAATAGGAATTTAAATCGACGAGCTTGAATAAAAAACTGAATAAAATGATATTTTATCCGTTATTCTAGTGACACAGCAAGTGATGCTTTGGAAACAGTCCTCAGAATCCGTCCCGCTTCATCCCCACGCGAAGTTTCCGATGGTTTTCTCCAGATTGACTCGAGCACCCATGTCACAATTCGTCACCCTACTCGACCTGGTCATGGAGAACAGTTCGGATTCAACACGGTTGTCCCGATTTCAACTACACAGCGGGAAATGTACTCTCACTCCGGCGCAAAACTCGTTCGAGCTGCTCTTGATGGTCAAAACTGCTGCTTGTTTACATATGGAGCGTCTGGCAGTGGAAAAACGTTTACAATGATGGGTGGCCCAGGGGAAGATGCGGGAGTTCTAGCGCGGACGATGGAAAGTCTTTTCGCGATGCTGGATGGTAAAATGTACGGTTCTACTGACATCCGCCCCACTGGATCAAGCTACATCAGCAGAGTTGGTATCACTGAGGAGAAACAAGCAAATGCATTCAAAGACGAAGTTCTCGAGCGCGTAAACGACGGAGAATGCCAATCTGGTGACTGGAACTCCCGACGACGCAGTTCCATCCTCAGGCTGAATCCCGAGCTACTCAAGCCAGGTAACGCACCTGAGCCGCTCAAAGAACCGATCGATGATGACAGCGAATTCCTCGTCTTTGCTTCATTCGTCGAGGTCTACAATGAGCGAATTCACGATTTATTGGTGCCCGTAGATGGAAGCAGCAAGCGCGCCGAATTGAGAATCAGACAGGATGCAAAAGGCCCGTTTGTTGGCGGAGTCCATCAAGTTCAAATCAGCTCTGCTCACGAAGCGTATAAAGTCATCGACGCTGGAAGAAGGAACTTGAATGTCGCTGCGACTCGTTTGAACGAAGAGTCGTCGCGTAGTCACTGTTTATTCATCGTCAAAATCGCTAGAAGATTGACCGCTCATCGTTGGGGAGTCTCGCAAATCTGCTTCTGCGACTTGGCCGGAGCTGAAAGATCGAAAAACATCGGTGGAGATGCAAAACGGCTCGGAGAGTCAAAGACCATCAACAAGTCACTAATGCAGCTCGGGATCGTCATCGAGGAGCTGAGAAACAACCAGAAAAATCCAGGCTCCGTTGCAGTATCGTTCCGCAACAGTAAGCTTACCAGGCTGATGCAAAGTTACTTGACTGGAAATAGTAAAACAATCATCATAGGAAAGGATCAGATAGGCACCGAGCATGAATGAGATCCTTTTTGTTTTATGATTAAAAATTTGGAGCTTCCTTTTGATCCCATAAAATAGTAACCGTGAGTCAAAATGAAAAGTTTGCGGAAGAAACGCTCAATTCTTTGAAATTTGCTGCTTCTGCGAAAACTGTCAGTCTTGGTAGAGATCGACATGGATTCAAAGATATGACAAAAATGAACATGTCGACGATTCATGACACACAAATGAATGCATCGGTTATGTTCAAAACGATGAGTGGCTCCACGATCGACCAGTACAATGTCACGAGAGGCAACGAGTCGGCATATTACAGTAGACAGCCAGTGGCGAGCCAGGAAGATACAATTTCATCCTCCGAGACGCCTGTTTCTTCATTGACGAGCGTTCCTTCTGGGCCAGCTTCGGGCAGCTTCGACGAAGATTATCGAAAGTGGACTAAGCTCGACCTTATTGATGATCTCATTTACTACCGCGAACGTGAGAGAGAACTAGTCGCTTCTGTTCTAGCCATGAAAAACGCCTGGAAAGATGATGAAAAACTGATGAACGAGGAACGAATGGACTTTGACATTCAGAAAAATAACTGGAAAGTCGACTTGCACAACGAACGCGCAAGGCTTCGAAACGAGTACAACAGCTCAACAGAAAAGCTTTTCAGAGAGATGAAAATCCTCAAGAAATCATTGAAAGAATCAAAAGAAGAAGTCGCTCGAATCGAAGCAGCTCGCGTTGAATCAAAAATTGAATTCGAAGAAAAATTGAAGGGTACAGACGCAATTTCTACGGAGAATGAAGAGTTGAAAAGCGAACTGAAAGTCTTGCAGATGAAAAATCAAAATCTTGAGGCGGCGGCAAAAGACAACGATTCAAAATTAGAAAAGCAACTTGCAGAAACGCGCAAATTACGATCATCCCTTGCGCAGCTTGAGCTCAAGCTGGCAGAAAAAGAAGACGAGCTCCTCACTGTAAAGACTACGCGCATGTCGATCGATCCACTTGATTCCAACGATACGATCGACTTTGCCAACTTTAACCCGCCAAAAGCTCGAAGCTCGATCCTCCCGGTTGCGTCTTCAACTCGAACACAACTGAACTCGACGGCGGATCTAATGTCCAACATCATGGAAGACATGTCAAAGACGCCAGAAGCTCTTCAGGTAGATATTCTTTAATTTCTTCCTTCTTACAAATCCTAGTCCTTTTCCGACAAGCCAGACAGCGATGATAAAGTAGAGCTCTACCGACAAATTCAAGATTTGAACAGACAACTTCGTGAAGCGAAAAAGGAAGCAACTGAATCTGCTGAACAGGTTAGAATCTCGTTCGACCTTGAAGACAAACTCGAATCTCAGAAACAGAGCAATCATAACGAAGCGCTGCTGCATCAGATCAAAGAAGCAGCGAATAAAGAAGCTGAACTCAACTCGAAGATCAACGCTTTAGGTAAGCAAAAAAACAGCCTTCATTATCTTATTTCAATATTTAGAGCTAGAAAAAGAAGTGCTGAAGAAGAGATCAGACAGATGCCTTTTGCGAAAAGAGAAGGAAAATCTCGAGCGAGACAACGAAGTCCTTCAGAGTAAAGTTACAAAATTGGAGAATCTTCTTGCCTCCGGAAATATCGAAAATCTGATGGCTCCGCCGTCGACTCCTTCGAAGAAGTTCAAGAATACCACTGATAACTTGGATCCAGGTAGTCATTCTAATTTGTTCTTCGCTCAGTTTTTCAGTTGTTGAAGAGCTTGAAAAGCCAAAACGAGCAACCACTCGTTCGCAGAGGAGGCTATCAGACTCAACAAATCAAGTTGCTCCCAAAAGAAATCTTCGCTCTCGTAAATAGCTCAACTGACGCTGCTGATAAACTCGCTCCTTGACATTCCGTTTTCCTTTTCTGTAAATAAGCCCTGTTCACTTCAACATGTCCGAATAATAAATTTATTGCTCTCCAAGAACATAAATGAATAGATTTCTCAATTGTTCCTGGAAATGATTTCTTTTATTTTGCATTCGATATGCTTTATTTAGCCAGGGAAGCGAAACAGAGTGAGCAAAGTACAATGATAGCTTTGTTGATGATTTCAATGATTTTATTGAAGGACTAAAGCAATCGTACATAGAAAATCTATTCAAATATAGTGAGAACATTTTGGTTTTTGGAAATTTTGTTGCATTTGGGGCAGTATTCGTTGGTTTCCAAGCTTTTCTCGATACAAGATCGCCCAAATTTGTGTCCACAAGTAGTAAGAACAGACTCCAAGTGATCTTCTTTATTGTATCGCTCCAAGCAAATAGAACAAGTTGGAAGTGAATCTGATGCAGCAGCCATCAACTTTTCGGGATCCTTCAGTTCACACAAATTAACTTTTAGGACTGCAATTTTGGTGATATTGTTCTCTATCTGCATTCGGATTTTTTCGATCTCCTCGTCCATCTTTTTGTCTCGTCTTTGGAGCCAGTCCGTTTCAAAAGGGTACTTATCAATGAGTTTGAAATTTTATTCTAATAGAAACATTGAAATCTCATGATCAAAAAGCGAATCTTTCAAACTCGTGTATGAGCATATCCACCGAATAATGTTTGGAGAAATGGACTTTCTTCCAACATCTCTTCCCGAGCTTTTTCCAATTCTTGCTCTTGTATCATAATTGAACGTAGTTGCTCGATTTTGAGAATAGACTCTTCTTTTTTCAAATTTTCTCCTCTAATGGCATTTATTTTTTCGCGAGTCTCATCAATCTCTTCGCTCAGCTTTTCTCGGATGGTTTTCTTCAGTTCAAAAATATTGAGTTTTTGGTCCACAAATGTCTCTAATTCCGCGTAATAAATCTCATCCTCTTCGTTGATTTTGCTCATTATTGAACTTTGAAATTAGCAGCCGATGCAACGTTTTAACGACGATTAAGGCAGTCCCCTATTTTAAATTATTCTTTTAAACAAAAGTCTAACTTCGGAACAGGCAAACCCAATCAAGGTGAAGGTATGTGACGTCATCACATATCCAGAAGGTTTTTTCCTAAATGCAACCACAAATGATCTTATTTCGATGGGGAAAACGTAAAGGATTTCGTAGGAAAAAGTTATTAAATAAATCAACAACTAATAGATTATGATTTATAATTAAGAAAATGTTATGATTCATAATGAAGGATTTTTTTCCGAATAAAACACAAATATACGAAACATACTCAATATATATTTATGAATTTCAGTAAATAGGGCCTAATTTTCACCGCAGATGATTTCTTCTATTTTTTCTTGGATGCTGTTTTCATAATAAATCTAAAGAATCTTTTGATTCCAAAGAAATACCAAGGTACTTACAAGAGGTGCTAGAATGCAGAAAGCACTGACAAATCCAACGTTAGCAATAAATAGACGCCAGTATACTTTGCGTTTTGCTAGTTGATGATATGCTTTTGCCGAGACTCGGCTTTCTTTTGGCGGTGCATCCACGAGTTCCTAAAATTTCCATCAGATGTTTTTATGACATTTTTTCACCTGCATGGCTGGAAACATTCTGGCTAGTGAAATGTACAGAAACATCCCAGTGAGAGCAGCGAAGAACTTCGCTTTTACAGCTGCTTTTATGTGCATATTTCTGAGAAGCATCGCGATACAAACACCTGGGTATATCGCCGATACTGAAGTTAGTACAAGAACACTTTCCCAGAAATGAGACAGACCAGACTGCATTAAAATCACGGCGTTGCCGAGTTTTTGCTGAATAAGGTTAAGTCATGTCAGAACCGTCGATTGTTACTGGGATCATCTTTAATAGCATCGCAAATAAAACTGAAAAGCCAGCCCCAATATCGTCCTGTAATGTCAGCGTAAAGGCCATTCCTGGAAAATTAGGGTAACGAAGCAATCTACTTTTTTCTTTGCCTTCAATAAAGCATTCAAAAGATGTCGTCAGAAGAATCACCCAAGCATCGGTATCAATCAATTTCCAGTCCTGAGCTTTCAATCCAGAAGTGTTTTCTTTTGCAATTCTTCTTCTTGGTTTTCTATCGGTGACGTTTGCACCAAGTCCGACCGAGTTGTTTATTTTGACTGTGGATCTTCTGTCGAGCCGCTTGTAGTTCGATCCGCTGTTGTATTCTTTTGAGAATATGGATTGGATGATCTTTTGGACATCATAGACGAAGATGAAGAAAAAGTACGAGACGGTCATTGTGCTCATGAAAGACGAAGCTCCTGAAATTGTTAAAAATCAAATTAATCATCTCTTGACAAACCTCCGACATCGATTCTGTACAATACGCTGCCTTGATATTTCTCCCTGTTGCAAATTGCCAAGCAATTATGCCGATCAACGATGCTACTTGCCCAAGAGCCCTGGTGGCAGCTCTCACAAGAGACGTTGTAAGTCTTGACTTCCTTTATTTTTCAAAAGATTAATAGTACAACCTGGACGTGGAGGAAATGGAGACTCTCTGGAATAAACTGAAATATGGTCACTGCAAACATCGTTCCCATCGCGAGAGTGACCGCGAACGTCATGAAGTCTCCGTACCATCTTTTGTCTTCGATAAAGTGCAAGAGTAAACTCACTTTGCTAGTTGCTACGAAAACTGTTGCGCCAACGAGGCTCAGTCCCCAAATAACCCCATCTGTTTGACTGTCCTGGAAACAACTGCTCGTTCCAAGCTCGTCTCTTTTAATCATCCCTGCGTTTTCCGAAATGCGATGGTTGAGAATGAACCCTGCTTTATATGCTTTGAAATAACGATAAGACGAGGAATGTTTCCCTTGGGTCATTAATGAGAGTCCTGGGTCACTATAAGATGTCTTTCGGTTTGCTTCAAAAGTCAGAAAAAATAAGAGTCGGCAGTCGACGTCAACATGTTCTAATTATGAATTTATTGCTTTCCAGAAATACAGACAAATACGATCTTTAATTGTCACCGCAGATGATTTCTTCGATTTTTTGTTGAATTTGATTTTCATAATAAATCTAAAAATCACTCTAATCCTTAGAAAACAAGCTTACGAGAGGAGCTAGGATGAAGAAAGCAATGACATAGCCAACATTAGCAATGAACAAACGCCTGAAAGTTTTACGCTTTGTCTGTTGACGATATGAATTGACAGACATTCGGCTTTCTTTTGGCGGTGCATCCACAAGCTCCTATGATTTTTATTACCCGTGTACGATCTAATATTTTCACCTGCATGGCAGGAAACATCCTCGCCAAGGAAAGGTAAAGAAACATTCCAACAAGAGCCGCAAAGAACTTGGAGGGAGGCGATTTTCTGGCAGTTAGATTTTCTGGCAGTTAGACTTTCTGGCAAAGGCGATTTTCTGGCAATGCCAGAAAATCTAATATGCCAGAAAGTCTAACTGCCAGAAAATCGCCTCTTTTGATTTCACATCTATAGTTAATGATCCTGGAAGATAAAAAAACGGAGAGAAGAAGAGCTCGGAATTCATCTTCTGATTCTTCTGAGAAATAGTCAGGCGCGCGTGGGCGGCGCGCTCCTCCCTTATTCGCCGCGCTGTGCTCGCCTGAATTTAGTTGATAAATCAACGGTTTTTTTCAAGCGGAAATGATGAAGATCAGAGAAGAATTAACTGCCAGAGGAATTAGAGAAGAATTAACTGCCTATAAAATTTTGCCCAATTCGCTTAAAACTTATGAACTGTGTTTCCGCTTTGTTTCGCCTCCAAACTTCAACCTTTCGTATTTAATGTATGATGCGTTTTCTTCTCTCTTTCGATGCACAAACCGTTGATAAGTTAAATGTTTCTATTTTTTTTCAATTTTTGACATTAAAGCTTTACGAGTTGCGAAACTAAAATACTGTCTATCATTTTTAAATTTTAATTCAGAATTTCAATTTCAGAAAGGACTCAGTGTTGAAAATTGACCATATAAAATAACAACGGGGAGAATATTGAACCCGTTATAATTGTGGGCCTCCAGAAGAATTTACCCGTTATAATTGTGCCCTTTCTTTAATTTAACATGATTTTGAACTCCTCGAAAGATATTGAAGAACTTCCTGCCAGTATTCTTCTCGCAGACAACAAAGAAAGCTTCCGAATTCTAGGAACTCGATGAATCAACAAAACGACGTGCTCGATTCCATCTTTAGGAGCTCCAACGAAGAAGAAAAATATATAGGAAAGGAGTTTCGAATTTTCTTTTGCAATCAATTTTTTCACTTATTGGTTTATTTTTCAGCGGCTTCAATTAACTGAGACGTTACAAATTTACCGGTGCAAATGCGTCAAATACAGTGCTGTGATTGGCTGAATTAGGGACACGTAGTCCTTTGAAAAATGAAAAATCGCCATAAATCCGAAATTTTTTGAGATCTCGAAAATCTGAGATGATACTGGCATAGAGCTTGAGATTCTCCGTCGATACGTATAAAGATGTCTTGGGCTACAATGTAACCCTTAGGCGCTAGAGCAACAGCAAGTTTGCCCCGGTAATTTTGTAACGGCTCTGACCTATGGAAATCGTCCGTAACGAATGTAACGAGTTTGATGAAAATGTAAGGAGCTTTTTTTATAGAACATCAGAAGTCTTCTTCGTCGGAAGTGGCGAGTACTTCTTTTAATTGGCGCATCAAATCGTCATCGTCTTTTTATTATTTATCAAGTTATTCTAATTAAATACAATTAAATAAGAAACCATTATATACGTGTAAACAATCCTGGGATATCTGCTTTTCTCATTTCTTCGCGTTTTCGCAATTTCGCATTTTCCGCCTTCATTTTTTCCAGCTCTTCCCGTAACTCTGCGATCAACTCTTCATTTTGTTCTTTTTTTTCTTTGAATGGTTTGACGCCGTTTATTTGCTATATCAGCATAGTAGCCCTAAATATTCTGCTATTTTCTTAAAGAAACATACAAGCATTACCTTAGGATCATTTTCTCTTTTTTTTCGATTTCTTTCTTTAAGAATTTTCTTTTCTTTCGCAATTTGGGCTGCCAAACGCACTTCGGCTTCAGTTTTCTTCTTTTTCTTTTTTGGTGGGGAATCATGCTCGCAATAGGTTGATTTTTTCGCATTCCGCTTCACTTTTGCGCACAAACTACGCGTATTTTGCGAAGATTCGGGGCGCTCATCTAGAATAATTAACATTCTGCTTGATAAAACTAAACTTACGATCCGATTCAGAATCTGACAATGAAAGATCCCGCGTTTTGCGCTGTTTTGCGGATTTTGCGCTGCGAATATACTTCCGTGGCTGCTTGGGTTCAGATAGAACCAGCTTTTCGGGACTAGTTCTGTCATCAAAATTCCGGTAAGAATCAGATGTTGGACGAGAACGATTAGCTTGTCCGGCTTCGTCATTTTCTTAAATGAAAGTCATTTATTTTTTAAATATGGACAGTTACCTTGCTCCGATTCTGAAGACGAAGGACGATTTGGAAACTGTTTTCTGATCGTTTCATCTATCTCATCGGTTTTATCCAGAAGTCGTTCCCAATGTATTGGAGATGGCGATTTTTCAACTAGAAATATTAAATTTTTGATATTTACATTTTTGATATATTACAGTTTTCAGGCTCACGATCCTCATTGTCCGACGGTAAAGAGTCCACTGGAGGTGGGTCGAACTCATGGATAACAGCTGGCACATCGACTTCATCATTGCTCGTCTCCTCATCGACTCTTCTTTCCACTCTTTGAACTGGCTGAGCGATTGGCGCCGCAACTCTTCTCAAATCGAATTCTCCTCCTTGCTGAGCGAAAGGATCTGGGTCAACTTGCTCACCAGCTGTTTCTTGCTCATCGCGAACTGGGGACATCACAGGCATTGCTTCTTGAAACTGGTATGACTAAATAATTTTTATTTTTGTATAAAAAATAGTAACTATACGTCAGCTGTTGATTCTTTAATCAAATTTTGAAATACAGCAGTTTCTGGTTGCGTGGCGTTGTTGATAAAATGTCGGAGTTTCTGAGTAGATTTCAATGACTCGGCCTTTGATCTGGCCCTCATCAAGCCGAAGCCGACAGAAACAATTGCTTCTTCGATTGAGCCATTTTCTGCGCATTTTTTGTCAAATCTTGCTAGCTGCTCGTAGCGTACAACCGCAACTAAGGCGCACAATCTGTCATTTTTAGTACTTTGCTGGCTGTTGCTCTCAAGCTTAGCAATTTCCGTACTGAAGCTTTCACTTTTAAAGCCATTAGCAATGGAGATGACCGTAGATAGCTCTGTCGCATTGTTGATTCCTTGATCCACCAGGGATGAGTTCTAAACATTTAATTTTAGTTGGAATCGCATCTTCACGAATTCGATGTTTTTACAAGATTTCCCATCGAAAAAAAGGTAACTTACCATGATTTCAAGACTGTTATTAGTCAAGAATTTTGAACCATTCCTCGCTCCTATCGATAATGCAAGGGCCCATGAACTAGGAGGGAATTTAGCATCGTCATTCAAGTACGTCGTAGAAAGATATCTGTAGAACTCATTAATCTCGTCTTTGATTAGTGGTGTAGACAGTTCATCAAGTGTTCGACGCAAAAGCTGCATAAATGTGTCGTAGAATGTAGGTTCGGTCAAGTGAATGAATGGGATCGCATGGATGAGTGCTTGGAGTATCTTTCCATTTTTCTCCCAGAGTGCCAACAGTCCATGACTTTGTAAATATCTTCTAACACTCTGTAACCAATGAAAGTAGCACCCAACCATGCGTAGATTCTTCTCCGGCCATGTTTCGCGAATCGAATTTCTGAGCCCAGGTTCGAAATCGGACGAGACAGTTGTAAATTCAGAATCAGGACAAAGTTTCTTTTTGTAGATCAATTTACAGTTTTTTCAGGAAAATCGGCTGCTCTGCTATTCAAAACTACCGAACGGCCGATTGTGGTCCTCATCAACGTTATTACACACGACAAATTCGCTGCCGAACCAAGTAAGTTCAAAATTTTCAATATTGATCATTTCCTTTAAAGCCTCAAAGACAATCTTGTAGCCTTCTTTAGACTGACCCTTGAGAATAATAAAGAATCTAGGATTAACACTATCATCTCGGTCTCTTGATCCAATAATGAGGAGTTGACGGTAGCCAAACTTCTTTTGCTGGCCTTTCGTAAAGAATTTACCGTCAACAAACCAGTGTTTTGAAGAGGTCAGCATGCGCAAATCGTGTTGAGTCGCAAAAGCTAGAGCTTCATCCCATATCGGGCTTCGTTGTTCCGGCG